GTATGTAATTACAAGTACCATATTACATGTATGTTACACAACATTTTACTTAAGGGATTCACGGCATAATTTTTGTTTTCGTTCGTTTTATATGTATACAATAAATCAGGTTGCAGATTTGTCTTAAAAATTCGTTCAAACTTATACAATGTTATGCGTTTTGGATATATCTGAATTATTTAACGACGTCGTTATATTATGTTTAAAGTACAGCCTTATTTCTTCAGATATTTTTATTGCATATTTGTCAGTGTAACATTTGGCGTATATTAAATGTTAATCATATTTTATGAAAATGTCATTTAATGAACATATACAATTCACATTCGCGAATTAATATCTATTAAATTTACCACACAACGGTTTATACAATACATAACAGATAGAGAAAGAGATATACACATTATATAACACAGAGAGAGAGAGAGAGAGAGAGAGAGAGAGAGAGAGAGAGAGGGGTATTGTGACCACTTTAGTTGATATAATAAACTCTTCTGTCTGAAGAAATGTGAAACGTGATAGCACTCACATGAATGCATGAATACTAAAATTGTATGATTTTCTGCGTTACATCTATTTTCGTTATATCATATCAATCAAGAACTGCTTATTTGGAATAACAAATCCAACGTCAGAAGAAACAAAAACGGTCTGGCAAAAAATCAGAATCGCATGAACTTTAAACGAAGTGAGACCATGCAGGTGCGTTTACATGATATATATCTCATCTTTAGTACCGCCAATCTAAAGTTCACATCCAGAAGTATCAATTCTTACCCGATTATTTAAATTTTGAATTAAAAGGGGGACAAAACATAGCTTATCGCCCCTTATCCCTCATTCCATCGCTTACTGCACAGCAGCAGAGGTAAGGGATATCTCTGCTGATTCGAAATCTAATGAATGTTAATATTATGTAGAGCATAGGGACTGATATCATTCAACTTCGACAGTGGATTGGAAGTACATGTGAACGGAGACAAAAATTATTGGGAGATATAGTACCTTGCAATTGCTTACATGTATAGAAAAGACTATGTTCTCGTGATTCATGGTTGTTTATTACCATTATCTGTCGTGTAAGGCTAGGTTGACATGTTTACTATAGTCACAAATAATGTATACTTTTCAAATAAACCCACGTACCGTACGTAATAAGTAGATAAATATATATGGGTTAAACGTAGGTAAATGGGTTATTAATGAATTCAATCTGCTGATATATACATACAGTATTGTGTAATTTTACATGCTGAAATCGATGTCTGTTTGTACAAGATTTAAACATTCGGATGATAATCCTATGGTAGTGTGAGGACAGAGCTACAGGGTAGATTACTCGAAACGAAGACAGAACTATTACTGGAAGGTCCAATACAGTGCACTGTTTTGATAACGATATCATTCATATATTCCACCCAGCCCTCTTGTTGTTGGCTTAAAAATACACATTAATAATATTTTTTTAGTTATATCAGCTCACTTATAGATCATCATTATTTCTCTTTCTTGTAAACAAAGTTGATTTGTACACTGTACATGATGTCATTGATAGTTATACCTAGACATTCATTAACTATGCTTTGTTTTAACGGTATTGTTTTACTTGTTGTTTGTAAATATGCTTTTCTGAACTGATTTGTATAGATACCTTTCTAGTGATAAAAAAAGACCGCAGAGGTTGGATTCACAAACCGAGTTTATCTCGCGTTGGTGTGATATTGCAAATATGTGTTTCGAATTAATGGAAAGAGTGGTCCTTTTCAAAATGGCAACGAACAATTTTAATATGCTGTCAATAAATCTTAACCTAGATTTCTTAAATAAATTAAATAAGTTATTACTACGGAAATAAAATAACTTCCTTACAGAAAGTGTTGACCGGAAAAAAATACTATATGAATTCATAACAATAAGATCAGTTAGGATAAGTGTTAAAAGTTTATAACATCTATATATTAAATGAATTTAAGATTAAAAGTACACACGTGATTCCCCAGTTTTAATTTTCTTAAGTGATTATCGGATGGTTTATGTCTTGTGGGGGAGGGGAGTAAAAGATGGTGTGTATTTATATCACGACTTGTTTGACAATTATTCATGAGGTCACACTTTCGTTCAATACAACATTGGTTTATATAGGTTTACTTTGCGACTTTTATTTTGACCTCGAGCATCACTGAAGAGACATTGATTGTCGAAATGCGCATCTGGTGCAGAAAAATTGGTACTGTTTATGTTATTATATTGATGTATATTTATATATACATTAATTTGGCTCTATCATAAAAGTTTAAACTAGAAATTGTTCTTATTAAATGCTCTGACCTAACTGCGAGACTGCATAGTTTTATGTCTTTTTACTTATATTTGGGTTAAATCTGTCATAAACTAGTATTTTGAGATTTATTTTTTCCTTGTGTGATACGTACTTTGCATATACATATTGTCAAAACATTTCGAATTTTTATCATCACACGAAACTTCACTTGATATATTCTGGACAAAGACGTTTAAAAGATAGTTAAGTCATTTGAACTATACATTTAAACCTATCCTTGCTTTGTTTGCACCTCAACTTGGCTGGTTTCCAGATCTACACTTTGTGAATGAAAGAAAGGCTAGGTATTTAAATAGTAACATTTACAAATTCAGTGTGATTCAGTTAAACTATATGTTTTCGTATACACTGTCTCTTTTGCCCATACTCTGTCGGGACTATTTATGAATAATAAAAAACCAGTTTTGTCAGATAAAACAATCGCCCTAGCATAACATCTATCTTGTTTTGAAAGTGAAAGACGTATGAATCGTATTAAATCTCTCTCTGGTCATTCTATATTATCAAAGCCCATCTATCATCAAATAATAAGATTAACATTCTTGTCTGGCCATATGTAAATATATAGGAAAACACCTGTGGTGAATTGTTTTTGATCAGGATTATAAATCCGCATAGTTATTTGTAATCTGATGATGATTCTCCAATCAGCCAAAGTTGATATATCAGAAGTTCGGCAAAAGAATAAGCGCGATACATTCAAATTCCCAATTCGCTTAGTAGGAAAACACGAGTATGATTATCCTTCTATATATACTGCTCCTAGCTGGCATATATATTAAGCTCCGAGTTAAACTGGACCCCTGCTGTTGTTTCAATCTTATCTACACAAAAGTTTGTGTCGAAGTATCAATCAGCGGGTGGCCAGTTAAGCTCCGAGTACGTGAAGTTTTGTGAATGGACCAATCGCAGGGTTGTAAAAGGACAACTTAAATTGATATAGCGAAATGGATTCATACATGCCGGATTAGATATAGTACCTGCACTCATAAATAATAAAGAATAAAGAATTAAAGCATGGATATGCTATTTCTGTTTGGAACACAGTGTTTAAAGAGTAGTGTGAGGTGGGACAAACTTCTGAAAGCGACAAGAAAAAACCAAGCAACCTTTTCTGTTGTTTAAAATTTAGTCATTGTTCTCTTTTATTTTCAATATTTTTCGTGTTGTGAGGAGGGGGCCAAAAACACCGTTTGTTCCCACCCAACACTTTTGGAAGTGGTGGAGAATTATCGCTTGTCCATCCCCCCGGGGGGGGGGGGGGGGCTCCTATACATCCCTGGGACAGACCAAAATTACTGATACTTTCATTGTATTATTATGTGTGTTTTACAATGTTGTTGAATTTAAGGAGATGCTCCCCAGACTTTCAGGAAATGCATAATTGGGAAAAGGATTTCCCGCAAATTTTGAAATCTGATTACCGATGTTAAACAAACATACAAATCCCAATAATCTTCAGGAGCTCATCAGGTAGCAACTGCATCATATAGAAATATGAAGTGAGGCCATATACATGTCCGCCACTTTGAGTACTTAAACTGCCTTTAGTCGTAAAGTTTAGTTTTCAACCGACCCTCATTGTCAATTTATAGATGTTAGTTTAGATATGAGGCAGACTTAACTGCATCTGTTGTATCCTTTATTTCAAGTTCGATGGGATAGATGCGTTCAACATAGTCACCAAACTTTAAACTATTTAGTGAGAGCACATCATCTATATAGCGGAAAATGAAGTTAAAGGATAATGCTAGCTTCTTTCCATTCTTTCTAAGAAGCTCTCGAGTGAAATCGGTCTCATATAAATAAAGGAACAAGTCGACAAGAAGAGCAGCACGGTTGGTTCCATGGGAATACCGCCTGATTACTAGTTTTTTGGTAGGATTCGTTTCGCATAGTCTTTAGTTTTCTATGTTGTGTTTTATGTACTGTTGTTTGTCTTTTGGTCGTTTTTTGTGTTTTTTCATGGCAATGTAAGTTTGTTTTCGACTTCTGACTTTGAATATCCGTTTGGTATCTTTCGCTCCTTTTTCTTTACAACATAACAATCTATTGGTTTCAAACACCAACAGTTAATATTAGTTTCGGCGATCTCATTGTCGCACAGTATACATAAAAGAACGTGTAACGAAGATCGGTTAAGAAAAAGGACTGAACTCTAAAATACAGCAAGCCCACTGTACTTAATCTGTTGATATGACGTCATATAATAAAAAAAAATAGTTATCGGTCCGCCGCTCGGCTGTACTTCTGAGTAGATTCCATACAGCATTTCTAAACGAAAAAAAAAATAATCAGTGTTCTACCTGGCATTGTTTTGATGAGATAATTTCGTTTTTTTTCAACAATTGAGAGCCAAAAATTATGAAATGGCTAAAAAAAAATATTTTAAAAGCTTTTCAGTAGCACCTGAGTTAATCCCTCTAATGAACCCCTAACGGGATTGAACACGTGCTTTGTTGATATCCGGCAACTTGCCAAGACATTTGAACTTAAAGTATTCAAAATATAGTCCTTATATGCTGCATTATTGTACAGAAGATTCTCATGTTTGTATATTGAATTATATCTATGAATGATAAGTTAGATGTAAATTTTCTTTATGAAGTAGGTTAAAATAAAGGGCAGTGTCAATCTAACAAATTGACAATTATAGATTATACCGCTATAAACAGGATTGACAAGGGACTATTTTCTAAGGAATGAGTCGTCGCCATAGATGAACAAGAAAAATGGAGTTTCTATGCCTTTATCGATCTTATAGATTACCATGAAGATAGCAGTTAAAAAAATAATGTTCCTTTTGTATATATGGGAATTAGTTAGTTAAGTACTGGCGTTAAACTGTGAAAAACAGCTGCAGTCGTGTCCCGGAAGTGGGTATTTTCTGCTCGTTCTCATCTGTCAGAATGAATAATTTTCATGACGGAAAGATTATTGTGTTGACATTATGAATGGAAAAGTAGATTTAATAGTGTCCAATGAGAAAATTGTGGAAGATATCGTTAAAGACGATTACGACTCAAAATTCTTGTCATTCCTTTGTGAGAAACATTGTTTTCATTCATTCCAAAAAAGAGGTCACAGTCATTTGACCTGGTGCGCGAGACTTCATTTTTTTCATCAACAAACGGAGACGAGACAGTCGCTAGTCATATAACTATTATTTAAAGAAGTGATCATTGGCATTTTAATACTATCATTATCTCATTATTTTAGATAAACATTATATACAGAGAAGTATATATGTAACTGAAGTAGCACAGTGACCATGTTACCCTACATTTATGAATATCATGTTTTACATACTTTGTGAAGAAGTTTAAGAGATACTGTCTCTTAAGCAAATAAATACAGCTTTTATTTTATTATCATAAAATGAGTAAAAAGCTGCCTATGGCAAATGGGGAATTGTCACATGAAATTGGTGAGAGTAAGCATGTTGGAAAGGGACCGTCACATGTTTCAAAAGGTATGAAAAAGGTTACTGACATGGGACAAAAAATAACACATAGAAAAGAAAGTGCAATGCCAACCAATTCTCAGAAACAAAATCAGTCGGAAAACACCTTTCCAAGAACCACTTCAAGAAGTTCGAGAAATATCCCTTGGAGGGCAAGACGTTGTGTATCAGATGATATTTCTGGAAGAATCGATAGCGACAAGCATTCATGTGTATCTGGATTAAGACACCGTACCCGTGAAGGAAGTAAAAAAGTTGATTTAGCTGGTAAAGATCGTTCATTAAGTTTACCTTCAGAAACAATAGAAGATATTGCTAAGCACATTGATTCTGATAAGACCGTAAACAGTAAAGGTACACATGTCAAGTCAAAATTAAATGACAGTGAATTAAGCAAAAAATCTACTGATAGTGGTTCTAGTAACTGCAGTAATAATTCAGAGGAAACAAAATTCAAAATTGTTACTTCAGAGGATAAAAAAACAGTTAATGCTCCGAAGTTCACAACTGTTAATTTGAATGGTGGGGGTGTTGATAACGATGATATGAGTGGAAGTAAAAACCAAAAAATCCAAGAGATTCGGAAATTTACCAGATCTGTAACTATTGACAAGACTGCATTGTATATTGATCCTGAGGGTTTGAAAACACAATCGGATTTACATACTTTAGACAGTAGTGTAGGTATCAGTGATGATAATTACAAGGTTTCTATCAAAACTTCAGAATCTGAAATTCAGGAAACTCCTTTGGAATCTTTAGATGAGGTTCAGGTGGAACCAAAAGTAGATGAAACTGAAGAGAAAGCAGTGTCAACATCACCTGATGGTCGCTTTTTCAAATTTGACATAGAAATCGGAAGAGGTTCTTTTAAAACTGTGTTTAAAGGTCTTGATACAGAAACAGGAGTTGCTGTTGCTTGGTGTGAATTGCAGGTATAAAATACACTGTACATGTACATGTACCAATGTGTACATTTTACATGTTGTATTTAGAGTTCTCACTAAGATTTTATACCATTACAAGTTAAGTTGGGACAAATTCAATATTTACACATTCAAACCCTTTTTCCTCATCAATTACATAATGTAATCTAAACAAAATATCTTAATCATATTGTTTACTATTTTAATTTCTTTGAAATGGAATGATGATTTATACAGGTTGGGGAGGATCCTCATAAATGGGTACTATCCTCATTTATGGGTATTATACCCCAAAACGGGTATCAATTTTCAGTGATGAAAATATAAACTTTGAATTTACAGATATTTTCTGTCATGGTGCGAACATTCTAGTAAAGGATAACATTTTGCCTAAAGATACCATGACTGAATATCATCAGGGTAAAAGTTAACAGCCTCCAAAAAGTATGATTTTCGGAGGCCAGTATCTTTGTATTCAGTTCTCATTTGAACTATGGTCTTAAAGGGAAAAATGTTGCCATTTATATGAATGTTTGCGCCATGACAGCTACATGTATCATGCATGTCATGATGAAATAAAAAAAAAGATTTTTCATCACTGTAAATTTATACCCGATTTTGGGTAGGTACAATGTACATGTATGATACCCATAAATGCAGATGGTACCCATTTATGAGGATCTTCCCCAACCTGTATAGACTCAACTCATAAACTCTTGATGCAACCATGTGGACTCTCACTCATCTACATGTATTCAGTCATCACACTTGGATTGTCTGAATCGGCAGAGGGGTAAACTACAATGTATTAGTATAAAGCTTCAAAAACACAAACATATTTCAGAAGTGACATGTACATTTTTTGTGTAGAAGACATGGATACATGTACTTCTTATATTGAATACAGGTACTTGAAGTTTCTGTTTGACAAATGTCTGTTGTCGTTAATAACCTCATTTTCATGGTTCATCAACTGCTTTATTTTATATCACATGATTTGCTCTCTCTTTATTAATTAGACAACTCAGGGCTCACACTAACAGGCGACTAGGGCGAAGAAGTCGCTTTCCCCGTCCGTCACTTCGCTTTGCCAGACCCTCAAAAGCAGAAACTAGTCGCCCTGTTGTTTACGATACTCGCTTTCAGTCGCTTTTGCCATCGGCAATATTTATTAATATTCAATTTTTATCAAGTCGATGAAACAGCAATTTTTCATTTAAAAGTAAAGAAATTCAAGGCATAAACTATTTATTTTCATCAGAAAAGAGGTTAAAGTATTTATTTTAAGTTGGTGGCATGTTATTTCATAAAAACAATTTTTTATCACTTCCGGTACTTGTCCCCTACTAGAGTAGAGAGCGTATTCAAATCATTTTAACATTCAACAAAAGAAGTTGTCACTTCATTAGAACTTGATGAAATTTGCCTGAAGTAAATTTGTCATCCATGTATTGCATTAAAAACGTCATATTCCTTTCCAAATAGCGTGTCAAACATTGTTTATTTTTGTAAATTTTACTTCGTCCGACATTTAAATTATTGGGCATATTATTGTACAACTACGGATCGGAGTCGGGATTTCATCGGAAACGGACCGGCTATGACCGAAATCCGGATTCTTACGATAATGATTACGGACACATGAATGGCACTGCTGACAGACAAAAATTGATCCCAAAAGGAAAAAATATGCTTTCTACATGCATTTACATACTTTTGTTTAGATCTTCTTGATTAATGTATATATGTCCATGTATATAGATATAAGAAGATGTGGTATGAGTGCCAATGAGACAACTCTCCATCCAAGTCAAAATTTATAAAAATAAACCATTATAGGTCAAAGTATTGTCTTCAACACGGAGCCTTGGCTCGCAACAAACAGTAAACTATAAAGGGCCCCAAAAATTACTAGTGTATAACCATTCAAGCGGGAAAACCAAGGTCTAATCTATATAAAAAACGAGAAACGCTTATGAACAACATCAACAAACGACAACTACTGAACATCAGATTCCTGACTTATGACAGGTGCAAACAAGTGCAGCGGGTTTAAACGTTTTAATGGTACCAAACCTTCACCCTTTTTCTGAAACAATAGTGTAACATCATAACATAGAAAGACACACTATAAAATATCAACTGAAATAGCTTTACTCAATCAAAGGACATATTAACACCAGTGCATAGTTATAATTTATAAGTTAAAGTTGCTCAACTCTGGGACTATTACACTAATATAATTATATTATGTCCAAGCTTAACTGTTAAATTTATATATCTTTTTAATGAGAAATACTTAATTTCATGAACATGCAAACAGAGTAGTTTTTTAATTGAATTTTAAATGATATAACAACTTTCTTTTCCTTTTTGATATAAAAAAAAAAATCTTTTTTATTATTGCCAGATATTTAATTGTTTTTTTCTGACAAGAGGACTCATATGATTGTGCAACTAGAAATGATAAAATTAAGCAAGTTATTTTAATTGTATACCAAAGGTACAAATTGAACAATATACAAAAAATAAGATACATAAAATTATTGCACTTAATGTATTATAGTAAAAACCAAACATTGTAGCGCCGCGAGCAAACAAGCACTTCTCTTTCAAATCTCACCACTTCAATTTCAAAAAGAGAAGTCACTTCTCCCTATGATTCTGAAGTAGTGTGAGCCCTGCAACTACATGTACATGTATGTATTTGATCTATAAAACCATTGCAAGGTATACACTACTGTCATTCAGGGTTTTCCTGACCTTGACCTCATTTTCATAGATCATTACTCAATGTTAAGTTTCTGTGGTTATGTCACTTTCTTTGGTACTATAAGCATGAGGTCAACTATTTTTGGTGCATAGAACAATGGTTAGGTGTGTACATGTCTGTCTTGTGGGATCCAGCTGACCAATGGTCAGTGACCATGACCTCATTTTTGTGTTTTATTCCCCCGCCGTAGCGGAGGGGGCATTAAGTTTTACCTTTGTCCGTCTGTACGTCCATACGTCCCAAAGTTGGTTTCCGTTCTCTAACTTTAGTTTGCCTCAATCAAATGTTATGAAACTTATACCCAATGCTTATTACCACTAAATACAGATCAAGTTTGAATTTTGGTGGTGTCACTTTCACCGTTCTAGAGTTATGCTCCTTTACAAATGGATAAATTTTTTGTTTCCGTTCTCTAACTTAAGTTTGCCTCAACCAAATGTTATGAAACTTATACACAATGCTTATTACCACAATATACAGATCAAGTTTGAATTTTGGTGCCGTCACTTTTACTGTTCTAGAGTTATGCCCTTTATAAATAGAAAAATTGTTAAATTTTTCTTTCTTTTTTTTTCTAAATATCAAGTCATTTTTATACGACCGCAAAAATTAAAAATTTTTTGGTCGTATATTGGTATGACGTTGGCGTCGTCATCGTCGTCCGGCGTCGTCCGAAGACACATTGGTTTTTGCACTCTAACTTTAGTTATAGTGAATGGATCTCCATGAAATTTTACCATAAGGTTCAATACCACGAAAGAAAGGTTGGGATTGATTTTGGGGGTTATGGTACCAACAGTTAAGGAATTAGGGGCCAAAAAGGGGCCAAAAATAAGCATTTTTGTAACTTCCAGACAATAACTTGTGTGTAAGTGTATGGATCTCTCTGACATTGTACCACAAGGTTCCATATCACAAAGGGAAGGCTGTAATTGATTTTGGGGGTAATTGCCTCAAAATTTAAGGAATTAGGGGCCAAAAAGGGGCAAAAAACAAGCATTTTTCTAGTTTCATGACAATAACTTGTGTGTAAGTGTTTGGATATTTCTGAAATTGTACTACAAGGTTCCATATAACAAAGGGAAAGCTGGAATTGAGTTTGGGGGTAATTGCCCGAAACGTTTAGGAATTGGGGGCCAAAAAGGGGCCAAAAATAAGCATTTTTCTAGTTTCCAGACAATAACTTGTGTTCAAGTGTATGGATCTCTCTGAAATTGTACTGCAAGGTACCATACCACAAAGGGAAGGCTGGGATTGAGTTTGGGGTGATGAATCATAAGGGGGTTCAAAAAATTTGGGGGGGGGGATTTTTTTCTTTTCTTTTTTTTTTCTTTTTTTCCTTTTTTTTTTCTTTTAAAATTTTTCCAATTGCTGAATTTTTCGTTTCCGTTCTCTAACTTCAGTTTGTTTCAACCAAATGTTATAAAACTTATACACAACCGTTCTAGAGTTATGCGTGTTTACAAATAGAAAAATTGCTGAATTTTTAATCTCTGTTCTCTACTTAAGTTAGCCTCAACCAAATGTTATGCGACTTACACATAATGCTAATTACCACAAAACTCAGATCAAGTTCAAATTTGGGTAGCGTCACTTTTACCGTTCTTCAGTTATGTCCCTTTATAACTATATGATGTGCAAGCGGGGGCATCATCTGTGTCCACTATCCACATTTATTTTTTATTAATTTGATGTGAAGTTTTGGTGGTAAGGTTTGTTTCTCAGATCCTGAATGTATATATATTGTAAGCTATAGGTCTAACTATATTTGTTGTATGGAATGATTGTAAGGCAAACAAAATAGAAGTCTGTATCCTGCCTTGTGACCAACGCTGATTTTGAAACCTTAAAGATTTAATTGCCTTTCCAAAAATGAACATGTATTCAAAAATTAGTGATTAAGGTTGTTTGAGTAGCCTAAGAATCCTATTTCAGCTGGATCATTCAGTCAAATTTTTAAAAAGATTGACCATAATCGACTGAAAAAGTCCCAAATGAAAGTTGTCAGAGCATTCAAAATTACAAATGGACCATTGTGCATGCATGACTTAATGGGTGCTTTGTAAATCTGTCTGAATAGGACTTACAGAAAACATATTTTTTTTGGCTTTTGTTAGTACAAAATGTATGCCACCCAAAAAATCCAGACTGAAGACACTTTTTTATTGTTTTTGAAAAATCCAAACTGGAGGGCCCTTTTTAATGGCTGGGGGCAGGAAGCATTCATAAATCTTTTTGGATCTAAATATAACAAGAACATGTATGTTACTACCATAACTGCTTTGTGTTAAAATCTATAGATATATAAAATTGAGAATGGAAATGGGGAATGTGTCAAAGAGACAACAACCCGACCTAAGAGCAGAAAACAGCCGAAGGCCACCAATGGGTCTTCGACACAGTGAGAAAATCACACAGCCGGCTCCTGAATAAAAATGTGTAATGGTTCAGTGAAAAAAAACTAAAATTAAAAACATACAAGACTATCAAAGGCATGAGGCTCTTGACTTGGCACAGGAGCAAAAATGCGGTGGGGTTAAACATGTTTTATGAGATCTCAACCCTTCCCCTATACCTCTAGCCAATGTAGAATAAACAAGCACACAGCAATACACACAGTAAAACTCAGTTTAAATGAAGTCAGAGTCCGATGTCAGAATAGGTAACAAAAGAAACTAAGCAAATGACAATGAAACATGTATTTTTGTAAGAAGTTACAAAAATGCTAGTCTATCTACAGCCAATTTCCAAATTTGAAAAAAACATCTTTTCACTTCAAAATGCAGAGATTTTTTGCTTCCCTATAGGTTAATTTCAAATTCAGTGATATATTAAATTTCTGTGTATAAAATAGATATATACATTGTACATGTACATGTAGGAAAATTGATGAATAAATGCTGTTGCCAAAATGTCAACTATTTTTTTTTAACAATATGTTTGAAAAAACTCTTGTGTTGTTGGATTTGATTTTTCCAGAAGTTTTCTGTTATTCAAACATTTTATTAATCTAAAAAAAATACAATTATACCCTTATTTAATTTTAAAATTTTATAATGACATGAACATGATGAAAGGGAAAAACTAGAAATGTCTTATTGAAGCAACTTTATAGATGTATTCTTAAGAGTTGTTTTATTGGTACCAAAATCAAAGGATTGAGAAACATTTTGTATCAATATCCTTGTCCGTGTCGTAAAAGTTTTTAAGAAAATGTTATGGTCATTGAAATCTGAGAGGTTCCTGCAAACACACAATGTCAAACCTACTGAGAAATGTACACTCCATGCAAGAACATGATTGAAAAGAGTTGTTATTTTTGATTGATTGGTAAATAATCGGATGGCTATTAAATATCCAGCAGCGAATATATCATGCATAATCAGTGTAATAACTCATTTTATAAAGTATATATATGTATAAATTGTAGGACAAAAAATGGAACAAGAGTGAAAGACAACGATTCCGTGAAGAGGCAGAAATGCTGAAAGAATTGCAACATCCAAATATTGTCAGGTTTTATGACTCTTGGGAGGAGAGCACATTACGCAATAAAAAATTCATTGTTCTTGTTACAGAGTTGATGACTTCTGGAACATTAAAAACGTGAGTATATTGTATATTTTGCAATCAGTCTTGTCATTAAGTGCAGGATTTACAATAAATTGAGCCAGCCTAACTTTTTTCACTGTTTTTAATCTCTTTTGGATTTATAACTCAGGTCATATAAGCCAATCAAGTTAACCATCCAGAGATGAAGGGAATTTTGACACAACACATGAAACTGATTTTGTTGTAATTTGGGTTCCTTTTAGCTGACAGTGCATCCTTTGAAGTGTGGAACACCAGTAGACTTGCTATATGCTATATATATACATACATGTACATGATGTACACATGTACTCAACTTCATTGAACATGTTTAATTAACATGAATAATGGAATTACACAGAAAAAAACAGTTTCTGATAGTGGATGTTAACTTTACAGAGGTAAAACTTTGAACAGAGATGGAATATGTGAAATGTGTACAATTTTTGTCAAGCATTGATACCTTCAAGATTGAGTAATTATTTGTTCTATGTTTAATAGTTCTTTTTACATACAATCTTTAGATAAATATTTGGGTCATTTTGGGACTACCATAAAAAACCATTTATACATTAAAATATATTTTGAAAGCCAAAGGATGTTTCAAGCTTCATACTTGGCTGTCTACATATTTTTCTTAAAAAGTGAGCTATTTAGGGTAGAATCATTTTTCAATTGAATATGTGTTATCCAAATTCAGATTATTAAATATTTCCCTATAATTATTATTTTGTTGAGTTTTAATTTTATTTCTCAATTTACCTCTATGTATTCCTCTAACAATGTATCTAAGTCATTGTTCCATGGTTTAAAAATCCGATTTGGACATCTTGAAAGCACAATTACTATAGAGAAGCACAAGATGTAAAACAATTGTAACAAAAATGTAAATTTCAAAGAATCAGGAAATTCCTGTGTTGACCACTATTATACATGTAAAAACAACCACTTGCCATATACATGTACACACCTAATCATGGGACACTCTAATCAACAGATCAATAAATGCATTATATAGATGGTCAAAAAATTACCTGAGAATATGCAACTGTTTACTATTCAGATTTTTTTTTACCCTTTGACTAATACATCTCTTTACACATGTTTAGTGTGTTACAGTTTTATTAGCATCCAGACAGATTTATGGGAGCTGAAGTAAGCGTACGTATGGTATGCTGGACACAATGTTATACACATTGATATGGCAAGATTTTTTACTTGCCAAATGCCAATCTTGTTATGTCTCTGATTGAAATGATGGTGGTTATAAATTTGGAAGGATGTGGCTTATACAGAGTAATAAGTAATTTTTAATTTTACAGAAATGGGGCCGAAATAAAAGCAAGGCACCCCACCATGCTTAAATCCTCTAGGGAAAACCCTGCCTCTAGATTATGTCTTATTGTATTATATTGTTAGGGTTGCTGTGTTATTGATATATATCTCACATCTCCTTTTATTCATACAGAAATATTTGTCACTACATCTGTATTGGTTTTTTTTTATTATTGAATTCAGATACATTAAGAGGTTGAAGAAATTGAATACAAAAGTATTGAGGAACTGGTGCAAGCAAATTTTGAAAGGACTTTACTTTCTCCATACAAGATCTCCTCAAGTTATACATAGAGATTTAAAATGTGACAATATTTTCATCACTGGACCAACAGGATCTGTGAAAATTGGAGACTTGGGACTGGCAACATTAAAAAACAAATCTTTTGCAAAAAGTGTAATTGGTAAGTTGTTAACTACTTTAAATGTCAATGTTGAGTTATTGAAGTTGAATTTGTAAATGTGTACCATAAGACATTTATCCTGGTAACAAATAGTTTTTTGCAGCATTTTATTTTCATGACCTTTGTGTATTGATTCTGTTGCAGATAAGTGTGGGTAAGTTTAAATTGATTATATAAGTAAATTAATGTTACATGTATTTAAAAAGCCAAAGTACAGAAGTAAATTATTTATTCTAAATATTAGATTTAATAAGAAAAATTTTACATTTATCTAAACTAAATATTTACATATTCAAAACATATAGGAATCGATATTTCATAAATATTTGAAGAAATGCATAATTTCGTATTTTTTTGACAAATCAAGGTTGAAGATACACATGAAAATTACAGGCTTCTCACACTAATATTGAATTTTAATGTAATCATTTTCATTTTCAGTTTTATGGAATTAAAATTGAAAAAAATAATTTTGTACATTATTTTTTCAATGTAAAAAAGGGAAAGATCTTTATGGAGATAATTGAAGACTGTAATCCATTTGTTCTGCAGCATTTTGATTTTTAACTTTTACCTTTTATTATAGCATCTCTCCTCTTTGACCTCCTGCCTTAATGACAGAAAAGGTAAGACCACCAGGTAAAACCACTTGTATAAAATGTGAGGGGAAATATGTGTATTGAATGATCTCTCTATTTTAACAAAAACATTCTTTTTCAGGGAAGGAACACTATTGGTTAAAAATCACTAATCTTCTTTTCCCCTTCACATTTTCCCTTGTAGATTCCAGCAAATGGTACAAGAAGCATCTTCTTATACATTTAAGGTACCCCTGAGTTCATGGCTCCTGAGATGTATGAAGAGCATTATGATGAATCTGTTGATGTCTATGCCTTTGGAATGTGTATGTTAGAAATGGCCACATCAGAATATCCATACAAAGAGTGTCACAATGCTGCTCAGATCTACAGACGTGTTACCACAGTAAGTCATTGGTTTGAAACAAATTCTGTTGATTCAAATATATATTTGATGATCTCAAATTTTATCAGAAAAAAATCAACATTTTACAGTAAAATAATTTAAAAATGTACCATTGAATAAGAAAGTAGAAATGCCATGAATTCAACACAAGAATAACACAGTCTGACCATTTCAGTGTAAAAATTTACTGTTTATTTCATGTTAAAGGCATTAAAAGTTTTCATTGATCTTTTTTGTAAGCAAATAACAAAAAAACAATTCATGAATTTGGTTGTTTTATGATTTGCATACAACAGCCATTGTTACAGGCACATTCAAGACAATTCATTGATTTGAATTTACACAGAAGATATAGAATAATTTCATACACATAAGTATGAAAGTTAATATCTGTTGAGACTTTCATCTCTTTATTCGTGTATCTTTAGGGTGTTCCTCCAGATGCTTTAGAAAAGGTTGATAGTCCATATATAAAAGACATAATTGAGAGCTGTATACGATCAAGAAAGGAAGAGAGGTAAATAAAACAAATAGAAATTTATTAGAATAGAGTCAATACAATATATTTTATGAAAAAATTAGTATTTTGAATTTTCATTTACGTTGAAAGTTCACAGATCTTTTAAATAGCTAACTTATTATTATAGGGAATGTTTGTAAATGGGAATTTAGAAAAATTTCTGTTCATTTATTATTGTGATTTTTGAACAATGGAAACAAATGCAATTTTCTGTACATGTAATGTCAGAAAATAGTGTACACTAATGTCATCAAAATTTAAAATGTTAAAAACTTTAGGAAACCTATCTTATCAAAGTTTTCAGAATTATAAAATCATCACAAAAATTTCTGAATTAACAGTATCTTACTATTAGATACAGAAGTAGGCATGTGAATTAATTACATCAGACAAATATCAAACTTGTTCAACTGATGTTATCATTTTTTAATGTTCTTTGATGCTACAAATATTTTATAATTAGTACAAAATAATTTTGTAAACTCATCTTATTTTAAAGATATTCAGTGAAAGATTTACTTCAGCATGACTTTTTCTTGGATGACAATGGTTTACGACTAGAAATTGTCAAAACAGAAGACGGTGAAACAGAGTCCGTTCAGTTACAACTACGAGTAGTAGACCCTAAAAAAAGAAAGGACAAGCATAAGGAAAATGAGGCTATTCAGTTTGGATTTGATTTGAATAGTGATGATCCAGACAAAGTTGCTCAAGAAATGGTAAAAAACATGTTTGGCTTTGTATTGGGATGCACATTGTATTGTATGTTACTTTCCATTGTAAACATGTTTATTCTTTATCTCTTTTTCTTTATAATTATTCAGCTTTGGTGGTCTTGTGGTAGGTTAATGGTTCAATGCCTTGCAAGGTCAGACCAAAGTCTTTAACTCTTACGTATACCATGCTGAATTGTTTTCAGAAAATGTCTAATTTTCGTTTATTTGCAAAAAAAATTTGGGGAGGGGTCATTTTTTCCCTCAAGATTTAAGAATTTGTCAATTTTCCAAAGAAAAAATTGGGGGTCACAATTTATTTTGCTAATTCTTTGTATATAGTCTGAAAACAGATTTACTAAGTATTGTGCAACAGCACAGTGTATTGCACAACAGCAAGAAATCTTTAATTGAATATAAATTCACATCATATAACCAATTTCAAGTTCTTTGACTACATTTATTCTGTGTCAGAAACCTATAATGTGTCAAATATTTAATTACAATCCAAATTCAGACCTATAGCAAGGTTGAATATTGTGTCCATTTTTGCCCCAACTGTTCAGGGTTGGACCTCTGTGGTCTTATCCAGCTGCGCTCATGAAGCAGTTTTTTTTTATTTTACCGGTGTCTGAATATCATATTATAAAAGATGACGACAAGGTAATCTTGCCATCCATCTTGAAATGGATTTAAGGAACACAACTGAGGACTTCGGAGAAATACTTTTCATAAGGACCGATGTCGGACAATATCCCATTTTTTCCAGAAATTCAAATCTGGTCAGCAGCTTGGCTGTGGTGTGTTCTAAGATGCGAGCACTGTAGAACATCATTTTCCTGTTGCCGATACTTTGAATTTTTCAATATGTTGAATGATCTCAAAATGTTCTTCGTACTTTTCTCAAGTATTATTGAACAGAATGACTTCACAGTAATTCAGCAGCTTAACATGGTGACTTGTATGTGAGTGCTTTTTGGATTTGTCAGACACTCAATTTCTGTTTTCTGATACCGGTACTTTGAATTACAATGGGGTATGCTATAAAGCACAACATCACGGACAATCTTGTTTCATCAATTTATGGGTTTTTGCCTAGTTTTTAACATAGCCTATGTGTGCTGATACTGCATTAAACCTGCTGTCAGTCAGTTATTCTGGTACATTTTAAATAATTTTGTGTAATCTGATGTAAATTCATTTTGACCTATTGCACATATTTCAAAAGCAGTTTATATATATATAGTGACCATGGGCTAGTAGGCAGGGAAGAATGGGAACCTATTTTATTTAATCAACTCAACCGTTACTCAATTTTACAGAAAGATTGCACACATATACAACTTGTGCTATTAACTGCTATAATGGAATTGCTTGAGGAATTAAATTAGGGCTGTTTCAGACTTAAAGGCATAAGGAGGTATTTTAATTAATAAAATTGTGGGCTGTTGCATTTTCTGTTTTTGTAAGAGATATAAGTAAAATGAAAATTTTATATTACTGTTGCCTTTCATCCCCCGTGTGTAATTTTATTTAAATAACAAAGCCAGTCCCTTGAAATTTCACAAAAGTACATATAAGGAAGTATTGCGCCAGCATTAATATGCAATTGTTTAAGGAAATTTTCACTTTTTTCTAATGCCCCCTCCTGTAGGTGGCGGGGGTATTAAAAGTTACCCTTGACCTTCTGTCTTTCCGTCCATCCCATTTTCATTGCAAAGCTTGAGCGGGGGCATTCGTGTCCTCAGACACATTCTCTTTTATTTTTCAGGCAACATTTTCAAAACTTTAAAAGACAGTACCAACTTTGTTGTACTCAACTAGATGTTCATGCCTGTACATGCTACCCAGGGCAATGTTACAACAATGCATAGGAAAATAAACAAAAAGCTTGATATAACTTTTAATTGCATTGTTGTAGCATAAAAATTTAATAATAAGAATGGAATGTTTCTTTTTGTAATTTTATAGGGTTGTTTTAGCATTAATAGTGCATACATTTTAAGGTTAAAGCGTGTCTGCGCTTCGTATCATACAAATAAATAAAAAGAAGAAATTAATTCTTATAAAAGTGAATCACATTTAAATCTGTTTTCAGGTTAAATCTGGTTTCTTACAAGAAGAAGATGTAAAGTTTGTTAGCAAGCAGATCAAAGACAGAATTGGTCAATATAGAAGCCGAGGGAATGTTACAGAAAGCCATAGTAAGACTGCAGAGGTAACTCAAGATGGACATCCTTTACAGACTCAACCTGCACAGATTCAACCTCCTGCACAGGAATCTGTGCAGACAGTTGACCTGTCCCAACAACATGTTCAGCCCCATTCTGAATCCCATATCCAGACATCAGCACCATATAGTACAGTTCAGACTCAGACTTCCGCTCCAGCTGTCATTCAGCAACAGTCCTTTGAAATACCTTCTGAGAAAGTGGATCATTCATTAAGTGAACAACAGTTAGCAGAATCGGATTTACAGAAAACAGACAGTCTACAAGATATTGGTAAACATTCAAACTAGGATAGATGTCCTATTAGTGAAAACTTTTCCCTTTCACATTATAATTAGAGACAAGTTGGAGGTGTACAGTGATAAGTGTGTTGTTGTTTGTCTCATTCATCCTTTTCTATTTGTATGAGCATATATATTAATTTACATTTTAGTGTTAAAATTGCCTTCGTGGTAGCTGTTTGCATAGAGTGCGGGAGGTTGTGGGTCGATATATAGATATGCCTTCTCAGAATAAAAATTCCCAGTTTTTGTCTCGCCTTGACGGAGTCAAAAAGCAAGACATAGGTATGCTGTTTCCGGCGGCAGCGTCAACAATGTATTAGTTTATGATTAGGTCTAATTCATGGTGAACCACTAGTGGTAGGTCAATGATATTTGGTATCCAGTTGTATTAGCATTGGCACATCTCATTACCATGGAGATTATTTGGCCCCGCATCCTCAGTCGAGGTCTATTGCCTTTGAAACTTTGCTTAGTTTACATGTATTAGTTTGTGATTAGGTCAGTTTATGGGGAACCACTAGTGGTAGGTCAATGATATTTGGTATGCAGTTGTATGAGCATTGGCATATCTCATTTCCATGGAGATTATTTGGCCCCGCCCCCTCATTCATGGTCTATTGACTTTGAAACTTTTGCTTAGTTTTCATGTATGAGTTTGTGATTAGGTCAGTTTAAGGGGAACTGTTAGTGGTAGATCAATGATAATTGGTATGCAGCTGTATAAGCAATAGCACATCTCATTTCCATGTAGAATATTTGGGCCTTACCCCTCAGTCATGGTCTATTGACTTTGAAACTTTTCCTTAGTTTATTTGTATTAGTTTGTGATTAGGTCAGTTTAAGATGAACCACTAATGTTAAGTAAATGATATTCGGTATGCAAATGTATTGGCATTTGCACATTTCCTTTCCATGGAGATTATATAACCCCACCCTAATTATGGTTTATTGACTTTGAAACTTTTACATAGTTTACAAGTTAATGTTTGTGTTTAGGTTTGTTTAAAGGGAACGACTTATGAAAAGTCAATGGTATTTGGTTTGCAGTTGTATTAGCATTGGCACATCTCATTTCCATGGAGATTGTTTAGCCCTGTACCTTCAGTCATGGTTGATTGACTTTGAGTATTTGCATAACTTACATGTTAAAGTATTGCTATTTTAATTTCAACATTTGCATTATCAAAATAACAAATAGGCGAGACATATCTCTGTGTTAACAGTTTATTACATATTGAAACATTTTTTGGGAAATATGTGTTTGCAAATTATTTTATAGTACCATAGTTTTACCTCCTACCTCTATGGTCCTTTGCTCTTTTAGTGATTTCTTTCAAATAGTGACATGTCCAATTTCATGGCAGAGATTTTACAAATCATAATTGTGTTCCTTTTAGCCATTCCATTATCCATATGAGATATTGGCCAATTTTCTCGGTGCTATATAATTCTTCAATTACATTGCAAAACAACTGTATTTATTTATATTTTACTTTGTCCTTTTTGTCCCCCACGCAACACGGTGCAAGGGGGACATAGAAATACTGTTCGTTCATCCGTCTGGTTTTTTAAGCACTCTCACATGTTCAATTCTTGGCAGATTTTTATAAAACTTATATCATAGGTTTATATCAGCAATGTCTTGGACTAGTTCGAAAATCAGTGCCGATCAATTATTTTTGTCCCACCCATAACGCGTTGCGGGGGACATGGATATACTGGGTGTCTGTCGGTCTTGTTAGCGCTCTCACAGGTACAATTCTTGCCAGATTTTTATAAAACTTATACTATAGGTTAATATCACCAATATCTCTGACGAGTTCTTTAATGGTGGATGATCTACTTTTTATACGACCACAACAAATTTTTTGCATTGTATATTGGTATGACGTTGGCATCGTCGTCGTCTGAAGACACTCTAACTTTAGTTTAAGTGAATGGATCTCTATGAAATTTAACCATAAGGTTCAATACCACAAAAGGAAGGTTGGGATTGATTTTGGGGGTTATGGTACCAACAGTTCAGGAATTAGGGGTCAAAAAGGGGCCAAAAATAAGCATTTTTGTAACTTCCAGACATAACTTGTGTGTAAGTGTATGGATCTTTATGAAATTGTACTACAAGGTTCCATATCACAAAGGTAAAGCTGGAATTGAGTTAGTGGGTAATTGCCAAAAATGTTTAGGAATAAGGGGCCAAAAATAAGCATTTTTCTAGTTTCCAGACAATAACTTGTGTTCAAGTGTATGGATCTCTCTGAAATTGTACTGCAAGATACCATACCACAAAAGGAAGGCTAGGATTGATTTTGGGGGTAATTGCCTCAAATTTTTAGGAATTAGGGGCCTAAAAGGGGCAAAAAACAAGCATTTTTTCTAGTTTCAGGACAATAACTTGTGTGTAAGTGTGTGGATCTTTATGAAATTGTACTACAAGGTTCCATATCACAAAGGGAAAGCTGGGTTTGAATTTGGGGGTAATTGCCCTAAACATTTAGGAATTTGGGGCCAAAAAGGGGCCTAAAAACAAGCATTTTTCTAGTTTCCAGACAATAACTTGTGTTCAAGTGTATGGATTTCTCTGAAATTGTACTGCAAGGTACACTACAGCTCGGGTGGATTTTGCTTTGTCCACCGGCCCACCATGGGAGTGGGCACCGGGTGGGCAAAATTTGTACCTTGTCCACTCTGCCCACCTGTAGGAGTGGGCATTCAATTTCTTTTGTTTTATCTAAAGACTTGCAAGTACAATCACTTGAAAAAAGCAGATAAGCATTTGTAATCAATATTTTTACAAAAAAGAGATTATAGCTAGAGTGGGCACGGGTGGACTGCCCACGGTGGGCCGGTGGAAAAAGCAAAATCCACACGGGCTGTTGTGTACCATACCACAAAGGGAAGGCTGGGATTGAGTTTGGGGATGATGAATCATAAGGGGGTTCAAAAAATTTGGGGGAGGGATTTTTTTTTTCTTTAAAATTTTCCATTTTAAATTGGTTATTTCTGATATTTATATAAAAGCAAATAATAATGATATGGTTTGAATAGGTAAATTAAAATTTTTAAGTTCTTAGACCACATTCATTCTGTGTCAGAAACCTATGCTGTGTCAAATATTTAATCACAATCCAAATTCAGTGCTGTATCAAGCTTGAATGTTGTGTCCATACTTGCCCCAACTGTTCAGGGTTCGACCTCTCTGTCGTATCAAGCTGCGCCCAGCAGAGCATTTTATTATGCCTCTGCTGTAGCAGAGGGCATAAAAAGTCATCCACCATTTTCCGTACGTCCCGAAATTAGTTTCTGTTCTCTAACTTTAGTTTGCCTCAACCAAATGTTATGAAACTTTTACACAATGATTATTACCAAAAAACAAAGATCAAGTTTGAATTTGGGTGGGGTCACCTATACCGTTCTAGAGTTATGCCCTTTACAAATGGAAAAATTGCTGAATTTTCAGTTTCCGTTCTCTAACTTAAGTTTGCCTCAACCAAATGTTATGATACTTATACACAATGCTTATTACCACAAAACTCAGATCAAGCATGAATTTAGGTAGCGTCACTTTTATCATTCTTGAGTTATGTCCCTTTATAACGTAATATGCAAGCGAGGGCATCATATGTGTCCATTCCCCATTTATTTTTAAAGAGTTATGCCCCTTGGAAATATTAAATTTATGGAAAATGGCCTCGTTAGCGCTCTCACGGGTACAATTCTTGCCAGATTTTTATAAAACTTATACTATAGGTTAATATCAGCAATATCTCGGACAAGTTCTATAGTGGTGGACTATCAAATTTTTTTTAAGAGTTATGCCCCTTGGAAATATTAAATTTATGGAAAATGGCCTTGTTAGTGCTCTCACGGGTATAATTCTTGCCAGATTTTTATAAAACTCATACTATAGGTTAATATCAGCAATATAATCGGGCAAGTTCTATAATGATAGACGATCGACTTTTTTAAAAGAGTTATGCCCCTTGGAAATATAAAATAGGTGCAACGCGGGGAACATTGGAACTCTGTTCTTTTATTTAAGGAGTTATGACCCTTTGAAATATTAATTATATGGAAAATTGCACTTTTAGTGCTCTGATGTGTACAATTCTTGCCAGATTTTTATGCTTATATTGTAGGTTTATATCAGTCATGTCTCGGATGAGTTCAAAAATAAGTGCCGATCAAGGATCCGGAAATTTTTCCATCCAATTTCGGTCATTTTGAGATGTTTGAAAAGTTGGTGTCCCTTTTCAAATTGTCGATATCAACTGGACTATATTCATAGCATCAACGAACATGACGAACTTGTATTGCTGTTTCATCGCATTTACTAAGTAAATGTCTTACTATTACCATGAAGGGCAGTTTAGGGAAGGCAACAGTCTAAATTTGAAATGATTTTAATGACTCAAAATGGTTAATTTCTCAGACATTGCATACGTTTCTTTCGATTTGACAAAAGTTAACACCGGAAGTTTGCGATATTTTAAAGTACGAATAATTCCGGATTCATTTCCAGGATTTGTTTTGTTTATCAAATTGACAGGAAATCGCCGGCTTTTTTATTTTATTACCTTTAAAAGTGTTTGAATATAACAGATAATAGTTGCACTCGTTTAATTTAGCATGAAATCAATTTGCATTTTACGATTAAATATTAAATTTGCTAAAGACAATTTCACTCATGCGTATTACATAGTAAATAAAGCACATGTGTTACTCATGAAAAAATACTTTTTTCTATGTAAATTTAGATTTAATTTTTAAATCAGAATTGATGACTGTCTTTGATGAAAAGTAAATAAGTAATGAGTACACTTGTCAGGGAACTTTAATGTTTTAAAGATATTATTCTGAGCTTGTGATCACTGTCAGGTGTGAATTAAAACCACAGGTAAAAAGTGATCATTAGCCAATGTTTCCCGGAGGCATTGATATTGATATTAGTAGGGCCCTCAGGATTATAAAACTACTGTAGTGGCAGTTTTATTACAGGAAAGGGATTATAAACAAAAACAAGTGATCACAAGTGCAAAATGGCGATTAAGAAGTCTGATTTCAAACATTGAGTCAATGAAATGACCGAAATTACTTCTGTATAAAAATAAAATTTGTCCTAAATCCCAATTACTCATTTAGGACAAATAGTTTCATCTTAGGACATGACTGGCAAATATGACCGTTTCCAGACCCTTGGTGCCGATCAATTATTTTTAAAAGAGTTATGCCCCTAGGAAACATTAACTATATGAAAAATTGCATCGTTAGCGCTCTTATGTGTACAATTCTTGCTAGATTATTATGGAACTTATATCATAGGTTTATATCAGCAATGTCTTGGACGAGTTCGAAAATCAGTGCAGATCAATTATTTTTAAAAGAATTATGCCCCTTGGAAATATTAATTATATGGAATATTGCCTTGTGAGTGCTCTCATGTGTACAATAAGCCAGATTTTTATGAAATTTATATTATAGGTTTATATCATCAATTTTTTGGATTAGTAATTTAGGTCGAAAGTCTTTGCCGATCAATTATTTTTTAAAAGAGTTATGTCCCTTGGAGATATTAATTATATGGAAAATTGCATCTTTAGCACTCTCATGTGTACAATTCTTGCCAGAATTTTATGAAATTTACATCATAGGGTTATATTAGCAATGTCTTTGAATCTTTTGAAAATAAGTGCTGATCAAATATTTTTAACGTTTTACGCCCCTTTGAAATATTAATTATATTTGAAATCACAGTTCTGTGGAACCTCTTTCAATTTTTTAGTATGACCATACTTAAATGGAAGGGTATAATTTTCCTAAAATAGCTAGCTCTCATATGATTGGTCCATCAAAATATGTGTGTCAACAACTGAAATGTACTCTGATTGGTCACTTTTATTGAAATGGAAATAGAAAGAAAGGGAAAATAGTGGTTCTACAAAAAAATCAGTGAATTTGTTTATATTGTAATGACTTATTGATGCGAAGAGAAATAAGTGAGGTTATATTCAGTATTTTCCCTTTTTTTCTTATTTTTCTTTATTTTTGACTTGCCCATAGGACAAGTACACTACAGCTTTTACTTGCCCAAGAATGACTTTCACTTGTTCTGGGCAATTGCCATAAATGTTGAACCCTGCATTTTTCAATGCCATTCTTAATCAACTAACAAAAAAGGAGGTACAAAATGTATATTAAATGCACTTTCAGGAAACAGTGTATAAAAATTATGATATCAGTATTAAAAGTGTTAGTTACATTTTTTCAAAAAATTATAATACAAAATGAAATTTACAGTTCCAAATTGTTCAAGTAGAGAACCATGTTTTTAAACATTGTTTAAGTTTCTTACAGGGTATGCTTAACATTTTTATATTAGGCATTATTAGATGTACTAGGTATTGCTTTTATTGGAAGCAAGATCATTAAACAGTCATTTTAAATCTATTTTTTGCAAGACTTAATGTGAAAATAAAGTTTGTCTATACACATACTAAAATGTATTAATTTTTATGTATCATTGGTAAAATTATTTGGGTTAATTTGAATTTTTATGTTAATTTTTTTATCATTGTATTCTAGCTTCTGATGCTTCTCCTAGACAGAATGTAGATACCAGTGATACTACCAAAGATTTACTGATAGTTAAGGTAAGAGTAGATAATTACAAAATCATTCAACTCCAGGTAGTAAAAAAAATTGTGACTTGAAATTACTTGCAAAAATGTAAAACACTTCAGGGCTGTTCCATAAATACAAACATTGAACCGAGGGAACATATATCTTGAAGTATAGAAATGAATTTTAATCTTATATAGAAAGAGTGCGTCATTTTAATGATAAAATTGCACGACTTAAAGAATTAATACATGTTCCTGATAATAATTACTTGTATGGGTAAAACTGATTCCATAAAGTAGCATTCTCTGTGCCACTACAGTCTAGTAATGTACTGATCTAAATTGCGTTTATTTTTTTACAGATGTCTGAGCGAGAAAGATCAGAAAGTCTTCCATTGATAATAAGAGGTGAACAAGTACAAGATCAACAGGTATATTTCATATCAGACCAGTTTTCACCTACTAACACCACCACAGCATGACATGTACATGCTATTATAAAAATATTTTCGTTCAAACATTAGTATAAATATTTTAGATATACTAATACTATTGTGGGATGGGGTATCTTTTTGTGAGTTCACTCGCAGTTCTAGTTCTTTTTCAAATTGAAATTACATTTTGATTACATTACCATTTTAATGATTATATGAAGTTAACAGTAGCTACATCGGATAGAAATAATCTTTGTCAATTTATGTAGCTGCTTGATTTTAGAACTAAATCTTTATAATTTGAAAAGGTGTAAATTGCCATAACCGTGAATTAGAAGGCTATATAGAAAGTACTATTAACTATTATGGAAAACAATGTAGCGATATTTAGTACTGGGAAAACCAGATCTTAGGCATTTGTTTTGAATGACAAGTAAAACACTTTAATTCTATTTTGGGTTTATTTCTTCTATGACAGCAGTGAATTAAAAGTTGAAGCAAAGAAATATTATTATCACCCACGTTTAGTAGAACTATTTATATATCAATGTGGAAATTAGTTAATTTGATCATAAATATAGCTATGCTAGTGAATCTTTACAAAATTGCCTGTGGTCCCCATATACTAAATGTAAAATATGAGCAAAATAAATATACTTCTACTTACCCTATTTTTCCAAAGGAGGAAACCCTTGAACACACACAATTTTTATTTGGCCTTTATACCCAGCATGCCATACAGATGTTAACATGTATCTTTTTTTTAATCAATAAACTTATTAAATTGTCATAAACTTAGTTTTTTAGAGCACTAACATACATAGACAAAGTGATGGTATTAGTCAAAAAAGTGCAATATACTTACACAATAACATATTAACATAATGTTTTTATATATATATTGTACATATACATCATAGGTCCAAAGTTCAGAAAATGCAACAAACAAACAGAATGTTTTGCCACAAGTTTCATCGACCACAAATATGATTTTAAAGAAGGTGTGAAAAACCTCCTATGATCCAATCAAGTTGAATCAGTGTTCTGTAACTTTTTGAATGAAATCTTTGTTTGGAAATATGTCTTTAGCAATATCGGGCCTCATTTAGTGCTATGAACAAAAAATAGGATGAAAATAAGTTTCATGGTTTTATTTTTATCCAATTAAGAAAAATTTAGTTAAACATTATTAACAAGTATATATGACCTTAATTCGAACTTTGGATCAACTTGATAGGACTGGTTCTATGTTGTTTGGTGTTCACCTTTTGTTAGATATTTTCTGCACCCTTGTAACTAGAATACCTTTCACTTTAATTTCATTCTAATATTGAGTTATTAGTGCAAGTAAATAAACAATGTATAGTTCAAAGTTCAGTGTTTTTTATCTTTCTTTTGCCACCAACATGCATGTGGTCTTTTTACTGCGTCCACCAATCTGTGCCAAATGCTGTCTGACAGTCCTTTTCAATAAAATGTGTACCAATCGGGCTAATCAAAAAGTTTCTATTTTCAAAAATTGTGATAAGTGTCTCAAAATCATGTAGATACTGAGTATGCAATAGTTATTATTAGATAATTTATAAAATGCAGACCAGATTCATAGAAAACATGTAATAATTCTGAATTTCTCCAATGCAACCAATTTATTCATAAATTTTGGTCAGACAAATTATTTCAGTTTGCAAGAACAAATGTCTGTAAGGCTTTTGTTGAATAGACACAGACTGGCATTTATTATGTAGAGATGGAAGAGAGGTGTTTTTTTTTATTACCCCAGATATGCATAAATTTGCATGTCAAAAGTTGTCTTATTTAAAATGTTCACCCTGTTGAGGAGGAGGGGATGGTTGGAATGCTCTTTTTGTTTCGTCAGCGACTTTTTTAACAAACAGATTCTTTCACAGTTCTAGTTTTTATCTGACAAGAAGGAAATTTAATCATTTGGGTTCTTTTTTTTATGTCTTATTTCTGATCTTTTAGAATCAATATCATCCAGTTGAATGAAATTGTATTTCAAAGAGTCTTCACTCCCTTTCTCCGTATGTTAATCACTGTAGATGAAGCCCTCGGTTATGTTTACGTGAAATATATTCTTTTTATATCATAGAATGTAAATTCTGCATTTTGGAATGCCAAATATACCTTGCTTTTTGCAAAAAAAAAGATTTTTCATTACATTAATGAATATATATATATATATATATATATATATAATGATTAGATATTAGTTTACGAACTTTCTTACGAGGCAGCTGGATTGTTATGAGAAAGGATTCTGTACTTGATAAATAAGTTATATATTTGCCTGAAAAAGTGTACAAAACAACGCCAATACTAAATAAAGGAAACAATAAATGTAAGTATCTATAAATATTTCGGATAACAGATATCCAGATAACAAATATCCTTCATAAGTATGATTATGATGATGTATTATGAATCATATTAATCTATTCTGCTTCAACTAAAACAATCTTTACCATTATACAATTAAAAACAGAACAACACTTGTATAATTAAGTCTCCCAAACGAAGTTTGGGAAGACTTATTGTTTTTGCTCAGTTCTTATTATTATTATTATTCTTCTTCTTCTTCCGCCGCTTTCAAATTTGAACTTGTCCGCACCCGTTCTCCAAAACCGCTTGTCAGATTAACTTAGGGTTTCACAATATGTTAGACTAACATGTCTAGTGGTGCAATCAGGGTTTTGTTTGTGCAATGGGGTTTATAAAGGGGTACTTTGAGGGGCAAAAAGAAAAGAGGGTTTTACTATAGAACCCTATGGGATTTTATTTTTTAAAATTTTCAAATGATTATAAATTGAAAACCGTTTGTGATAGATACAATCTTTTTAATTGAAAATGTTCTAAATGATAAAGCCCATTAAATGAAATACAGGGTTAGTCCCCAGGGGTCACCCCCACCCCCTGCCATTTAAGAAAGTTCAAATACCTTGTAAGTGGTCAAGATCCCCACCCCTAAACCATATATATTTTGGTTTGTCATGCTTAGATGGTTTGAATGATATACAGGGTTAGTCCCCAGGGGTCATCCCGACCCCCTGCCATTTGAGAAAGTTCTCATATCTTGTAAATGGTCGAGATCCCCACCCCTAAACCATACATATTCTGGTTTGTCATGAGAAAGCACATCAAATGTAATACAGGGTTAGTCCCCAGGGGTCACCCCCTCCCCATGCCATTTAAGAAAGTTCTAATATCTTCTAAGTGGTCAAGATCCCCACCCCTAAACCATATATATTCTGGTTTGTCATGCTAAGATGGTTTGAATGATATACAGGGTTAGTCCCCAGGGGTCATCCCGACCCCCTGCCATTTGAGAAAGTTCTAATATCTTGTAAATGGTTGAGATCCCCACCCCTAAACCATATATATTCCTATTTGTCATGTCTGGAACATTTGAATGACGTATACGGTCAGTCCCCAGGGGTTCCCCCACCCCCAATGTTCTAATATCTTGTAAATGTTTGAGATCCCCACCCCTAAACCATATATATTCCTGTTCGTCATGTAATGAACATTTGAATGACGTATAGGGTCAGTCCCCAGGGGTTCCCCCCACCCCCAATGTTCTAGTATCTTGTAAATGGTCGAGATCCCCACCCCTAAACCATATATATTCTGGTTTATCATGCCAAGATGATTTGAATGATATACAGGGTTAGTCCCCAGGTATGACTAATGCATATAACTTTTCTGGACCAAACCAATTTTCACTGGAAGTTGCCCAATGTCAGGCGACCGTGGGAATTACGAATTATGGGAGCTTCGTTTGGGAGACTTCGTAACAGCATCCTGTTACAATCATTTCTTGTTCTAAGTGTTTTGTATACTTTTTCAGGCGTATATATATATATATATCTGTATATAAAATATAACTAAACTTTAATGGTTAAAGCTGCATCTTATAATAGCTTTGTAGTGTTAATGTGAAGATCATTTAGTTTATAGATTTCACAAACTGATCTTTGATATTTACTTGATTATTTAAATGAAGTAAATTTGGTGTATGAAATGATTGTAAGGTGTTCTTGCCTCTCTGGTAGGGTTCATCTGACCTTGACCTCATTTTCATGGATCATTAATAATGTAAAAATAAAGATACATGTAGTAAAATTATTCTAAAAGACTTTCAACATAAATTCAATCAGTTTCAGCAGTAAAGCAGGCAAGACATTTCAGCATCTGCACACTTGTTAATTACTGTTAATGTTGAAAATAATCAATGTTTTCTGTGTTCAAAAATAAAAAATCTTTGAAATGATGAAAATGTGAATATTTCATATTGTAATGAACCTATTGACTGATATGACATTGCAATTGTGGTATGAAAATCTTGAAAAATGATCTTTCTTGTTAATTGATTAGGTGCAATTGTAAGTTAGAAATATTAAATTGGTAATTTTAACATACCGGTGGTAATTATCATTAATAAATTATGTTGAATTTTCAGGGGACAAATTTGGAACAGCTCAACATCGCAGCTGCCCAACAGTTTCAAGGCAGTTACCAGAAGTCCAAATCCATGGGTCCAATATCTGCATCTTCATCATTGTCTGGTATATGTACAAGTCTATCTATGGGAAATCTGAATGACGATCACTCAAATAGAGAGAGGTAAAACTGATGTACAGCATATTAGCTCACCTAGCCCAAAGGAAAAGAGTGAGCTAAAACCATCACATGGTGTCTTTCAGCCTTTGTCTCCTGTCAATAATTAACTTTTCACATTGAATTCTTCACCAGAGACTCCTTGGCAGTTTGAATCTAACCTGGTTTGATAAAATAAGATATGTAAGGTCCTGTGCAAAAGGTTCTCATTTCAATCAGATTAGAGGAAAACAAAGCTGCCAGATGCAATTATTGATTCTAATAATACCTGTCAGTCCGTCTGTCTCACAAAATTAAATCACACTATTAGCTCACCTGGTCCAGAGTCTTTAGCTAAAAAAGAAATTTAGATTCCAGCACTGCATCAAGTGTGTTACGATATTTCTCTACTCCAGACAGTTAAATCTTAATATTTAAAGCGCAAGTCTTGCCAAGCTTTTTAATAATTAAAATTTAACTGTTGAGAGTGGAGATATATCGTAATACACGAGTTATAGTGGTGGAATCTGTTTCTCTAATGATATCTAAAAGTTTATGGTTCCTTTTCAAAGATTTGCAGAAAGTTGTGTTTTTTATATGTGATGTTATCAGGCATGGTCACTTTTTTTCATGAAGTCATAATAGGAAATTCAGAAGAAACCAAGAACATGTGACGTCATAAATAAATTTTGACCGATCATTTGCGGAGAACAAAGTTTTCTCTAGAGATGAGAACTGTGCATGTTTGCATTTTTTTAGAAAATGACGCAGTCAATTTTCTTTTACCATTGACCAGACTTCCAAGCCGCATTCCGAACTCGGTTCCGTATTTTACATACTTAAAGTGAATGTTCGTATGCTCATACATTGGTAAAAGAAAGACAACTCCAGCGTTGCAAATGTACATTTTAAAATAACAGATGGTGTTGTCTCCCTTCAATATGTCTTGTTGTGTTCAAAATGGCGGTCATTAACCTTCGTGACCGTCGGGCAATTTTCAATCATCTTGTTGGAAATACAACTGGAACAGACTTAAATTTGTAATTTTCATTCTTTAATTTCTTAACCTGTCATACCTGCCAACTTGCACGATTCAGACGTGAAATACTCGATTTTGACCCCTTGTCACGATTGCACGATTTTGTTAAATTCTACTGTTCCTAATTTCGAACTTTCTCAAACTTTTCCCAAGGGAGACAACTGTGATCAGCCAATCAAAATCGTTGTTTCTCCTGATCTTTGGGTATTGTAAACTGCAAATGTGCTAAATTTTGAACTTGTCAGGAACTCAGAATATTGTAGAAATCGTGATCATGGCAGACCAATTTTCAATTACAAGAAGGATCTTACACAGCTTAAGAAGTAAATCATGACTGGTTGACAAAGTTCAAAGATGCATTTCAACCATAAACATAATAAACAGTAGCTAATGGACAAATTTTACACTTATGGTAACAGATCATACATGTTGTCATTCTTGAAATTAAATTACCAAATCCATTAAAGTACAATGTTCTATCTTTTAATTTTCACAAGGAATCAGATATATTTCCTTCTTTGTGAATATTTTTATATTTGAAAAGTCAACAATCACTTTAATATTCCTGTGACCAATAATCTGATAATCCACCTTTAAGGTTCATCTAATATACACCAACAAAAATGGCTGTGTTTACACCATGAAATTTTCTCTGAATGCAGACAAAACTGTGTAATTCTAATAGTTTTAAATCCACGCAGCACCTGGCCACAACTCCTCTTTTTCCTGTGGTACATGAAAACAATAAACCGGTTTGGTACATTGTTGAGGTCTGAAAGTGACTTATAACTGCCAACAGCCACATTATTTGGACTCTGGTAGATAGTACCTCAGACTGTTATCTCATTGGCAATCACATCCCATCTCCTTATTTTATTACGGGTCAATTATTTGAAATAAATGACTACGGTACTAAACATTAAATCATTTGAAAAAAATAATTTTGCAATAATTTATGTTGTCATTTTAAGATTTCAGTGTAAGCTTGATTACTACAGGCTCTGCACAATGAAATTAAGTTGTATAAATAGTGTCACATTGTTTGTAATTGTGAAACTAGTATAACAATACTATTGTCTAAATCTACAGAAATTGATCACGTTTAGGTAACTGAAATAACAATGTGATTATGTCACCAGGTCACCTGTAACTTATCTCTTGAATAAGGACTATGTTTGGTATAAGAGCTTTCTTACTACAGGCTCTTCATAATCATTTTGTTAAATAATTCTACAAATAAGGGAAACAAATTCACATATTACTTTGAATATTGTAGATTGTTCAGGTAGTCTTGAGCTATTTCTTTGTACAGCAGAACAACTAGTAGTTATTTTCACTTCACACACATATATATATATATATCTTGACAAACAAATAAAAACGCTATAGATTGTGGAAACAATTCATATCTATTCTATCAGTTACCCTACCTACCATAAACTGAACGTCGCCTAAGATTCAGTAGGTAAATTAAGTAAAAATCAAGACTTGCATCAAAAATATCCTAATATGAGAGACAATGGCGTCATTTTTACTTAGAGCTTTCAGCTTTTTGATTATGCTTTTCTAGATGAGAAATATCTATCTTTTAGAGATGAGAAATATTTTTACTATATTTGGTGTATGGAATGATTGTAAGGTGTACATGTCCAACTGGCAGGTGTCGTCTAACATTGACCTCATTTTCATGGTTCAGTGGTAAAAGTTAAGTTTTTGTGTTTTGGTCTGTTTTTCTAATACTGTAACAATAACAACAACAATACTTTATTTTAAGAGGGTTACACAGTTAGCTATATAACTAATCTTCCCTGAGGCCCTCATCATAGAAAAGCATAAAAAAATGCAAACATGCACTGTATGACCATGACCTCATTTTCATGGATCATTGGTCAATCTTAAGTTTTCCTTGTTAAATTTGTTTCTTAGATACTATATGCAATGTCAACTGTATTAACTGTATTTAAAGCAAGTAATGATTTTAAGGTGTGCATGTCTGTCTGGCAGGGTTCATCTGACCTTGACCTGATTTTCATGGTTCATTGATCAATGTTGAATTTTCCTGGTTAAGTTTGTTTCTTAGATACTATGTGTAATAGGTCAACTATATTTAAAGCATATTTGGTGTATGGAATGATTGTAATGTGTACATGTATTTCCATTTTGGTCTATCTGACCTTGACCTCATTTTCTTAGATCATGTTAAGTTTATGTGATAGTTGTAGTAAAGCTTTATATTATTAATTTATTATTACCATAAGCAATAGGACAACTATATTAGGTATATGGAATAATTGTAAGGTGACTTTTAACATAAAATCATGGCCAGTAAAGCAGACGAAACATTTCAGCGTGTGCACTCTTGTTGTCTGTTATCATGCAAACAGCAATAGATAGAGAAAATCTGATAGGGGTTGAATTGTTCAGGATGTTGAGATCTACCTACTGGCCATTCTATCAAATCTGTCGGACAACTTATAGGTGTTATTGCCCTAAAATGATGAATTTTATCAATTTTTTTTCATTTTTGGCTATTATCTAAAAAATTATAACATAAAGCAGTGGTTCCCAAGGCTTTGAGAAATCAACTGTACATTTGGTCCAGTAAACCATTCTTAACCATGTTAACTAGACCAGACTCTTTTTTACAGGACATTTACACATGATTTGGACAAAATTAAAAATTTTACTGGCATATCACTTCACTGGCCCAAACCAAAAATGTAACATAATTATGAAAGTTTTGAGTAATTTTACTGTTGGTCGATCTATCCATCCATTCGTTTGTCGTTTCATCCAGCCCAAAGGTTTAAGGTAGTTTTCCATGATTGATTGATTGATTTCGGTGTTAAACACTACTTTCAGCAAAGAAATTGTGGCTGCCAGTTTTTATCGGATGAGGAAGCAGGAGTGCCCAGAGAGAACCACCGACCTTTGAAGATAGTATACCATAGTGTTGTGGTGATATCAACTCAAAATTTTAAATATGCCAAAATTTGTTTTGATCCAGGTTTCATAGTTAACTGATGGGACATGCTAGCCTATTTACACATATATTCATGTTTGGAATGTATTTTGGTTTCAAGTTTTTAGCACTTTTTTCTTTCATGTTGATATTAAGCAAATATTCCACTTAATCTTGACAAATTGCTTGAAAAATAATAAGAATTGATGATTGATGCTTGTTCTCTTCTTTGTGACTTCAAACTATCAAATTGTGTTTTCAGTGAGAATGAATCAACAGGAAAAGTAGACGAAAAAAAGCGTAAAACAAGACCAAAAAGACGCAAAACTCTAGAAAGGTCTCCCAGATTGACAGTATTAAGTTATGATGAAGAAGAAGGAGAGTTAGAATGTAGATTAGAATTGTATAATAAAAATACAGTTACATTCAAGTTTGCGACAGCCTACGACAAGCCAGAAGAAATAGCTGAAAGCTTAGTAAGTAAAGGATTTAGTGGAAGTGTGTCTTTGGGCCCTTTGATGCTGTGATCAACAAAGTTTACAATGATTGGACTTTACCTCTACATCAGTTAATGAATATGTATGAACCACAAAATTTAATTCAACTAAAGATCTTAATAAAGATAACTAATTATGCCCAACCTAAAATAGTAGGGGGCATTATGCTTTCTAGTCTGTGCTTCTGTCTGTTCATCTATTGTTCATTCAATAAGATGTTTTTTTAATTAAAATGGCCTAAAATAAAGATATTTAAATTATATTGTCTTATAATTTTCAGGTGACTGAAGAAATTCTGCCAGGTCAACAGTCTATTATGGTGATCACTTTGTTACGTGAAGTTATAAACATGGTTACAGAGGATCCAAAGAATGCTGTATCACAGTGTCTAAGTTATGTCAGCACACCATCATCTAGTCCTCAAACAGTTAGGAAAAGTAGGCCAGTTTTTGACTCTGATACTTCAAAGGTATGATATATAATTTTGAATAAGAATTAAATGCATATGTTCTTGATGAAATGTGAACTAAATTTCTCAGGTAGATAACTTGGCATTAGTAGACACCTGCTGAAAAGTATTGGCACTTATAGAATTTTATTTCAGTTGTTATTTACAGATTAAAAGAGTTTATTTTGATATAATTTAAAGAAAATTCTCAGACTATTTTTAAACCCGTGCCAGGATATTGATAATTGCAATTTATAGATCTTTGAGTCTGGTAGTCTGACATTTTTTTATCATTAATATACATTGTTGTATTCTCTTTAAATTTTGATGCTTTTTACTTGTTATCAAAACCTTAGATGGGATCTGAAACAGAGAGCCATTTTAGAGGAGTAGGGAGGGGGGATAATACGAATAGCATATATTATATTTCCTTGGAAGTTCTGTTTAACTTTTTTTATTCCTGTCCAAATTTAATGGAAGATTTAACTTCATTAAAAACCTGATAATATAGGTTAGGGTAAACATCTAACCAGCTTTTGGACTGTTTGTGTGACTTCATTAAAATTATCATACATGGTAGTCCTTCATGTTTTGGCTAATAATATATTGAAATGAAGGTCAATTTTTTTCACATCAGCCACTTTTTTTACATCAAGAGCATAGACTTCTTCTTGACTTGATGTGTGGGGGCATTGGGTATGCAAGTTTCATCACAAAAATTTACTGATATTTCTGAAGTATTTTTGTTTTGAAAGTGTTTAGAATTGTCTAGGTTTCATTCTTTTTTTCCTTGTTGTATTTTGTTTTAATTATAAGAGGTCTATGTTTTAGAAAAATCAAATTACCTTTAAAAAATGTTAATATATGTTAATCACTCAATGAATGAAAAGTTATTTGAAGAATGAGATTGTTTTTAATTTATTCACTTCTTTCGATTTTTTAATGATGATAAGTTTAAAATGAGTGCATTTCTCTTTCCTTAAAAAAGGAATCTGTGTTCCGAAATCTGATCAGGAAGAAGATTAAACAGAATGAACAGGTTTGTGGCATCATACAGCATACCTGCTAGTCAAATTATCATCTGTTTTCTCAGGCCACATTAATAATGAATGAATCTTGTGTTTTCACACGTTTGCATCTGTATAACACTTTAAAATTCAGACAACAAGACTTGAAAGACATCAAATAATTTTTGGGTACCAATATGATATCTGAAGTTTGGGAGGGAATGAAGCATTCATCTCTCTGTTTGTTGAATTTTATTTGGGTTATCTGTCCATTTTTACATAGAGGGTCAGATCTAGGGAAGCAGTAAGGAATTTTATATATGGATATGTTACAGTGAATTTGTATAATCAGGGATTATGTAGAATCCCTGATTTTTCAGGGATTTTGCATAATCACTTAAATCATTAGTGATTACTAGTATATATAATCCCTGAAAATGACCAGTGATTTTACATAATCACTGAAAGAATTATTTTACAAATTCCCTGAAATGATTTCAGGGATTATCAATATTTCACAGATCCTTTGTTTGATATTAAGAATAAATAAAATATAGACAAATAAATCATATGTATTACCCCTTTTTGGTTTAAGTGGACAAGTTTTCATTCCCTGTCCATTTATCAAATTTTATTTAAAGTGAACAGTTTTCCAGTGATATTCTATTTAAATATGTTGAACCACATTGACTCATAAACCAAAAAGTATTTAAAATTGAAATTTAATGATATCAACAACAATACAAAGGTCATGCAATTTCCTGTAAAACAAAGGGGATGAAAGTTATTAAACATTAATTTTATGTTTTCTTTGTTCATAAGAATAATGGGCAAAAAGTGCAAAGTAAAGAGCTTGTATATAAAAAAAGAAAAGAAAAGAGAAAAATACACCAAAAATTTGATAAAGAATAGAGATTAATGGGATGCTAAAATATACAGAAAAGAGAATAATGGGCAAAATAAATAAAGAATAGAGAAAAATGATATAAAAAATTAAAGAATAAAGACATGAGGGACCCTCCTCCAGACCCTCATAGTAGATGTCATCCAAATATACAATGTAGTTTGTGAAAATGAATGATTTGTATAAGAATATTGTGCTTCAAATTTTGATATTTATGTTTCTAAAGATGTTTCAATACGATATTATAGAATAAATTATTTAACTTTTATTCATAGTCTCTTCATTCCAGTTATTATGTATAATCCCTGACAATTTTTTCTAGTGATTATGCATAATTCCTGAAAATTTTAGTAATTATATATAATCACTGAAGTTACCAGTGATTATACATAATCCCTGAAAATTTCAGTGATTATACATAATCCCTAATTATACACATTTACTGTAACAGATATACACAACTCTTTTCTACCATTGTTGCTAATTGATCTGGCAATGTTAATCACTCTGGCTATTTTTTTCTTATTTAATTGTAAAGTTATTTATAACATTACCTCTAGTACATGTATATGCAATTTCCTGTAAATGGTCATAAAATTTTCAGGAATTATGCATAATCACTAGAAAAAATTGTCAGGGATTATACATAATAAGTAAAAATGTGTGATAGTTTCACCAATATCTCTTGTTATAAATGAATTTTTACACAATTTTGGTAATTTTTTAGGACGACAAAGTCTGTGTAATTTTTTTCTCTCAACATTCAAATTTATACCAGACAACAGAAGTCACAACATTAACAAATTTGTATCAAGGGTTTTACAGCATGAACTATATACAATTGTGGATCAGTTTGTGTAAGGCATTTAATCTTGTACTTGTGAAGAAGAAAAAAACTTTTCTGAAAAGTTATTCAATAATGAAGTAAATTGACTGAATTTATCAATACATTCTCAGGTGTCAACACAGGTAAACGTTATTTAGTGATTTTTAGCCGGATATCTCATTAAAATTATTTCAAATGATGCAATATACGTCCTACTCTGTAAATTTTTTGAAGTTAGATTTAAGAAGTACACATATAGCAACTTTAATTTTCATAAACAATAAATTCTTATGTACTGTGGATTTATTATTATTTGTTGGGTACATGTAACAATTTTTTTGGATTTCATGGGTTAAGGCAAACCACGAATTCAAATTGTCAACGAATTATAAATTTCCTATTGGCTTGTATGGAAACTTGCTAAACCTTAAATAGTATCCATGAAAATTGGTACCCACGAAAATAAATGAACCTCATTATAATATAGATATGTCTTTACTATTTTAATATAAACATGTCTTTATTACAACTTCATTCACTTCTGTTTTACTGCCAAGTTCATTATTATACGCTGTTTTTGGTTATTACATACAATTTGCTTCCACAACAAGTTTATTAGATACAGCTACAATAGGGCTACTTTTTGCTTGAAAATATAGTTGGCTATTGTCTTTCGTGTATTATCAGGCATGCATTAAATTATATAAACTTATGATGCATGAACTGTTGAAATATTTTACTGATGAAGTTTATGTTTTTTTAGTTGTTAATGATTGTTTATTAGTGATTATGTAACAAATATTCTTTTTCAGCATAAATATTATATATTATTACATTTTAACCTAATTTAGTAAAAATATTGGCTAAACCCATTTCAAAGTTTTGTGGGTCCACCCCCTTTAAGTTTTTCTGGCATCAGACCTTTAAACAATATGAGAATAAAAGACATGCCACACATGACATGTTTATAATTGATTTGATTTGCATTTGACAAAACGGTGATGATTTTTTTATTTGTAAACTAGTCTGGGTTTAATTTTTAATAAAAAAAATTCCTACACTTGGGACAATTTGGATCGTGGTATTCTGATAAAAAAACACTTTCTGTTGATGGGGTTAAAAAATATGGAGATATGGTATGACTGCCAGTCGGATAACCATCCAATAAAAGACCAAAGGATAAGGATTTAAACAACTACAGGTTACTATATAACCTCAACGATGAGCAAAACCTATACTGTATAGTAAGCTACTAAAGGCCCCCATAACAAAAAAAGAAGGAACACAAAAGAGAAAGCTATAATGATTAATTAATGATGACAGGTGGGAATCAAAGACAACCACTGAACTGCAGGTTCCTGGCTTGGGACAGGCACACAAAGAATGTTATGGAGTTGAGCATGCTACCTCCCTCTTACCTGAACAGTGGTGTAACAGCAAAACAAACTGAAAAAAATCAGTATCAGATCTGTCCTAAGCACAAAATCAACTAACAAAAAGACAATGTTTACAAGTTGACCTCTAGAGGCCTTGGCTTTGTATGTCATTGGACTGCTGTTTCATTAAGATATACAAATCTCTTTTACAATGTTTTAGTCATACATGTATAATAATATGTATATATATATTCATTTATTTTAGCGACTTCACTTTGAATTGGATGGAGATAGTGGTCAAGGTTCAGATGATGGCAGATCTGACCTAGGAGTCCATGTCATCAGTGACACAGCAAGCGCTGCAGGAGAGAAAGAAAAACAAGAGTCTAGAGTAGTTGCCACTAAAAAGAAGAGTTTTATTGTCAGTTGTGTAACTGAAGCTACTATACATGAATCTAAAATTACAGAAGATGAATCGGAAGAACATGTAGCAAGTTCGGATAATTATATTTCACCTGAAAACACCCATACATCAAGTTCTACAGTAGCACACTCGAGTATGGCAGTAGATTCTGATGCATCATCAAATTATGACACAGAAAAGTCACTTAAAGGAAAAAAGGTGCCTGTAGATTTGAATGATTTACAAGAAAAATTAACTCAATTGACTCAAAAACAATCTGTGGCAGGGGCTAATGTGTCAAGTTCATTGATCCCACAAGATGGAGTTCAACCATCTTCACAGCAGGGGTCAGGTGCTACACCGACACCCAACATTGAGAATCAGCCCTCGACACTGCCTGATTCTCAGCATTCTTCCAGTATTGTTCAGACACAAGATACTAGTCAGAAAACTTTGCCTTTAAAGGATGGACAATCTATTCCTAGAAATACTCAGACAGTCAGTCATCATGTACACGATGGAAGTGTTACTCCGCAAATGCCTAATCCACCACCAACAATACAAACACAGACATCACATAGTCTCTCACAACCTGTTGAACCTTTACAATTGCCTCTAAATCAGTCATTTTCTGGAAGTATGTCTAATCTAGCTCAAGGTCAAAGTAATCAGCAAATGTATTTACAACAGCCAACCCCACAGTACCAGATGATGTTTCACTATCCAACAGACCCAATGGTAATGCAGATGATGGGGATTGGATATCAACAAATGATGTATGCATCCATGATGATGCAACAGCAACAAGCTCAACAACAACAGCAACAAACCCAGCCGACTCAACAGCAACAGCAAGCACAGCCAACACATCAACAACAACCGTCACAGTTTATGCCACCTCAAATGATGTATCCCCCTAACTGGGTGATGCAAGGGCAACAAATGCCTTACTTTCCTCAAGGAGGATCACAAAATATTACTAGTCAATATCCACAACAGGTTCAAAATGTACTTTCAGATTTTACATCAGTTGGAGGATCTTATCCTGCCTCACCATCAGTTGGTAGGAGATCTGACCAAGATGGACAAAGTGAAAGTTATTCAACACAGTCTTCTATATCTGGGCCTACATATGGTCCAATTAAGAAGGAACTTTCAATAAAACATTTAGAACAAGAGTTGAATAAACTTCATGTAGCTAGTACACAAAAATCTGATATGAAGGATGGCACATCAGTGCATGGGGCTTCTTCAGGGGCCCAGCCAGTAGATACAATAAAAAATGTTCAGACAAATCCAACTGATATAAGCGGTGCTAATGCTAGTAGTAGTAGTACAGAAACTAGTTCACAGACAACTGAAGAATCAGATGTCCAAAAATCTGTATCTAGATTTGCTGTCAGTGTTGTAAAGGAAGATAAACAGCAGGATAGGCCAGTTGAAACCTTTAGTTCATCTGAGACACTTGTGGAATCTGACAATCAAACTGACAGTGACAGAAGCAGAGACATTGTCAAGGAAACTTTAGATCATATTATCACAGAGGTCTCTATAAAATTGGAAGAAAATGCTGAAAATGAAAAAGATTTGGATAATGAAAATATTAAGAAAAAGTCAGAAAGTGCTGGTCGTAGGAGGAGTCGTTTTCTAGTGATGAAAATAGAAGAAGATGATGGAACAATGACGACTGACAGCTTATCTCCCTCCCTGCCTGTATCTGAAGGTGGTGGGGCTTCAAATGCTAACACAGCCTCCAGCAAAAGTGTATCTAATTCCTATGTATCTAGTATAGTAAGTAAACTTCCTAAATTATCTAACCCTCCACGCAAATCTAGCATTGCCATGCCTTTGTCTTTCATCAGAGATCACAAAATAGATATAACCAAGAGAAGGAGAGTTAAGTCAATGGGTAGTTTTGGCGAATCTGTTGATCCATGTCCTGAATGTAGACGAGGATCTTTGATGGGGGACATTTGCATGGATAATGATAGCACTACAGCACACAATAAGCTTTTACATTTAACTCTGCTGCACAATAATCATACAGACAAAAATGACTGTCTTGTTCTAAATGATTTTTCAAGTCAACTTTCACCAACATTGTTGAAACTGGATCCTTCACACAACTTTGAGGTAAATTTATTTCATAATTATTGCTTTTGAGTATTTACTAACAACTAGTAGTTTTTTTTAATAGAATTATTATTTACTATGTTTGATATAATTACATACTTGACATAGTTAAACTGCAGCTTTTATAATCATGTGTTCTTATGTTTACTATGACCATTTAAGAATTTTTTCAGGGTTAAGTTAAAAGTTGATAGGTGCCCTATTAAAATATCTCTGTCTTTTAGTCTGCACTTCTATGCTGTATGATAATTGGAGATTAGTTCAATCAATTTTTTAATTTTTATGCATACCTATAGAATGAATGTGAAATTTTGAAAAAATTGTGATAGAAAACTTTTTTTTTGTGTGAAAAAATTACAAATTTTGAGAAACCCCATTAATCAGACTCCCTTGTGATTCACACAAAAATGTGAAAGCTAGGCCTTTCTGGAGATGAGTTTAGTCTTTGTCTATGATTTACCCTCAACCATTTAATTAAGTCTCCCAAACGAAGTTTGGGAAGACTTATTGTTTTTGCTCAGTTCTTATTATTATTATTATTCTTCTTCTTCTTCCGCCGCTTTTAAATTTGAACTTGTCCGCACCTGTTCTCCAAAACCGCTTGTCAGATTAACTTAGGGTTTCACAATATGTTAGACTAACATGTCTAGTGGTGCAATCAGGGTTTTGTTTGTGCAATGGGGTTTATAAAGGGGTACTTTGAGGGGCAAAAAGAAAAGAGGGTTTTACTATAGAACCCTATGGGATTTTATTTTTTTAAATTTTCAAATGATTATAAATTGAAAACCGTTTGTGATAGACACAATCTTTTTAATTGAAAATGTTCTAAATGATAAAGCCCATTAAATGAAATACAGGGTTAGTCCCCAGGGTTCACCCCCACCCCCTGCCATTTAAGAAAGTTCTAATATCTTGTAAGTGGTCAAGATCCCCACCCCTAAACCATATATATTCTGGTTTGTCATGCTAAGATGGTTTGAATGATATACAGGGTTAGTCCCCAGGGGTCATCCCGACCCCCTGCCATTTAAGAAAGTTCTAATATCTTGTAAGTGGTCAAGATCCCCACACCTAAACCATATATATTCTGGTTTGTCATGCTAAGATGGTTTGAATGATATACAGGGTTAGTCCCCAGGGGTCATCCCGACCCCCTGCCATTTGAGAAAGTTCTAATATCTTGTAAGTGGTCAAGATCCCCACCCCTAAACCATATATATTCTGGTTTGTCATGCTAAGATGGTTTGAATGATATACAGGGTTAGTCCCCAGGGGTCATCCCGACCCCCTGCCATTTGAGAAAGTTCTAATATCTTGTAAATGGTCGAGATCCCCACCCCTAAACCATATATATTCTGGTTTGTCATGATAAAGCACATAGAATGAAATACAGGGTTAGTCCCCAGGGGTCACCCCCACCCCCTGCCATTTAAGAAAGTTCTAATATCTTCTAAGTGGTCAAGATCCCCACCCCTAAACCATATATATTCTGGTTTGTCATGATAAAGCACATCAAATGTAATACAGGGTTAGTCCCCAGGGGTCACCCCCACCCCCTGCCATTTAAGAAAATTCTAATACCTTGTAAGTGGTCAAGATCCCCACCCCTAAACCATATATATTCTGGTTTGTCATGCGAAGATGGTTTGAATGATATACAGGGTTAGTCCCCAGGGGTCATCCCGACCCCCTGCCATTTGAGAAAGTTCTAATATCTTGTAAATGGTCGAGATCCCCACCCCTAAACCATATATATTCTGGTTTGTCATGATAAAGCACATCAAATGTTATACAGGGTTAGTCCCCAGGGGTCACCCCCACCCCCTGCCATTTAAGAAAGTTCTAATATCTTCTAAGTGGTCAAGATCCCCACACCTAAACCATATATATTCTGGTTTGTCATGCTAAGATGGTTTGAATGATATACAGGGTTAGTCCCCAGGGGTCATCCCGACCCCCTGCCATTTGAAAAAGTTCTAATATCTTGTAAATGGTTGAGATCCCCACCCCTAAACCATATATATTCCTGTTCGTCATGTAATGAACATTTGAATGACGTATAGGGCCAGTCCCCAGGGGTTCCTCCCCACCCCCAATGTTCTAGTATCTTGTAAATGGTCGAGATCCCCACCCCTAAACCATATATATTCTGGTTTGTCATGCCAAGATGATTTGAATGATATACAAGGTTAGTCCCCAGGCATCACTAGTGCATATAACTTTACTGGACCAAACCAATTTTCACTGGACATTGCCCAATGTCAGGCGACCCTGGGAATTACGAATTATGGGAGCTTCGTTTGGGAGACTTCGTAACAGCATCCTGTTACAATCATTTCTTGTTGAGTTTAGAAACCGTTAGGGAGGAGTTGGGTAACATTTCAGCAGTCAATACATAGATAATCTTTCATGTTTCATTGACTTTTGTCATAAGATTGGTAGCATTCTTTTCTAAAGTTAGAGTTAAAGTTCTAACACAAAAAATGGTACAAGGTGCAAGCACTTTATGTATTATAAAATTGCCTATATTGCAAAGTGTGATTTTCACCTTGTGACAAAGTGAAACTGCTGGCTATATTTTTTGCGCCAATGGTTTCCCCCATGTCTAAATGTTCATGCTTGACTGTAATGGTAATAAAATCAATATTAGAGACCAATACAGGTAAGTTATAAGTTTTCTGCAAGCATGTGCTGATAATCACCTGTGCCAGTTAAATTGATTATGGTTTCCATTTCCTTTGATTATTCATTGATCTACCCTTGTTGTGTAAACAAGTTATCAACTGATAGACCAAAAACATGCACCTGTTGATCGTTTAATCAATTTTCATGATGACTCTAGGGACAACTGAAAATAATTACAATAAACTCAAATGAAGTAATAATTTTATATTCTAATATTTAAAAAAATAATGATTAGAATCATCTCCCTGATGTGTAGTTAGTTTTTAAAACAAAACTTGCAGTTTCTTCAAGGTTAAAAGGTATCACTTCAGGTTTTGACGATAACAGCATAAACGTTCTGTTGTTTGATATGTAAACTAGAAAAGCTTTTCCAATGGTTAATAAATAGCAAGGAAACCTTTTCAAACGGTTTTTAAATAGCAAGGAAAACTTTTAAAAAATTTGGTATCTCATATGCACAAATTAATTTCATATTAAGGCATAACAACATGTGATGCATGTTTATATAGAGGAGGATACATTGATCTTTGCGCAAATATTTTGAAACTGGGAATTAAAATTTGATGCTAGGGATTTTATCTGGCGACAACTTTTAGGAGGCCAGCTCCTGAAACATGCATTTTGATTTACTAATAATAATGTACAATTTCGGGTATAAAAATTAACATTTATTAATAATACATTATTTGCATTTGTTGGAGATAACAGGGTATTAGTCCTTGTGTTAATATCTGAGTGAACAATTCTTTTACTATATATAGATAGCTATATTAAATCTTCATTACTGCATAATTAAATAATTGTTTTTTTAACAGAGAAAAAAATTGGAAAAAAAGAAGGCAACAAGAAGTAAAGATGAGGTAGACTCGGGAGAATCCATAGTCTTTTCAATGGATGAATATCAAAAAATGTGTTCTGACCAAGAGTACAAGGATATAGTTTTTAGGTTTGTATTGTATTGTATTTTGATTGTAATCTGTTAATTTGGGATAACTAACATGCAGTATGTATCATTTTGGAAACAAGGACACTACAGTACAATCTACCTTTTTATAGCCCCAAATTAGAATTTTACCCATGTTAGAATCAATGCATAAGATTTACATGAGCAGTAGCCTTAGGACTTCATCAAATAGAGATCTTTACAAAGTTATATATATTTTTTTTATCAGAAGATCTGTTCAAGCTGGTGTTCAGCAATTAAATGCATTTATTTTTACATTTTATATGGACAAAAATAAATACAGCATAATGTGGTATGATTGTCAATAAGACAACTATTTACCAAAGATTATAGGACAAGGATGTGATTGCTCTGACATCTGAGGGCCTTTTTTATGACTTGTTGTGGCCTTTGAACGTCAGAGCACAGTCCATATAGAAAACTTTGGAAATTGCCTACCAGGACTTGGGATGGCAAGTTTCTTATCTTGAAATCTTAAAAGGTCCATTTTCAAGTAGATAAATCATACGTCACTAGATTAATTATTCATTTTAAACCATGAATATGTAACTTTTATTCACATACTAATCCCCTGTAAAGGGTATCCTTTTGTTAGTTTACTCACAGTTCTTGTTTACACTTGAATGAATTGACTTGTCAGAATTACTTCAAACCTCCTATGGTTGTGATCTTTTTTTAATCTTTATTTTATTTGAATGATTTTGGGGTTTTCCGAAGCAAAACATGGACATTTATTCTAGGTATGATGAAGTTTATCAGTGCAGAATTCCCTACAATTTTCAGTGGAATAGAAAAAATTTCTCACAACTACTTTATTACATGAAGGGAGTGTTTCAAAGTTTATTAGAGATGGAGTTGGGACAGCTATAAATGTCATATATTTTTGTTCTTTTTTAGGCAAAGAAAAGAAACAAATGATTTGAACATGAAACATCAACAAGAGTACAGAGACTTTTGTAGACAAAAAGGATATCCAGTACCTCCTGTTGCACCACCCATACCAAACAGTATTGTGTCTAGAAACTTTAATTCTATGCTTAGTCCACAATTATTGACACTTTCACCTTGCGTATCCACAAAGTCCTCTACTCCTTCAGATTTATTGATGCTAAAGGAATCTTCGAGAACGCGATCGCTGAGTGAAGGTAATCACATTTCTTCAAAAGAAAGTGTTGAAGTGCAATCTGAAAATGAAGAGTCATCAAATGAACTCAAAAAACAAACAACATCAACAATTAGAAATGATGAAAACGAAAATGTAAAAGAAGTTGATAAACACGATAAAGGAGAAATAAATAAAGACGATTCTATACAATTAGTTGAAAAGGTAGAAACAAGTAAGGATGATCCACAACATTTACGTCAGCTGCCGAAACAAACTGATGGACAAAGTTCTCTTCCCCAAGAAGTGATACCAGAGAACAAAATTTCAAAAAGTGAAGGCACTGATGCAGATGAAACATCATCTCTTAAGAGTCAGGGTAGTCGAAAGTCAAGCATGGATCTAACGCACACTGTAAATACTACACAGCCAAAGCAACAAATTACTTTTTCTCAGCCTGTGATGACAAACCAGCCACCAATTTACTCGCAATTTCCAGGAATGTATCAGCAGTTTGGTTTCCCTCCACCAATGCAAGTGCCTAATATGCCAAGTATGTTTTATCCAAATATCCCATACCCAAATACACCATTGTGGGGATATGGTACTACAGATCAACAGCAGCAACAACAGTTTCAAAGTATACCACCCACACAACACCAGCAGGCTGCTAGTAACATACAGAGAGGTGGGAGTTTGCCAGAACAAACTTTCCAACATGCAGCTGTCTCACAACTCCCTACTGGGACAGGTTTTCCAACTAGTGCTAATATTATATCATCATCAGTGCTACAGACGAACCTTCCACCTAACACTTCCTCAAATTAATACTGTAATTTGCCAAATGTCTTTCAATTATAGAGAAAAAGTAAATTGTATCTTTGTAATAATACTATGTAAATATTCCTGTACATTCTTCATACAGATTCCCCTGTAATTTACCGAGTATGAAGGTCATGATAAAAAAAAAAATTTTTCAATATGCAATGTTGGAAAAAATGATTTTTTTGAGAGATAAAATGATTGTTATTAATAGAATATTTTTAGAATGGATTATTGAGCTGCTTTTTTGCATCTGTAAAAAAGTCATGAATAATACTTGTATATATGTGTTCGTCTTGAAAGGTTTTAATTTAGTACATTGAGAAAATTGGTAAGATGAAATTTATCATGACCTTCAGTAAAAGAGAGATCTGTATGGTTTAATTGGGATCAAATAGTTCAATTTTGAACTTTTAAAGTAATAATTGTATTGTTGTATGCCATATTTGTTATAATCAGTAAGTTTAGGTGTTGAAATATACTCATAAGCACAGTGCAGAAAAATAATTCACTTCTCCAACAAGTACAATATTATGTCATTATTATTTAGTGTTTAGGGTCGTGCATTTTTAGATTTGTGGGCATTAGGAAAATTGGGAAAAACCTCATAAGTTGGGTCAGCTTATACCATGTTGTACAATTCAGATTATTCTTGATAAAGTACCTTTCCTTTTCATTTCTTTTAGGCCTTTACGTAAAAATTATTTTATTTGATGAGGTCTGTCTTACTACAGGTTTTATATGATTGCAGAAACCATTTCATCGTTAAAAAATTCTGATTAACATCTGCATCAGATATTCCAAACTTTAGTAATAAAATGCATGTCAAAGATCAATATTTCATATATTTAATTTTTTTGTCATGATTTCCTAATACAAATGTTGAAGAACTGAAGCTGGATGTGGTATTATTAGATAGTTGTACATAGAAAAACCAGAAATCCCATAAAATTTAATCCACCATAACTATATGAAAATGCATGCGCAGTAACTAATAGAATAAAATATTTAGGTATTTTGATAGGTGATTCCTTACGAGGTAAATTCAAACAGAAACTGTGTATTGCAGAAACAAAAAATCCAAAAACAGTTCTTGACAGGGTTTAATCATGTAGCTTTAATTAACTATGGCAAGTTAAACTATAATAACCAAAAAAATACTTCAATACTGGATAGATTTTTAAACAAATTATAGATATTTTGTTATGATATAATTATTTCGAATATATCTTATGGTAGGTAATTAAAATAAAATAGCTAACATCTCAAAATATAATAAAGGGAATAATGTTTTTCATCTTCAGATTGAAATTGAGAAGTATACCAACAGAATAGGAATGTATTTTCTAGTCATAATTACTGTCTGTTTTTCATTAAGGTTCAAAATAAGCTCTTAAAAAATACAGAAGTAAATTTGATTTGTGCAAAGGAAGGTTTTATATTAAAAGATATCAGATGATATCAGACAGTAATTCCTACAAAAAGATATTTTGAAAGTGTCACACTCAGATGTGCCTTTAACTGTGATTCTTGGAAAAGTGTATGGAGTTTAAGAATGAGTTAATTAAAATGTATGCAAGAGTGAAGATTGACTTTATGTTTCTCTATTTTTTTCACATTATACTATTTTTGTCTTAAATATGTTAATTTGTATAATTAATGATTACTGTGTCAGCATTAACATACAGTATATAGACTGTTATTTCATGCAAGTAATTTTTGTATTGATTTATCAAAAACAATTTAAATAACTTTTGACCTTGTCATCAATTTCAAATTTTCATTCAGATAATAAACATCAAAAACAGTAAGCACAAATAATGCCATACATTACAACATTCATTCTTTTTTGTTTTGTAAAAATGTATTACCTTAACTTTTAAATCAACATAAATGTAGATCATAAATTAAAACTTGAATACTTAGGCCAAATAAGGCCTTTATCACACCTTATCCTTACTTTCAGTCCAACTATTTATGGTTTATGTTACATTTTGAATGCTACAAAAGATTTTTTGTTATTTTACTATTAACTATTTCCTTACAGTGTTAGAACAACCATTTTAATACTCTTGATTTCAATTCACATTGTTGATTTTAATTGGAAGATTGTATTTTGCAGTTTTTAAGGTTCAAATATATTTTAAAAGGTTTTTGTTCTGATATTTCTTTTGTTTTATATTTGTGCATTTAAGACAAAAAATAAATTGCTACAACTTATATCTATATGTAATCTAAAAAAATACACAAAAGACAAAACTTCCATAAATGTACTCATAAAATTCCAGATACAATTATCAGAATTTTTTTATATATAACTTCTTCCATTTAGGCTTTTTCAGAAATTACTCCTGGTACTTACTGTTTTATTAATAATTTCAGGAAAAAGTTTGATTTTCAAATATTTCCTGCTAAAAAAATTGTGTTGTACTTTTAATTGGTGTCAATCGGTATAGTCTGCTTTTTTTCTGATAAACTTTTTGCAATCTTGTTAATGACTTCATTTTCACCATGTGCAGTTTGAATATTTTTTTTCAAACAAACGATATCAAAACTGCAGGCTGTTGTTTCAAAGTTATGCAGGTATGTGTAATCTAAAGTAGTACATAATTTTGAACTTAACATATTGAAAAACTTTTAATTTAAAGTCCCATTTTGAAGTAAGTTGGACACATATTTCTATGGTGAACATCTATGAGAGCTGTCTCATTTAAATAAGTTATTTATTAGCAAAACAAAGGGAACATCAAGTGTCAATCAAAAACTTCAATCAGTTGCGAAAAGTGGCACTGAAGACACTTAGAAAAAAAGTTTTGATGGCTTATGAAATGGTATCGACGATATGTGTAATTTATATATCAGTATTGAGATAGAGCTTTTTGTTCTGTACATTTATCCGAATTGCCACAGCTTATAGATGTATCACAACTGTTATATTTTGTTGGCAACACTCTTTTAGCTTTATACTGATGAAGCTGTTATGTTTCTTATATGATGATATACTTTTACATGTGTAAACAATTTGTATGTACTAAACTACTTGATTTACAGATGTTGTATCAACATTAAAATATAAGATGTTATATTTTAGATTGTATTTCTAAATAATTTTCTTGTTTATTTTTTTGTTTTAATAAAAATATATTTAAAAAGTGTAATTCCACATAGCTGCCACAGTTTAAGATTTTTGTTGTTTAAATAGTTCAGACTGATTTGAAATCTTTTTGTATGCTAAAAAAAATAATTATCTGTTTCAAATGAATTTGGACCATGTTGTAAAATTGCTTTATTTATTTTGTATGGGATGATGCAATTATGAGGAAGTAAAGATCAAAATCAGTTGTGATTGATGAGTGTGAATGAGACTTGAAAGGAGCTGTTTCCAGAAAAGGCAAAACATTCAAAACTGTTTTATTTTTTTGAAATTTTAAAGCAACATATTATATTGCCAATGCAGATTTGTACCTTTGGCACAACTTTCATGTACACTGGTATTGTCAGTGGTCAGCAAATATTTGACATCATTTGCAGACATGAAATAATTTAATATCTAGTATACTGTTTTATAGCTCAATTGAAAATGAAAAAAATAGTATTTTATTATAATGTTGTAGATTTAATCTAATTTGATTGTTTAAAAGGAAAAAAAATATAGAAAAATTTGATACCAGTTTGAATGTTTAACCAATGAATGTTTTGATGTGATTGTATTGCAAGTATAATGCAGTTATTCCACAGACAATCCTTTATTCACTAGTATGTTTATTTTTAGATATTTGAAAGCACAGTTGAATAATTTAAAAATTGCACCAAAAAATTCTTGCCTGTCACAGCTTAATTGATTATTAATTAGTCAGCCATAAATGAAACTTCATCAATTATTTGATGAAATAGGGCAGTTGTTTTGTCTTTGCTTATTTTTATTTAAAAAAAAACCAATACTTTAGTTGATTTATTAGTAAGATGTATGGTTAAAAGGGATAAATATTTAATTTGTGAATTTTTTTGAAATTAGAAATAATAGAATATAACTAGTTAAATGATTTACAGAAAAATAACAGTTCATATTGAATGCTGGTGAAAATGATGGCTTTAAACCAAAATAAAATGCATTAAAATAAGACAGATTGATTGTGTCAGACTAACTTACCTCATGTCAAATTGTTCATTGAAAAAGCACACTTTTAAGAAATAACCAGCATTTTTATATTCATTACATTTTGATATCTTTTTTTTCGTTCAAAATGTAAATAAAACCATGAGAGTGACATTCTGAAGTGTGTTTTAGCATAAGTGTGCAATTTTTTTGTTGGTTAGTATTCATTCTGTGTTGATTTAATTTGTTAATTTGCTGTTCATTGTGAATAGATATCAGTGAATAACAGGTTATTTGATTGGAGTATTCATCTGAAAAAAAAGAAAATAACTATGTGTAAAAAATAGCAATGTGATATCCATAATTTTCCGAGATTTAATTGATTTTGTTGCAATGTTATATTTTTTGAAGATTTCAAAAATAATGCAAAAAAAAGGCTTTTGCAGTAAAGAGTGGCAAAAAAACATTTGTTTCTCAGTTTTTTAAGCCTTGGGGATCATATGAATAAGTAAGTTTTGAAGAGTTAGCTTAGATTCCAGAAGACCCAGTGTCTATTACGTAATACTATTACTATAATAGAAGATGACAAATATATCATAGTAGCATATAAATGTTGTTTGCTGTTTATATAATATTCCTGCTTTCAAAGTTCTATATATATGTTGAATATAGTAGAAAGGTTAATTTACAATCATTTCTAAGAAAATTTAATAGTATACTTTCTATTTATAGTACAACCGTGTGTAAAAACTTAATTTTTAGGATCATAAACACATGGTTCATAGGGTTATGCTAAAAATAGACCTAATATATTTGATTTGTTTTTATACATTTTTTTTTACGTCAAAAATATTACAAATTAATTGATTTATTGTCTTAAACATATTAAAAACAGCTTGTACTCATTAATTTGAAACTAAATAGTAAATAACATGATAGAAATATGGTTAATTTTGTCATCTGCTATAACATTTGGACTGTGAAAATTTTAGAAAAACTAGTTTGTTCAGGACAGTGAAGTTTTCTCAGGCTGTATAGACCAGAATTCGTTGGTAATACCCTCATCCATAATACATTTCTGGTTGTGATTTTTTATATGCCCGTTTACGGGACGTATTATGGTATACCTCTGTCCGTCCGTCCGTCTGTCCGTCGTCAACATGTCGGACATTAACTCAAAAATGCTTTAACCAATTTGCATAAAACTTTGGTGAATTGTTTATATCTATTGACGTGAGCTCCCGTTCGTTTTTTATAAAATTTAGATTTTACATTTCCGAGTTATGGGGTTTTATTTATTAAAAAAAGGGGGATTTTCCAGTTTTGGGACAATAAGTCAAGAATGCCTTCACCAACTTGCAAGAAATTGCGGTGAATTGTTTATATCTATTGACATGAGCTCCCTTTTGATTTTTATAAATTTTAGATTTTACGTTTCCGAGTTACAGGGTTTTATTCATAAAAAAAGGGGGGATTTTCCAGTTTTCGGACAAAAACTCAAAAATGCTTTCAGCAATTCTTATGAAACTTTGGTGAATTGTTTGTATGTATTGATGTAAGCCCCCCTTAGAATTTTATAAATTTTAAATTTTACATTTCTGAGTTATGGGGTTTTATTCATTAAAAAAAGGGGTGATTTTCCAGTTTTCAGACAATAACGTAAACATGCTGTCACCAATTCTCATGAAACTTTGGTGAATTGTTTATATCTATTGATGTAAGCTCCCTTTTTATTTTCATAAATTTCTAGTATGACATTGAGAATTAATTGAACTTTATTTGCTTATAGTCTGACAACAGATTTACTAGGTATTGCACAACAGCAAGAAATCTTTAATTGAATATAAATTCAATTCATATAACCAATTTCAAGTTCTTTGACTACATTTATTGAGAAACCTATAATGTGTCAAATATTTGATTACAATCCAAATTCAGACCTGAATCAAGCTTGAATATTGTGTCCATTTTTGCCTCAACTGTTTAGGGTTGGACCTCTGCGGGCGTATCTAGCTGCGCTCAGCGAAGCAGTTTATTATTGTCTTGTCTGCAACAAAAGTTGCAGAATGCCAGACATAGGGATTACAATCTTGCAGTGGCAAAGGTGTAAATTATTTGTTTAAACCTTTATGTTTCAGAAGATAAAAGACCAAGATACATTATACCTTGTACACAGATGCCTTATGTTACAAATAATCGGTCTGTCACATGGGAGTACACTAATTCATGGCCCCAATGCTTTCTATGTTAAATTTTCAAATTTCAAGATGGCACAGCTCTTTTGTCTTGAGTTCAAATAAAGTGACCATCATTACATGTCAAAGCAACACCCTATGGTGTCTTGTACTGAAAAAATCAACATACCTTTAATTGCATACAAGAGAGAACTGGTTCTGAGAACTTCAGATATACCAAAAAGGTACTTTAGATCTTACAAACAGGCAAAATGTACCCTCCTTTTTATACGCCCGTTTACGGGACGTATTATGGTATACCGTTGTCCGTCTGTCCGTCCGTCCGTCTGTCCGTCGTCAACATGTCGGACATTAACTCAAAAATGCTTTCACCAATTTGCATAAAACTTTGGTGAATTGTTTATATCTATTGACATGAGCTCCCTTTCGTTTTTTATAAAATTTAGATTTCACGTTTCCGAGTTATGGGGTTTTATTCATTAAAAAAAGGGGGATTTTCCAGATTTCGAACAATAAGTCAAGAATGCTTTCAATAACTTGCAAGAAATTGTAGTGAATTGTTTATATCTATTGACATGAGCTCCCTTTCGATTTTTATAAATTTTAGATTATACGTTTCCGAGTAACAGGGTTTTATTCATAAAAAAAGGGGGGATTTTCCAGTTTTCGGACAAAAACTCAAAAATGCTTTCAGCAATTCTTATGAAACCTTGGTGAATTGTTTGTTTGTATTGATGTAAGCTCCTTTTAGAATTTTATAAATTTTGAATTTTACCTATATGAGTTATGGGGTTTTATTCATTAAAAAAAGGGGTGATTTTCAAGTTTTCTGGCAATAACTCAAAAATGCTGTCACCAATTCTCAGGAAACTTTGGTGAATTGTTAATATCTATTGATGTAAGCTCCCTTTTTATTTTCATAAATTTCTAGTATGACATTGAGAATTAATTGAACTTTATTTGCTTATAGTCTGACAACAGATTTACTAGGTATTGCACAACAGCAAGAAATCTTTAATTGAATATAAATTCAATTCATATAACCAATTTCAAGTTCTTTGACTACATTTATTGAGAAACCTATAATGTGTCAAATATTTGATTACAATCCAAATTCAGACCTGAATCAAGCTTGAATATTGTGTCCATTTTTGCCTCAACTGTTTAGGGTTGGACCTCTGCGGGCGTATCTAGCTGCGCTCAGCGAAGCAGTTTATTATTGTCTTGTCTGCAACAAAAGTTGCAGAATGCCAGACATAGGGATTACAATCTTGCAGTGGCAAAGGTGTAAATTATTTGTTTAAACCTTTATATTTCAGAAGATAAAAGACCAAGATACATTATACCTTGTACACAGATGCCTTATGTTACAAATAATCGGTCTGTCACATGGGAGTACACTAATTCATGGCCCCAATGCTTTCTATGTTAAATTTTCAAATTTCAAGATGGCACAGCTCTTTTGTCTTGAGTTCAAATAAAGTGACCATCATTACATGTCAAAGCAACACTCTATGGTGTCTTGTACTGAAAAAATCAACATACCTTTAATTGCATACAAGAGAGAACTGGTTCTGAGAACTTCAGATATACCAAAAAGGTACTTTAGATCTTACAAACAGGCAAAATGTACCCTCCTTTTTATACGCCCGTTTACGGGACGTATTATGGTATACCGTTGTCCGTCTGTCCGTCCGTCCGTCTGTCCGTCGTCAACATGTCGGACATTAACTCAAAAATGCTTTCACCAATTTGCATAAAACTTTGGTGAATTGTTTATATCTATTGACATGAGCTCCCTTTTGTTTTTTATAAAATTTAGATTTCACGTTTCCGAGTTATGGGGTTTTATTCATTAAAAAAAGGGGGATTTTCCAGATTTCGAACAATAAGTCAAGAATGCTTTCACTAACTTGCAAGAAATTGTAGTGAATTGTTTATATCTATTGACATGAGCTCCCTTTCGATTTTTATAAATTTTAGATTATACGTTTCCGAGTAACAGGGTTTTATTCATAAAAAAAGGGGGGATTTTCCAGTTTTCGGACAAAAACTCAAAAATGCTTTCAGCAATTCTTATGAAACCTTGGTGAATTGTTTGTTTGTATTGATGTAAGCTCCTTTTAGAATTTTATAAATTTTGAATTTTACCTATATGAGTTATGGGGTTTTATTCATTAAAAAAAGGGGTGATTTTCAAGTTTTCTGGCAATAACTCAAAAATGCTGTCACCAATTCTCAGGAAACTTTGGTGAATTGTTAATATCTATTGATGTAAGCTCCCTTTTTATTTTCATAAATTTCTAATATGACATTGAGATTTAATTGAACTTTATTTGTTTATAGTCTGACAACAGCAGATATACTAAGTATTGCACAACAGCAAGAAATCTTTAAGTGAATATAAATTCAATTCATATAACCAATTTCAAGTTCTTTGACTACATTTATTCAGAAACCTATAATATGTCAAATATTTAATTACAATCCAAATTCAGACCTGAATCAAGCTTGAATATTGTGTCCATTTTTGCCCCAACTGTTCAGGGTTGGACCTCTGCGGGCGTATCTAGCTGCGCTCAGCGAAGCAGTTTATTAAATTTCATGCAATTTTTATGCCCATGCCGTAGCGGAGGGGGGCATTAAGTTTTTACCCTTGTCCGTCTGTACGTACGTCCCAAAGTTGGTTTTCGTTCTCTAACTTTAGTTTGCCTCAACCAAATGTTATGAAACTTATACACAATGCCTATTACCACTAAATACAGATCAAGTTTGAATTTTTGGTGGCGTCACTTTTACCTTTCTAGAGTTATGCCCCTTTACTAGCAATTTTTCGTTTCCGTTCTCTAACTTAAGTTTGCCTCAACCAAATGTTATGAAACTTATACACAATGCTTATTACCACAATATACAGATCAAGTTTGAATTTTAGTGCCGTCACTTTTACTGTTCTAGAGTTATGCCCTTTACAAATGGAAAAATTGCTAAATTTTTAGTTTCTGTTCTCTACTTAAGTTTGCCTCAACCAAATGTAATGAGACCTACACACAATGCTTATACATAATTATTACCACAAAACTCAGATCAAGTTCAAATTTGGGTAGCATCACTTTTACCGTTCTTCAGTTATTCCTTTTACAACTATATGATATGCAAGCGGGGGCATCATCTGTGGACACATGTGGACACAATCCACATTTATTTTATTATTCAAATTTATAAGTCAAAAAGTGTTCTACAATGATCACCAGTCATTCAGCTTCCATTTGATACCAAAATAACCAAAGTGTTCTACATATTATGAACATTACATCCATGCATAGGAACTATTTTGTGTTAAATATGTACCACTTTCTGGTATGTGCTTTCTGATCGGGCCAGAATTAGTGTTGTTACACCTACAACAGAACCAAACTTGCTATATTGACTTCTGCATTACTTAATTTTATTCTATGATCTATTTCTAGCAATAAAAACATAAAGCTTTAGTCCAAACACTGTTTTACTGATTTTAAGCTCAAATTGGACTGGTAATCATATGGGTTAGGCAAAGAAAACTGCATGTGGATATTATGTGTTTGGGTCTGTGTTTCAATTACCATAAGCAATAGGTCAACTATATTTGGTGTATGGAATAATTGTAAAGTGTACATGTCTGTCTGACAGGATTTATCTGACCTTGATGGATCTTTATAAATGTTAAGTTTATGTGGTACTCTTAAAGCGTTTATCTTTTAAGACTTTCAACATAATATCAATGGTGATTAAAGCAGGAGAGACATTTCAACGTGTGCACTTTTGTTTCTGATTTGGTCTATTTGTCAGATACTATAAGCAATAGGTCAACTGAATTTGTTATATGGAATGATTGTAAGGTGTTCATGTTTATCTGGCAGTTCATCTGACCTTGACCTCATTTTCATGGTTCATTAGTCAATGTAAAGTTTTCAGATACTGTAAGCAATAGGTTAACTATATTTGGGGTATAGAATGATTGTATGGTGAACTTTTTGTCTTGTATGGTTGATCTGAATTTGACCTCAATTTTTTGGTTCATTGGTCAATGTTTAATTTCTTTGAAACTTAAAGTAAAACCTTCATATTACACACACTCAACATAATATCAATCATGATAAGTAAAGCAGGCGAGACATTTCAGTGTGTGCATTTGAGTCTTGGAATGTATTTGTTATTTACTATTTTCAAGTCCCATCTGATACACTTGGTTATTGGATGAATTTTAGTGTTGTAGGTCAAGGTCACATCAAGGTAAATAGAATATTACTGTTGGTATGTTAGGACTTGAGTTTTGTTTTATCTTTGTTGTTCCCCCTTTAGTTGAGGATGGGAATATAACAAAATGGCTTTGCATCCATGGATAACTTGTGTCTTGTCAGTGCATTTCCAACTTTATAGAAAAGGCAAATTTTTAAAAACTTGTATGAGGAGTTGGTAAACTCTTTTTTTATACACCCGTCGTTTATGGGACGTGTTATGGTATACCTTTGACCGTCTGTCTGTCTGTCCGTCCGTCGTCAACATGTCGGACATTAATTCAAAAACGCTTTAACCAATATTAAACTTTGGTGAATTGTTTATATCTATTGACTTGAGCTCCCTTTCGTTTTTTATAAATTTCAGATTTACCATTTCTGAGTTTTGGGGTTTAAGTTTATGTTAGTTTAAACGACATAAATGCCAAAGGGCATTATTCACATATATATTATAAAATGGCTGTCAGGTGTTAATTAGTTTAATAGTGTAAAATAATGTAAGAGTGTAAGGTACTCTGTCAGGTATTTACCCTTATTAAGTGTCAAATTATGTAAGAGTTGCAAGTCACTCTTGATAATTTAATAACTTACTAGTACATCAAAGGTCCAGTCAATTTCGTAACTAATCAACCGTAACATTTACAAGATGTTTGTACACCTGTGACAAATATCTAAGTATTGGTATTCTATTGATTAACTGCATCAAAATGTAATCAATAATTAAGACGTTATGAAGGTAAAACAATCATTCAACACTTGTTTGTCAATTTTTTACAACTTTTTAACTGCAAGCATTTCAGTATCCGTCAAAATATTTAATTGGGATTAAAGAATCCGCCAAGATAAAAATGGCCAAAATTTTTCGTATACTTTGTTGCCCCTAAATCGCGAAATTTTACACCCGCCAAAATAACCCGCTATACGGTAGCATGCTCTCATGGAGGTTGATTCTAAAATTCAGAAAGCATTGATTTGTAGTTCCTGAGAGAAATGTGACAAATTCTTACATCACCATTAATAAGTATTCAGTTAACAGGAAGTTGTTAAGCAATGAATCTGTAAATAAATTTCACAGTACAACGTGCTTACATGACGCTTAACACCAAATTTCAGGAAGATCTGATGTGCAGTTCCTGAAAAGCATTTCAATAAAACTATTATGGGGGGGAAACAGACATTTTCATTATGTTGACAGGACATATTTATGATTTCACAGAAAATATACCTATGAATGATTAAGGACAGTTTAGTTAAAAGTGCCCGGTGTATTTTTTTAAACATTAAGTTGATGAACCATTGTCGGCAATTACTGGTTCACAATGGAACTATTGGTTCAAGAGCTGGTTCACAATGGCACTATTGGTGCAATTGCTAGTTCACAATGGCACTATTGGTGCAAGTGCTAAACTAAAAGTGAGCTAAAATATTGACATCAATTTATCAGCAAGTTTTGTCAAACCTAAGATGAAAGATTTTAACTATATTGAATGCTTTTATTTTCATACAATGAGGTCTAATTTTCTAACATTGTTGATGAAATAACCACATTCCATTTATGGTTCACATGGCTGTCTGCTACAAAGCTAGCATTGAAAAGTAAATCTTATATTCAGATATCATTCTCTCAGTTCTGTTTCATCTATGAAATGCTCTATCCATTTGAGAAATCTTGTGGTTGGACATTTCTTCAGCCAGTTATACAGTCGGCCTGAAAACCTGTAACCCAGCTGTTAATTGGATAGGACATCAGATGCCAAGATGTTCTTTCAAATAATCCACTACAGCAGAAGAGCTAACCAGTGCATTAAAAATTCTTCTCTCTGCCCTTGGTAGTACTCTCTCTAACATATAGATTAAATGATTGTGAAAACAGTGGTAAGGTGTACCAAGAGATGTTGATATGTCCAGCTGAAATTAGATAATAAAACCTGTATGTTATCAGTTAGTACTAAATATCACAATACTGGTGTACTAATCAGGAAATGAGAAATGAGCATACAGAAACGACCTGTAAATAATAAAATTAAGAGAAAAATGTTGTGAACAGGCATTAACTTGTTCAGAATTAAAATACAGAACAGAAAATAAATAAAATGCTCCGCAGGGCGCAGCTTGATACGACCGCAGAGGTCGAACCCTGAACAGTTGGGGCAAGTATGGACACAACATTCAAGCTTGATACAGCTCTGAATTTGGATTGTGATTAAATATTTGACACAGCATAGGTTTCTGACACAGAATGAATGTGGTCTAAGAACTTAAAAATTTAAATTGGACATTCACCTATTGTGGTCCAATATCCAAAATCTAAATACATGGTTAGATTCAGCATATCAAAGAACCCCAAGAATTCAATTTTTGATGAAATCAAACAAAGTTTAATTTTGGACCCTTTTGACCTCAATGTGGACAAAGTTGATAATGGGGCCCAAAAATCAAACATCTAAATACATGGTTATATTCAGCATATCAAAGAACCCCATATATTCATTTTTTGTTGAAATCAAACAAAGTTTAATTTTGGACCAACTTGAAAACTGGGCCCATAATCAAAAATCTAAATACATGTTTAGATTCAGCATATCAAAGAACCCTAAGAATTAATTTTTTTGTTAAAATCAAACTAAGTTTAATTTTGGACCCTTTGGACCTTAATGTAGACCAATTTGAAAACAGAACCAAAAATTAAGAATCTAAATACACGGTTAGATTCGGCATATCAAAGAACCCCAATAATTCAATTTTTGATGAAGTTAAACAAAGTTTAATTTTGGACCCTTTGGACCTCAATGTGGACCAATTTAAAAACGGGGCCCAAAATCCAAAAACTTAATACACAGTTAGAATCAGCATATTAAAGAACCCCAAGAATTCAAGAATAAAACCCCATTGAAATTGGTCAAGAAATAAGCAATTAATACGAAGTATCTTCTTTTGCACAATACTGTGCAATTGAATATTTCTTGCTATTGCGCAATACTGTACATATGACAATTTCTTGCTATTGCGCAATATTGTGCTAATGGATATATCTTGCTATTGCACAATACTGTGCAATTGAAGATTTCTTGCTATTGCGCAATACTGTGCAATTGAAGATTTCTTGCTATTGTGCAATAGTATGCAATTGAAAATTTCTTGCTATTGCACAACACTTATTATATAATAATTTACACATACTGTTTGGTGTGTATCTCCTACCATATCATTATTATTTGCTTTTAAATATAAAACAGAAATAACCAACTTAAAATGGAAAATTTTAAAAGAAAAAAAAAAGGAAAAAAAGAAAAAAAAGGAAAAAAAAAAAAAATCCCCCCCCCAAATTTTTTGAACCCCCTTATGATTCATCACCCCCAAACTCAATCCCAGCCTTCCCTTTGTGGTATGGTACCTTGCAGTACAATTTAAGAGAGATCCATACACTTGAACACAAGTTATTGTCTGGAAACTAGAAAAATGCTTATTTTTGGCGCCTTTTTGGCCCCTTATTCCTAAACGTTTTGGGCAATTACCCCCAAACTCAATTCCAGCTTTCCCTTTGTGATATGGAACCTTGTAGTACAATTTCAGAAAGATCCATACACTTACACACAAGTTATTATCATGAAACTAGAAAAATGCTTGTTTTTTGCCCCTTTTTTGGCCCCTAATTCCTAATATTTTGAGGCAATTACCCCCAAAATCAATCCCAGCATTCCCTGTGTGATATGGAACCTTGTGGTACAATTTCAGAGAGATCCATACACTTGAACACAAGTTATTGTCATGAAACTAGAAAAATGCTTATTTTTGGCCCCTTTTTGACCCCTTATTCCTAAACGTTTTGGGCAATTACCCCAAACTCAATTCGAGCTTTCCCTTTGTGATATGGAACCTTGTAGTACAATTTCAGAAAGATCCATACACTTACACACAAGTTATTGTCATGAAACTAGAAAAATGCTTGTTTTTTGCCCCTTTTTTGGCCCCTAATTCCGAATATTTTGAGGCAATTACCCCCAAAATCAATCCCAGCATTCCCTGTGTGATATGGAACCTTGTGGTACAATGTCAGAGAGATCCATACACTAACACACGTTATGTCTGGAAGTTACAAAAATACTTATTTTTGGCCCCTAATTCCTTAACTGTTGGTACCATAACCCCCAAAATCAATCCCAACCTTCCTTTTGTGGTATTGAACCTTATGGTAAAATTTCATAGAGATCCATTCACTTAAACTAAAGTTAGAGGGCGAAAACCAATGTGTCTTCGGACAACGACGACGACGCCAACGTCATACCAATATACGACCGAAAAAATTTGGACCGCAAAAATAAATTTTATTTATTTTTGCGGTCGTATAAAAACTGAAAACTCCTTAATGCATTTCCCTAATGTAACTAAATGAATATTCTCTGAATGTCTGATTAACCAACAAATAGTACAACTGTATTGATATATCACTCCTAAAAACATTAAAGAGGTCAAAAATAATATGTCCATTTAAGAAGTAGTGCTATTGTTGAAGGCATATAATAAAATATATAATATATATATTACATCAATAAAATTAGAGTTGCCTGCATAGCAAGACTCATACCCCCATACATGCATTTTAGTTGCTGTGTGAAATTTAGTATTGACGACAATGGCATCTTGAGATTTTTTATATTAGACATCCTGATCCCATGATGTTTCTGCACACAAAGTTTTGTCAATCTAAGCGCTACGGTACAACAGTTATACAGTGTACACAAATCAGACAGTGTTTAACTATCATAGACGTCAAAGCTCCAAGTCAAGGTCAGTATGATGCGTGTGCATACAAAGTTTTGTCTATCTTATTGCTATGGTACAAAAGTTATGCACTGAACACAAAACAGAAAATGTTTTACAATCATAGGGGTCAAAGTCAAGGTCAGAGTGACCTGACTTTGATATATGACACACCTTCATCCCATGATTCATCAGCTTACAAAGTTGGGGAAAAGCCAAAGTTCTATGGCTCAAATATTATGCACATTAAACATATCAGAGAAGGTTCTATGATCGTAGGGTCAAAGCATGGCTTCCAAAACGGTCATATATTCCGGACATTTATAAATTTACCGGACATTGTCTGTCTTGGAAAAGCATGAAACGGACATCTAATTTTAGTTTTCAAGGCTTTCTTAAGAGACGGCCATTTTAACATAATTCCAATAAAAATTGGAAGTTTATGTGATCTTTTTGACCCGACCTTTTACCTTAAACAGCCACACATTTCAGGTCATAAAAGTGACATGATGAATAATTACTATCAAAACAAACCCTACTTTAATACCTTCTCATTTATTCAAGGTTAATTAGTTGTCGGCCAGCTGAAATTTACCTATTCAGACGACTATTTAGTCAAAAAGATTGAAAATATCAGAAATGATTTATAAATATGATTTGATGAAATATTTAAAAAGGTTTTATACAAAAAATCATCAGAACCATGTTGTTTGAACTAGTACACGTGTGCACATGTGGGAAATTTAATTATGCATCCTAATTCTTCAAAAATGCTAAAATTATCATTGATACCTTAACCTTACGTTCATTTTGAGTACTTGCTTGAAGAAATAACGTGGAAAGAGCTATTTAAACTCAATCGTGCTTTGTAAACGTACACGGATTTTACTTATCCGTCTCTGGTCCATGATTTACCATTGTCAAGTCAACATCCGGTATTAGATAAATGTGCTTTTTAAAAACGAAATTAAAGTTTTTGACAACGCTATTTTGCACAAATAAAGAGTCTTAGGCAGATATTAGTACGCTGATGTTGCACACTTTGAATGATGCACTGTCAATTTAACAGTTTACGTCAGAACATCGAATTTATATCAAAGTAAAGTTTAATATCGTTTTTTTAATGTCAATCATTGGTTATATGCATATGATGGCCAACTGATTACCATAATTGCCTTTTGTTACTAAGTCTTAATGGATTAAAATCGGGATGAGACATAAAATGTCCGGCTAGCTCAAATATTTCTTGGAAGCCCTGGGTCAAAGACAAGGTCAATAGTGACGTGACTTTGGTATATGACACACCCCTAGTCCAAGATGCAACTGCATATCAAGTTTGGTTAACCTAGGTTTTACGTCAAATCCATAAATACAATAAAGTAGAGCTACTTAATTTCAGTGTTTTCTTACAAACAGAAAAAGTTAAATATTGTTTACCCATTTCTGAACACAGTCTAATGGAGTGTTATCATAGCCTGAATACATGGCTGGGTTCTGTAAAATACCTCTAGCTGCCATCACACCTGAGAAAAATAATTTGATTCAGTTAAAACTCAATTTTAAAACAGCAATAATCTTATCATTCAAATTAAACAAGAATAGAAAGAATCTTATAGAAAATTGTTTAAGAATGTTTATTTATTAATTATCATGAAAACAAGCAACTGATTTTTAGTTGTAATAAAACTATTTTATCTACCATAAAGCCTGTTCCTAAGGCTCAACTAAAATTATGTTTACAAAAACCTTTTAGATTTCTATAGCATTTCTGAATTAAAATAAAATTAATCAAAGCTAATAGGCCAATTGTTTTCTTATAGAAATAATAAATTCTTTAAAGGTCTTTTGCATTAATTAACTCAGTAAAAAACCTTAAAGTATTTTCAAAACTGTAACAAAACTTCCAGCTTTTTCTACACTGTGATTACCATTGACTCCTGTAATTTCTGCAATTCTTTCAACATCTTCTATTGATCTTATATCACCATTAGCTATAACTGGACATTGCAAACTGTCTTTAATTGTTCTGATAGCTTCAAAGTTCACAGGTTGTCCTCGTTGTTCTTTTGTCCTCCCATGAACTGTCACCCAGGAAACACCAGCTTTTTCAGCTTTCTGACACATATCAACTGTTTCCCTGGGAAAATATAAAATAATTCTTGTTCTTAAAAGCAATATAAATGTAATATTAAAATATGTTTCAATGTGTGAAAGGATAACATTTATTTCATTTACAAGGTTTCTCCCATTATATTTTTCAGGATTAAGTCTTCTTTTCAATCTTGCAAGGTTAATATATAGTTTTTCAAAGTCAATAATTATTTGCTTCCTTACAAAAAAATAGTGTTCAGACTTCATAAACTTTATAATTTAAATAAAATGGAAATGGGGAATATGTCAAAGAGACAACAATTTACCTATATTGTGTAGATTTTTCTATTTGTGTCTGTAAGAAGATTTGTAGACAGAAGTGATTGGAATTTGATATCAACTTTGATTTAACAATGCTAAACCTTCTGCTTGTATCACCTTACCTGGCAAAAATATGCCATATTGATAAATATTTTCACTTTTTTCATGAAATTTTTTTTTTGTATCTCTAAAGGGCAATAACTGCCATTAGGAATTATTTGACAATTTTGATGGTTTAAAGATAACAAATATAAGAGGATTATTGCCCCTGTCATGTATTCCATATCTACTACAGTTTTCAAGATATTTGAACATTTGAATTTTGCCTCTTAGATCTTTTTCTAGTGAAACTAGCAAAGTTTGTGTACAAAATGATAATATACAAAACCTGATGTCATTGTGGATTCTAATCTTGATGGAAACAGTAAAGTTCTCATTGTTGACCCTCGACTTGACTTGATTAACCATATCTTTCACCAACTCTGGTTTCCTTATTAGACAGGCACCATAACCTTCTGCCATTGCCCATCTACAAAAAAACATATGACATTTTTTTTTAAAGCTTTCAGAACCCCCTGCCCCTGTGGATTCATTATTATTCAGATGATATTAATTCATGTGGGTAACAGTGAACTACAAAATGCTCAGCACGTATGCAGACTTATATTAAACAACAAAATCAAATATCCATGAAAATACAATTTTTCTTTAATCCATGAAAATACAGTTTTTCTTTAAACCCATGAAAATACAATTTTTCTTTAATCCATGAAAATAAATGAATCCACATTAAAAAGATAATTGAGCTATTACATTCAAATCTCTGTTAAAAACAATAAACTGAGCATAATTAATATGAGCGTAGACAGACAAATACAATAACTAAAATGTATAAAGGTATAAATTCCGTAAATCACAAGATACATGTAGCTTCTTTTGTAAAGGTTAAAAGTTCTCACTATAAGATAACATAAAAAAATAAACAGGTTAATTGATGTTTACTTTTACCCTATTTCAATTCATTTATTTATTTCTAAACCATGAAAAAGAAACATCTCATTTTGTAACATTTTTTTTTATAACACACTTTTATGGTCAGGCAATAAGATTTGTGTAGTCTTAAGTCCAGTTTTGAAACATTTTCTGAGTTTATATTGAGGTAAAGACATATGGACCTTATGGTTACATATATGTCTTTTGGTCTCTGATTGATAGTCTCATTGGCAATCATACCACATCTTCTTATTTTTATACTAACATACCTTTGAGGACATCCACAGTTCAGATCAACACCATCAGAATAACTAGAAGAAAAATATAAAAATAAAGATATATTTCTTTACAGTGAATCACTACTGTTACAACATACATGACATACATCACATTTGGTACAAAAATACCCAAATTATTTAAACTGAAGATCCTCCACTCATTGTTCCGAAACATAACTTTTTTTGGATTGTACAATGTTAAAATAGTTTATCTTGAATAACTTAAAATATTCCCCAAAAGCCACTGACTGAAAAGTATTAATTTTTAATACATGTAGTGGATTTGATCAGTCATGCTTCCAGCACAAATTAACTGAATAGTTTTAAATAGTAAGTTTGGCCGTTTTAAGGAGGACAACTGAAAACAACTAGAAATTATTCATAATGTTTCCTAGATATATTATGTTTTAATTGAATATTACATGTAAAATCATTTGTGATGCTTGCCTAATCACAATTTTCTCCATGGAAAAATGTCTTATTGTGCCAAATTATAGTTGGCAGTGGATAATGATCCTTATGTTATCAAAATGCAAATTAATGGCATTTCAAACAATTAGCCACAAGCATTTCTGAATAAAGCTAAACATAGCATTCGACTTTGATTTAGTTAAAAAAAAATGTTTTATATTTGTTGAAACTAACAGTACAAATAGAGGAAGAAAAATAATGATCTTACGGTACGACAATTTCAGCAGCATCTGCAAATTCTTTTGCATTTTTGGCAGCAAACTGTACAATCAAAGGACGGTCTTCTGCAAAAAAAGGGTCATGCATGACTTATTTACAGTAGATATAATAGAAAAGAGGATGGTAACAGGGAATGTGTCAAAGAGACAACAACCCGACCAAAGAGCAGAAAACAGCCAAAGGCCCCAATGGGTCTTCAACCAGCAAGAAAATCCTGAACCCGGAAGCGGGCTTCAGCTGGCCCCTAAATAATAATGCATATTAGTTCAGCAAAATGGATGCCTCACTATACTCTGACTTGGGACAGGCGCAAAAATGCTGCAGGTTTAAACATGTTTTTAGAGATCTCAACCCTTCCCCTATAAGTTTGAGTTATGTGGTAACCTAGCAACCTATCAACAATAATTGACAAACTTTGATATAGACAAATAATTTGATTCATACCATCAGAGCAATGAAAAGAAAAACAACTTGACACCTACGTCATTTAGTCTCATTGGCAATCATACCACATCTATCTAATATTGCCATTTGACTGAAAAACTAGCATTACCAATAGAAATTAAATTTCAATGTTAACAACTTTAATGGCAAGAGGTTATTACAGTTTAATTACTACAATAACTCTAAGTAAAATATTGCACCAACAGAACAAACTGATTATGTCTCAACACATATTAAGTGGAAGAGAGATCATTTTCTAAATCACCCTAACTTTAAGTGAACACCTTTGATTAAAAATTATGTATTGGTGGTCCATAATCATAATTGTCATGATTGTAAGCTGTAAAGTATCAAATGCATTTAAAACAATTTCAAAGAAAACTAGTTGACAAAGACATGCATCAATTTTGATAATAAAAAATAAAATTCAAACCTTTACAAGTTGTAAAGTCGCTGTCTCTGGCCTTTAGTGACTTGATAAATGAATCAGATATGATCATTGGTGTAAAGGCAAGGTCACATTCATACTGTCTCACTAGCTTCCTGAATGCAAGCCTACAATGTAATTACAGGCAGAATTAAATACCTCTTAGTCATTTTACAGATATTCAGAAATCTAAAAGTAAAATTACTATAAGCATATTAATTCTCATGGTTGCCATGATTTTATTTGTTTTGGTCTGCATGTACACAGAGTTGGAGCTTCAACTAGTATTAAAAGTATGACCAGTATAAAACTTCAATGCTGTTTCTATCTTATCTTTATAAACTTCATACTTAGAATACTGTTAACTTGGAAATTATCGGGTCGTCTTTTTTTCAAGATTTATGAATATAATCTAAATTTGTGCAGTTTTGAATTAGCTATATCCCAGTGGCCTTTATAAATATTTTCATAAATGATTCAGAAAGTGAGCACCTTTACATGTATAGTTAACCAAGTAATAAAATCAATCAGAAATCTTTTTTGTCGGTTCATTGATGTTAAAGTGGATTAAAAGTTAATAATCATGTTTACTTGTAAAACACATACACAATAAACAGAAAAGATGACCTAATTAAAAGTGAATTAAATGCTGGCAGGATTAATGCTAATTAATCGATCTTTTGGTCTGTCTGAGGTAATAATTTTAACACTGATTGACATGTGTCATTTACATAACAATATCCGCAATGTCCACTTGCTTGCGATGTCTTCCATGTTAAAAAGATCATGGAAGTAATATATTGATTCTTTTTAATTCCATGATAACATTAACGTGAGTTAAAGTTATGATTTCTAACATTGCTTTTCATTTAGAAATACAGTTATGATTTTAGGTAAAGTAGACCTGTCGTCTGTAAAATCGGTGTTATGCAGTGGTCCTGTACATATCCTATTCATATACGTACATGTATGGTTTTCTTCTTATCTCGCAGTCGTTTTATTTTCGTGTTTCAATTCTTACCGTGAAAAAAGCAAAAATAAAACTGCCCAAAAATTTCCCTGTTTACAGTACATCTAATCAATGCAATGCTGAAGAATTGAATTAGAACAGTAAGAAAATGATAAACAATTATTAATCTGCTTAGAAAAGTTAAAGTTTAAAATTAAAAATTTCGTAGGGACAACATTTTTAATGTTACAAACATGGTTTCAACATCGTCATAGTAAACTGAAGCCTAGAAAATTATGATAAAAAAGTAACAATGTAATTTCATATGTGACACATCCAACTCCAATGAGTTTATCTGTATCTTTTCTTTAAATATCACTTTTGGGGGAACAAAGCAAAAATAATGTGATGGTTCTAGTTGTGTCAATGCCCTCGTGAATTCAATTAAATTGAATTCTTTGTTGATTGTTATTAATTAACAACAAATGAAATAAACTATTTTTGTAAACAGTAAATCTTCAATTAAAATAACATATTTCCTAAAAAAAAAACAAGTTTTTTATAAAATCAAATTCTCAATTTTCTAGATATGTTTATAGTTACAACAATTCTATACTTTTATGGCAATACAACTCATTTGCATATACAAACTACCAAATTATGATCTCTAGTGTGTGCTCCTGGACAATACCTTGATGTAATGTATTATCTGACCCTTTATGGTTGTATTCCTAATGTGTATTCCTCAATTCCTTGTTATATTCATATCATCACCTTAAAAACCACTGAATTTTTTCTTGAAATGAAAGTTTCACTATGGGAGCAAGAACAGTTAAACATTCCTTCTAATCTGAGTTCAACTCCAGTTTTTGTTGTGAATTGTGTTGCTCAATCTTTTGTGTAAACTATTGTTTTATCTACTTTTTTTTTGTTGGCCATGATGTCAGTCTTTTTTCAACTTTTGATTTATGAACACCCTTTAAGTATCTTTCCCTCCCCTACTTTTTCTAAGTTTAAAAGTATACATAACTGTGAAAAAGAGTCAAATGATTTCAAGCTGAATTCCATTTAATTCGTGCAATAAAACTAGCTCTCTTGAAATTACTACATGTGTAGCTTCTCCAAAGAGCCTGCATTACTCATCTGGTATCTGTGTGCAATCATCTCCAATGTCAATAATATCTACACATTTCTAACCATGTTTGTTGCCAAATTTATACTGGCCTTATAAGGCAAGTAATCTACAAATCTGCAAACAAGACATACAAAAGACAGACAGATAATGCCAAGGGAGTATAAAGTATTGCATAAAAATATCAATCAATTAGAAAAGGTCCTTTATAATACTATACATTAAATAGGTTTCAAAAAATTTGCTCCCATGGTAGGAAAATCACTTGCTTTTTGATAGCAACTAAATGTAACATACTTGGAGTATCTAACCATAGGATAACAACTAAATGTAACATACTTGGAGTATCTAACCATAGGAGCACATATCTTGACAACTTTCTTTTCTTTGAACAATTCTAGTGGTGTTGCAAAGTTGAAATCTTTGACTTCATCCATTTCATGTTTGTCAAACTTGATCACAGCACATCATTATTTATGAGTCTATAAGAGAATGTATTTCAGTTAAATAAATAGGCATAGTTTTTTTTTAATATTTACATTTTAGAATTTAGCAAATTTGAGTTGGCCTTTTACCAACTTGTTCAACATAGTATAAACACAAAGGCTTAATCAATTCATATGCAACAATTTCCAGTTTGTCAACCATTTTAGTTAAAAAAAAAAAAAATGCTCCGCTGGGCGCAGCTTGATACGACCGCAGAGGTCGAACCCTGAACAGTTGGGGCAAGTATGGACACAACATTCAAGCTTGATACAGCTCTGAATTTGGATTGTGATTAAATATTTGACATAGCATAGGTTTCTGACACAGAATGAATGTGGTCTAAGAACTTAAATTTTTTTAATTTACCTATTATAGTCCAATATCCAAAATCTAAATACATGGTTAGATTCAGCATATCAAAGAATACAAAGAATTCAATTTTTGATGAAATCAAACAAAGTTTAATTTTGGACCCTTTTGACCTCAATGTGGACCAATTTGATAACGGGGCCCAAAAATCAAAATACATGGTTAGATTCTGCATATCAAAGAACCCCATATATTCATTTTTTGTTGAAATCAAACAAAGTTTAATTTTGACCCCAATTTGGACCAAGTTGAAAACTCGGCCAAAATCAAAAATCTAAATACATGTTTAGATTCAGCATATATCAAAGAACCCCATATATTCAATTTTTGTTAAAATCAAACTAAGTTTAATTTTGGACCCTTTGGACCTTAATGTAGACCAATTTGAAAACTGGACCCAAAATTAAAAATCTAAATACACTGTCAGATTCGGCATAACAAATAAATAAATGTGGTCAAAGATTTTACAAATCTAATGCGCCATACTGTGCAATTAAAGATTACTTCTTGAAATTTTTCAATATTTGAAATTTGAAAAAAAAAAAATATTTGAAGAATAATTCTTTTTAATTTCTGAAATCTGAAATGAGAAAAAATTGACCACCCACAATTTCTATTTAACCTCCCCCCCCTTTTCTCCCCCAAAAATTCTTTCCCTCAAGATATGGTCATAATCTCAATTCAAATTTCCAATGGAATTTGCAACCATAATTACCCATTTAAATTTACCATAGTGCTAACTTAATCTATTTTATAAAAGAATTTAAAATATGGTGTCAAATCTTTCATATGGATTTTTTTGTAAAAAAAAAAGATGCAACATTTGCAGATATTTTTACTGGTCTTCCTTTATAAATATGCATTTCTTTAAACATAATTTAAAAGCAGTGTAAGGGAAGTAATCAAAACGTTGTATTTGGATTACCTCCCGTACACTGTTTTAAATTGTCTTAATTGTTCATTAACCATTACTTTATACATAATTTAAAAGCAGTGTAAGGGAGGTAATTCAAATGATGTATTTGATTTATCTCCCTTACACTGCTTTAAATTATGTTTTGTACTAAAGTATTTGTCCATTAACCAGGACAACCTTGTTTTTTTGCCCCTAATTCCTAAACGGTTTGAGCCATAACCCCCCAAAGCAAATCCTAACCATCCCTTTGTGGTATGGAAACTTGTGGTATAATTACAGAGAGATCCATACACCGTTCCACAAGTTATTGTCTGGAAACTAGAAAATGCTTATTTTTGGCCCCTTTTTGGCCCCTAATTCCTTAACTGTTGGTACCATAACCCCCAAAATCAATCCCAACCTTCCTTTTGTGGTTATAAACCTTGCATTTAAATTTCATAGATTTCTATTTACATTTATGATTAAATGTTTTGCGGTCGTATAAAAATGAAACGACTGTTTTCCCCATCATTTTTTATATTAATAATAATAATAATAAATATAAATCAATTGTTTTAAAAACAATTGTTAAACGGTCTTTCCCCTCCGAAAAATGATTGGTTGGTTGGTTGGTTGGTTGGTTGGTCGATTGATTGATTGATTGATTGATTGATTGATTGATTGATTGATTGATTGATTGAAAGTTAGCATGACACTCTCTCTATGCGAGGCATCGGACTTGACGTTCATATTCTGACGAGGCTGCGTACTTGTATATCCAGCACTCCCAAACGGACAGTTTCAGGATTTCCTAATAAATAAAAATCCTAACATCTTCTTTTTTTTCTAATTTTCTCTATTTGCTACGAGAACTGATACTTCATGGTTTCTTTTATGTGTTGTGTGTACATTTGTTTCAACTTGTAGGAAGAAAAAAAATGAGTAACATTTTGTCTTGGAAGTTTCACTTTCCATATTTGGATATGGATCTCGAATGTTTTATTCTAATTTTAGGTCCGCGCGCGTGATGATGTTTTGAAGTCACGTGACGCTCGAATATATATGTCTGGAGTATATAATACTATATAATATTAATTTCATTTCAGGGGAGACCGTTGAACAGAGCACATGTGTATTGATCGGAGAAACACCATCACTATTGGTTTTATTATTTACAGATCATTGATAACGGATCATGCATGCATCTTACGCACACATGTTTACGGGAGCACAGATTTGTATTTTAATGCATGATTAAAACATTTGATTGTAGGATTTCAGCAATATTTACGATTTTTCTACGTCATGGAATTTTATTTCTCAATCAAGCGGACCGCGACTAACGGGAACATGAATTGGAGCCGATTTTTGCAGGAATGAATTTCTATTTAAGAAGTTTGTACATCAGAAGGATTGCATTTTTACAGTCAAATGTACAGGACTGAACTTCAAGGCGAAACGGGATTCCTCAAAGTAGAAGGAAAAAAAAAAAAAAAAAAAAAAAGGGAGGGAGGGGAGGGAAGTGGAGGATGGTGGACCTTGGTTGATAAATTAAGATAAGATGCATGTATACATCATGATAGCTGCAAAGTTTGAGGCTATAATTAGTTCATTTTGTTCATTTTACTATTTCATTGGCATGGAACCCCTAAAACAATGACGCGTACCCTTTTGACAAAAACTTTCCCGTCATATCATGTCGCGACTAACATTTTGGTCAAATTTTTTTTATACGGCTTACGGTTTACGTGTTACAAAAACATAACAACAAATTAATTTGGTTAAGGCAGACAACTCCTTTAAGATCTCACTTGATCGCTTCGATCCAAATTAGGCAAAAATTCCTGAGGATGTAACAAACAATTTAGAAAAAGAATTTTGTCGATATCTTTTTTTGTTACGAAGGAGATGCAGACAGATGATAAACAGTGAATAGGGAGATAACTCTTGCAAAGAAAATGATTCGGCTTAGCAGGGTGAAATTTAAAAGCGCATAAACTATACAATACAATATGAGAAATATCTAAGCGACATATTGCGAAACAAAAATTTCAAAAGTTGGCGGAAAAAAAAAAAAAAATAATAATAATAATAATCAGAACAAATACAATAGGTCTTTCCACAGAAAAGTGGAAAGACCTAATAATTCTTTATTTAAAGAGGGTTACACAGTTAGCTATAAAACTAATCTTCCCTGAGGCTCTCATGAAATACAATGAAATATAACAAACAATTACAAAATATCAAACAAACACACATATATGAAAAAATGAAATAAAAAATTGTTATGAAATATACAATTTTCAAAACAGGTAAAAATTACAAATTCATATAGTATTGGCATCATTTAAATTACCTCAACAATATCTTAAGTTTGAGTAAGTGTGTGAAAATTATTATACATATAAAATTACACAGCTTCTTAATATTCCAACAAGTAATTTTTTAAATCTTTTTTGAATGAGCTTGTACTTGAGGTTGATTTTTTCAGGGATGTTGGTAAGTTATTCCATAAAATAGATCCTGAATATATAAAAGATTTCTTATACAGCTCTGTTTTGGCTTTTGGAACTTGTAAATTTTTGCAAGACGCATTCCTTAAACAATATTGGTTTATTTCTGGCATTTCTTTAAATTTTTCAGTGAGATATACAGGGGCTTCGTTCTTAAGGCATTTCTGCATCAAAACAGATTTGTGGTATGAGATTCTGTTCTCTACTGTCATCCACCCAAGCTGTTTAAACAGTGGATCAGCTTCTAAAATAAGTCTTGCAGCCCTTTTCTGCAATTTTATTATTCTGACTAGCTCATTTTTAGCACAACCACTCCAAATAATACAACAATAATCTATCAGTGGGAGAATATAGCCATTATAAAACAATTTTCTTGAATCAATATTTAGAAATTTCTTGATTTTAGAGAGTAAATGAAGTCTGGATGATATTGATGAACATAAGTAATCAACATGGCCTGTCCAGGACAGATTAGAGTCAATTCTAACACCTAAAAGTTTTTCAATTGATGATTTTTGAAGAATATTATTCTCAATAGTTAGAACTGGTTCTGCTTGATTTAAACGCAGCCTTTGTCTTGTACCTACATGTATAACCATACATTTAGTCTTATCTGAATTTATGAACATGTTATTTTTATGACACCATTTTTCAACACATTGGAGATCATCTTGTACTTTTAATTGCATATCAGCAATACTCTTTCCTGATGTATGCATAGTTGTGTCATCAGCATACAAGTCTGTATGGCAGTTTTTGATGTGTAATGGAAGGTCATTTATGTACAAAACAAAGAAAATGGGACCAAGTATTGAGCCCTGTGGAACACCAAAATTTATAATCTTTTTATCAGAAAACTGATTATTTATATGGACTTGCTGTGTTCTTTCACTCAAATATGATTTAAAAAAATCAACAGTATCTTCATGGAAGCCATGAATTTGAAGTTTTTTACATAAAATTTCATGATCAACAACATCAAAAGCTTTCTTAAAATCCAGGAGGACTGCCAATTATATTCATGTAGGTCACCAAGGTCCAGAGCACTGTTAGATAAGCAGAGATAACTGGTATGTACCACAGGCGCTTGGGTATATGATACAGATATTTTTTTTTTTTTTTTTTTAATAAAATATTCAATTTTCTATATTTATACTACGTATCTATCACTACTGCGCATGTCTCACCTTGTTTCGAGTGATTTTACCAACTCTGAGACAAACCCCCATTTTACTATCCACACTGTTTCTTAGTGCGGATAGTAAAATGGGGGTTTGTCTCAGAGTTGGTAAAATCACTCGAAACAAGGTGAGACATGCGCAGTAGTGATAGATATGTAGTATAAATATAGAAAATTGAATATTTTATTAAAAAAAAAAAAAAAAAAAAAATAGGTATTATATACCCAAGTGCCTGTGGTTTCTTATTGGATACTAAAACGGGTTGTCATCAGGGAACAAGTGCAGTTGAGATGATACTGCCCTGGTACGTGTATAAGTGATTTACATGTGGCAAAAAAATAAAAGGGCATCAAGGACGATAACTCACGGGACCCCTACTGTGAGCATCCGATGAGGTTTCTTTTCCTGAAAGAGAGGGATGTTTCTATCATTGCTGAATGTTACCCGAATATTTTTTTATGTATTTTTGTCATTGCCTCTCCCATCCCTGAGACATAATGTATTGTTAGGTCATGGATAAGAAAACCTAGTAAAATTATTTGTTATTTGTAAATGAAAGTATATATGATCGCTTTCAGATCACACTTGCCGGTTTCACGAGGGTCTCACGTGTGTTTGTTGACAAAATATTTTTTTGTCCTTTATTTAGTTTCGGATAAAATCTTAAAAATGTTGAAGTAAGTTATCTACTGTTTATGAACTTTAAAAAAAAACGTAAATATTTTTTTTGTTCGTGAAATTGTCATGGATCAATCTCTTCAGTGATTAAAGATGTGAGATCACAGTTTCGCATTCCAACTCACACCGGAAGTATGGACGACTTTCTGCTAGAAAATCTTGGGTCAGATGGTAAATTTGCAAAATTTTATCAGACAGCTATAAAAATCTACCCAAAAGTCACACAATAAAGCCTAAAATTTATACGTTTTCAAAATAAAACAGTATAAAGCATAATCATTAGAGAGATTCACTGAACAATTGCGATATTTGTTTGAATTTTAAATTATCTCCCCTAACACAATAATAATAATTATATTTATTCAGGTAAAGGCAATATATACAAATACATAATGCAACCTTAAAATATAGCAATGGTTGTGACATAGGTACCTCTAATGCCTTAACCCAAAGATGACCCATGAAAGCAAACAAATTTATTTCCCATGGGTCCTTATACTTTCATACTTTTATATAGTCTTGATAATAAAATAAATAATTTATCATTCAATTTTACAGCCATTAATAGTATCCATGAATCACAGCTTAAAACATTCGCATAAAAAGCAATCTAATAAAATATAAAATCTGCATCTGACATTGCAGGCCTCTACAATAACTTTTTTTTTCAACTTGACGAATAGGACAAGTACACATCAAAACTTACTTGTCCGATTGGAATTGTAACTTGTCCAAAAAAAATCTTAATATTTACCTTTTTTGCATTTTAAGTTGATTCAATGAACATAAGAACAGAATTTGATTTATATCTCTTGATATCCTTTTCAAAAATATGAGTCGACATGGTCGAGAACAACTGAATCAAGTCATGTCACAGGAATTAGGTTCTAGTTTTCATCAATGCCAAAGTCTCATCAGACTCTGCACATGAGGCACAGTCTGGTAGGCCTGTCAGTCTACACTCATTTGGTTTGTATCCTGGTCTTTCATGTTGGTAAAATATTGAATTTTATGATTAATGCCTTACTACTATCAGCTTTGTTTTTAATATATTAAAATGTTTATTCAAACGCAATCAAGTATTGTTTTGTCTACATATGATCAAATATGATTCTGTGAATTTTATGGTCAATAATTTCTTCATTTTTTATTTTAAAAAATATTTTTGTTAAAAATTAATCATATTTATTATACATGTTATAAGCATCAGAATAAGGTAGGGAAACGAGGTACTGGTTTGTCTTGGTCCCGATATGTCTTCTACGGTGCCATACTGTCTATTAAACAAGGAAGGATTGGTTTCCGTGTCATTGCCGAACTGTCTTGTTACCTTATCTACAAAGCGCATCCTTGATTTCATCTAAGACTGGTTTCCCAGAATATTACGCGTTTTATCTGTTATAAAGTATCTGTCAAAGAACCAGTTTTAAATAATCGATTGCAAGTAAACATGTCAAATTAATATTTGTTTTTATCTTTTCTTGTTTTTTGTTTATTACTTTATTGTCGAACCCTGCATTGACCTGAGTTTACTCATAAGGTGTTTTTTTACTTCATACTTAAATTTTATTTATGAATTCACATAAATACCTTTTACATAATCTGGCGAAGCATTCCAGTTTTTAATACCACTAAAACAGAAAGAAGAAGATTCTACAACTTTGACATTTGGAAAATAAAAATTGTTAGCAGTTGTTCTAGTATTCCTATTCTGGGATTATTGAAAAAAAATTTTTTTTACATATTCTGGGCATTTGTTGTGAAAAACATTAAATACATGATTCAGACGAAGTTGTTTCACTCTGTTACAAACATTCCGTTCGTATAATGCTATTACAAAGTAAAATATTGTCCTATGAAATATTGTCCTCCAAGACAATATTTCATGACTATGTATCATGAAATATTGTCCTCATCTATGAAAAAATGTCCAGAGAAGGACAAATTTCCATTGTGAAATTTTGTCTGTATATAGACAATATTCACAGATGAATACTATGAAATTTTGTCCTGTTAAAGGGAGGTTATATTTTGTGTGTATTGAAACAATATTTCATAGACAAATTGTCATGAAATTTGGTCTCATGAAGGGGAGGTTATCAACATATATCATGTTGGATAATGATATTTTATTTGACTGATAATAACATATAAACACAAATTAATATTCCAGTTACATTTTACTGCTGTACCTCCAAAACGCCTTTGCAAAAAAGATTCATCAATCTTGTATTTTCAAATACTATTAGTACATTCAATTTGAACATAAATAAGTGATTGTCAGTACATTACTTATATTTATACAGTATAATGTAGTACAATGGAACATACGTTTGACAATTCTTTCATGCATGATTAATCATTTATAAAGTATCTACAGCTGTATGCAAATTTGAAACTAGCTTATGTTAAAATAGATATTAGTTTAAAATATAAAATACTTACTTTACAAAATGATTTCAGTTATAAATCTAGTTATAAATCTAAAAATGTGCATTCTGCATGCTTGTGAACTAATTCTAATGTTTGTAATAATTTCATATTGAAATAATGTCATGGACAAAATTTCATTGTGAAATATTGTCATGGACAGAATTTCATAGTGAATAATATTGTCATGAACAGAATTTCATAGTGAAATATTGTCCAGAAGGAGGTGACAAAATTTCATGGACAAGGACACTATTTCATAATGATATTTCATGGGGGACAATATTTTGTTACACTATCACGTCGTCGTCGTTGTCCGAAGACTTTTGGTTTCCAGACAATAACTTTAGTTTAAGTTTATGGATCTCTATGAAATTTATCAAAAGGTTCAATACCACAAAAGGAAGGTTGGGATTGTTTTTGGGGATGATGGTCCCAACCGTTTAGGAATTAGGGGCCAAAAAGGGGCCCAAAACAAGCATTTTTTCTAGTTTCAGGACAAAACTTGTGTATAAGTAGTTTGATTGCTCTGAAATTGTACCACAAGGTTCAATACCACAAGTAGAAGGTTAGGATTCATTTTGGGGGTAATTGCCCAAACCGTTCAGGAATTACGGGCCAAAAAGGGGCTAAAACAAGCAATTTTCTAGTTTTCAGACAATAACTTGTGTTCAAGTGTATAGATGTCTCTTAAATTGTACCACATTTTACAAAAAGAAAATTTTTGGAGGGGGGGTCAATTTTTTTTCCTCAAGATTTAAGAAAAAAATTGGGGATCATAATTTATTTTGCTAATTCTTTGTATATAGTCTGAAAACAGATTTACTAAGTATTGCGCAACAGCACAGTGTATTGCACAACAGCAAGAAATCTTCAATTGAATATAAATTCAAATCATATAATCAATTTCAAGTTCTTTGACTACATTTATTCTGTGTCTGTAACCTATAATGTGTCAAATATTTAATTACAATCCAAATTCAGACCTGTATCATAATCAAGCTTAAATGTTGTGTCCATTTGCCCCAACAGTGCTTTTCAGGGTTGGACCTCTGCGCTCGGCGAAGCAGTTTATCTCTGACATGTCTGAGGAAGAGATAGTATAAACCGTATAACTTTATTTTGAATAACCTGAAGCTTGTCTTTAAGTTTCTTGGATAAGCCTTCATACCAACAGGCACATGCACAATCAAGATGGTATTGTATTAATGCAGTACACAATGTTTTTCTAGATTGTTGAAACAAAAATTCTTTATATCTATATAAAAATTTAAGTCGCTGATTTCCTTCTTTATGATATTATCAAGAACTTGTTCACCAGGTAAAAATTTGTTCAAAATGATACCTAAATATTTCACATTTGATTTACTCTCAATTTAATATTATCACATCAATAGAAAAATCATTTTCATTAACATTTTGAAGTTTTCTCTTTGGTCCAAATGAAATGCTTTCAGTCTTTCCTAAATGAAGAGACAATTTATTATTAACAAGCCAATCTTTACATGATTTTAGCATAAGTGATAGCTTTCTAGAAATTATTTTTGGATCTGAATGTGAAAAAAGAATAGCTGTATCATCACCGTACGGCCTTCAACAATGAGCAAAGTCCATACCGCACAGTCAGCTATAAAAGGGCCCGAAATGACAATGTAAAACAAATCAAACTAGAAAACTAACGGCCTAATTTATGTACAAAAAATGAATGAAAAACAAATATGTAACACATAAACAAACGACAACCACTATACTAACTTGTAAATCATTGACATATATTAAAAACAAAAGCGGCCCCAGTATACTACCTTGGAGTACACAGCAAGTTACATCAAACACTTCAGAGTTTGTTTTGTTATTATTAACAATCTGTTTCCTGTTTGTCAAATATGAATAAAACCATTCTACAGATCTAACTCCTATCACATTAAGCTTATCACATAATACTTTGTGATCAACCCAATCAAATGCCTTCTGTAGATCGAGTAAAACCATGCCAGTAAAAAGACATTTGGCAGTTTTTGATTTTATATGATCTGTTAAATGTATGAGACAGCTATCGGTAGAAAATGAGTTTCTAAAACCTGATTGAAATTCATACAAAATATTATTTTCTACTGATAATGACTCTAATTGTAAATATACAGCTTTTCTAATATCTTTGAAACTATACTTAAGATACTGACAGGGCGATAATTTTGAGGCTTTAATCGATCCCCTTTCTTGAAAAGAGGTTTTACTTTAGCAAGCTTTAAATCATCAGGCACAGTTGCTTCTGATATAGACATATTTATTAAAAAACTAATAGGAATCTTAATAATAGGAGCTGCGTCTCTTAAAAACTTGGCTGGTATACCATCTAAACCTGTGCTTTTAGTAATGTTTAGATTACACAACTCTTTAAATACAAAATCTTCAGAAATATGTTTTAACATTAATACATTTTCATTAACTGATAAAGCTGTTCATAATTTACAGTGTTGTCATCAACCTCTTGCTACACTTTTGCTTAACAAGGTTATGTGATTCCCTGATAAATGCCCTTCGAGGATTTTTCCGATGACAATAAAATAAACCAATAGATAAATAATAAAAATATAAACATGATCAAAAAAAATTCTTGGTTTAAATGAACCACTGTGTAGCATCACCACCGGATATAGGTACCCCAAGCAAAAAAACAATGATAGCAAAAAGTATCTATTCTATTCCCCGTACAGTAAAAAACATTCACTGTAGAATTTATCCTTTATTTACATGAATTTCAAAACAACAAATGAATAGTTGAAGGATAAATGTGTTTTTAACCAGTTTAAACTGGTCACATTCTTCAGTGTTCTCCCCCAGGATTTTTTTATAGTGCTGTGGTAAGCGCTTGATTTTCGGCTATTCTCAGTAACTTTGTCGCAGCGCATGGTTTGTTTGTAATGGGTTTGTTATGATACATATGTCTATGCTCATATATTACACAAACAGTAAGCTTTATTTGTAAGAAAGCAAGGAAAACATGGAAAAGGGATGGTAAAATTTATGAGGGTAAATTTTAATTTTTTTTCCATAACTGTATATTGCTACCTAAAGTCTGGGTCTGGAGTCATGTCCTGTCTAGATTTCAGTGCATACTGTCCTCAGTGCCCCAAGCTCAAGAAAAATATATACAACAGGTTTGGGAAGATACTCATAAATGGATAATCCCATAAATAAGTTATAAACAGTGAGAATTTTGATTTTGTTTTTCATAATGTAATGTCTGTCATTGCCAAAAAAAAAAATCAATGAAGATATCAGGATTACACATATTACATGTAATAACATAATTCACCGAAAATACTGGACTGTATAACAGCAAATGTGGACCGTGGTTTTGGCTTTTATACACTTTTAATCATCTCTATTTTTTTAAATATGTTTGATTTTTGGACTGGTAATTACCATGATTACAATGTGTCAAAAAGTGTATAAAATATTAATGTTGTTTCTATTATAGCATGATCATGTATCTTTTCAGAGGAATTTAAGTTATTTCTAGATGAAAGTTTTGATGTCAAGGCCCATGCAAACAAGGCTATACAAGGAAAGGCAATATCAGAACAATTATCAAAGTTAGCAGAAGGTATATCTTTGTTGGACAAACAAATTCACTCCCAGGTAAGTAAAGCAACAGTGAAAGAAGTTGAAAACAGAGTTATGAATAGGTAGAAACAGTCTGACAGAATACTGGATATAGTTATGCCCCAAAATTTGTTTTAAGCTTAAATCCATTAGAGAAATTTTAGATCAACTGAATTAAAAAAAAAATGAAAACTTCATGATATTTTTAAACACCTTGGAGGATGGGAAACTGCAAGGACCTTGTTAGTCTATTTGTCTGTCTGACCATACATGAACATTTATATTTTCCTGTCGGTAACTTTGTTACATGTTACTTAGCTACTGTATATAAACAAGATATAATTTGATAACTTTGGTCTAGAACTTTAGTTGTCCTATGTAAGCAATTTTCAGATATGCCAGACAGTCACATCTTTTTAGCTCACCTGGCCCAAAGGGGAAGGTGAAGATCTATCCGTAAACTTTTACAAAAATCTTCTCCTCTGAAACTACTGTGCCAAATTTGACCAAACTTGGCCACAATCATCATTGGGGTATCTAGTTTAAAAAATGTGTCTGGTGACCCGGCCAACCAACCAAGATGGCCACCATGGCTAAAAATAGAACATAGGGGTAAAATGTAGATTTTGGCTTGTATCTCTGAAACCAAAGCATTTAGAGCAAATCTGACATGGGGTTAAATTGTTTATCAGGTCAATATCTATCTGCCCTGAAATTTTCAGATGAATCTGACAACCCGTTGTTGGGTTGCTGCCCCTGAATTGGTAATTTTAAGGAAATTTTGCCGTTTTTGGTTATTATCTTGAATATTATTATAGATAGAGATAAACTGTAAAAAGCAATAATGTTCAGCAAAGTAAGATCTACAAATAAGTCCACGTCCAAAATGGTCAGGTGACCCTTTAAGGAGTTATTGCCCTTTATAGTCAATTTTTAACCATTTTTCATAAATTTTTGTAATCTTTTACAAAAATCTTCTCCTCTGAAACTACGAAGACAAATTTAACCAAACTTGTCCACAATCATCATTAGGGTATCTAGTTTAAAAAATGTGTCCGATGACCCTGCCCGCGAACCAAGATGGCCGACATGGCTAAAAAATAGTACATAGGGTAAAATGCAGTTTTTGGCTCATATCTCTGAAACCAAAGCATTTAGAGCAAATCTGACGGTATAAAATTGTTCATTAGGTCAAGATCTATCTGCCCTGAAATTTTCAGACCAATCAGGCAACACATTTTGAATTTTAACATATTAGTACTTTTGTATCAAATTATTGGTGTATATTCTGCACAACATCATCATGTGCAAATAGTGTTTGTATAGACCATATGTATTTTGTTAATAGTTGTAATTTTCAATTTGTTCAATTTTATAGAATACTTGTAGAAAGTGCAAAACTGGCTTATAATGTCCCATTGGTGCTGGCAGACGGACTGACGACATGACATGCGAACTGATTGGAATGAAATTACTTTGATGACGTTTAATGTTTTTGACCCTTACATCCGTGAACACAGTTTACTCACTTCAGACTTTGTGATAACTTAAAAGTTACTTTGCAATACAACAGGTGTCATTTGCAAACTACAATATATTCACCATTTCATAGCAAGTAAACCTTCATCACTCTAGGCTTAATAGTTTGTATGAACAAGTTTATCATTGTTTATGTTTTAAATGTAATGTGTATTAGGTAACTTACTTTTCTGTACACCTGTATTGTTGTTCTTTGCTTTAAATCATTTGTGTATTATCCTCTGGATTTCTATTTTAATTTCCCTTTTAATATGGTTGTTTAGGAATCTGTCTATTACTTAATGCTGCATTTGAGGTTAAATTATTTGTTTGAAACTTTTTGTTCACAATCTTTTAGGCCAAAAATGCTTTTACTGCTGGCATAAAAAACCAGTTCACACATAAAGTGACATGCTTAAATATCGAAAACCTAATGAGGACAATAATTATGACTTACAAACATGTTTTGTGAAATACAATGTATGGTATATATATTTGCATTATAGGGAATAAATAAACACTTCTGATATTAGAATTGCCTTCCATTTTCAAAAACAAATGTAGCGAACTATTTTATACGTCTGAATTAAAAGAGCTGAGGGATATATGTCATTGAGACAGGATTTTCCTTTGACAGATAGCTATTTTCTTAGCAATCTATGTGCATTCATATCACACATACATTTGTACAATCACAACATATATGTATACTATCTTAAGTATCATCCACATAATATATCATATGATACATGTTTCTTGAACTTACATGTATGCAGTTCTTATTTCTCAATTATTTGTTTTGTAGATTGTTGCACATCATGACGACCTGTTATCACAAGCCACAGGGGTTGAAACTTTGGAAGGTAATGTTAATTTCAAAGTGGAAATCAAAACATGCAAATTATGTAATATAACAGGGATGTCAGTGAGAAACTTTAGTTGAAACTGTCAGTTTTTACTACCACTTATCCGAGCTAGTAAAATTAATTATTGTGACTGTTTCATCATTTATTGACTGTGTAAGATCTTCAAATGCACTACTTTAAATCCTATCCTATTGCATGATAAAAGAACTATTTGTTGAGCTTTAAAAAAGGCATAAAAACCTAAATAGATCATATTCTGTGATTAATAATTTAAGAACATTACTGCATGGCAAAACCTGACATAATTTGAAAGGAAAGTTTGAAACTATTACATTGAACATTATTTTATTACTTAATTAAAAATGCAAAATTATGTTTAGAGGTTTTGAATCTGACACATTGTAATAATTGAAAATGTTGATTTTTGTCGAGCCTTCGACTTTTGTCGATAAAGCGAGACATAGCGATCCTACATTCCGTCGGCGTCGTTGTCGGCGGCGGTGTCCACAAATATTCACTCTGTGGTTAAAGTTTTTGAAATTTTAATAACTTTCTTAAACTATCCTGGATTTCTACCAAACTTGGACAGAAGCTTGTTTATGATCATAAGATTATATTCAAAAGTAAATTTTGTAAAAAAAAAATTCCATTTTTTCCGTATTTTACTTATAAATGGACTTAGTTTTTCTGCCAGGAAACATTACATTCACTCTGTGGTTAATGTTTTTGAAATTTTAATAACTTTCTTAAACTATCCTGGATTTCTACCAAACTTGGAAAGAAGCTTGTTTATGATCATAAGATAGTATCAAGAAGTAAATTTTGTAAAAAAAAAATTCCATTTTTTCCGTATTTTACTTATAAATGGACTTAGTTTTTCTGCCAGTTAACATTACATTCACTCTGTGGTTAAAGTTTTTAAAATTTTAACAACTTTCTTAAACTATCCTGGATTTGTACCTCACTTGAACAGAAGCTTGTTTATGATCAAAAGCTAGTATCTAGAAGGAAATTTTGATAAAATTTTGTTCCATTTTTTCCGTATTTTACTTATAAATGGACTTAGTTTTTCTTCCAGTTAACTTTACATACAGTCTGCAGTTAAAGTTTTAAAAACATTTATTAGATTCAAAAACCATCCTGGATTTTTACCAAACTTGGACAGAAGCTACTTACAATCAAAATATAGTATAGAGAGGAATATTTTTATTAATTTTTTTCCTCATTTTTGTTGAGCCTGCGATTAACAGCAAAAGTAGGCGAGACACTCGGTTCCGTGGAACCCTTACGAATTTTTATCTATAAGCACTCAAAGTGTATCCTTTACTTATGACATATAAACAGAGCAGTAGCCAATGAAAATGGATCTTACATGAATAATGCATGTTTTCATGATATTTTTATTCACTTTGTTTGTTATTTTCTGATTTGATCTTGATATTTGTTTTTGGTCGAAACTTATTTTGCCATGTACTAATGTTTTAATTGCAGGTGTTCTTCAGATGATGCAGACCAGAATTCAGTCTCTACTAGCAGCCATGGACAGGTACAGGACCGTTTAATTTTTGAATATATGAAAAAAAGTTGTGGATTATTTGTTAAATAGCAACAATCCAACAACAATAGACAAGTATTTACACAATAGTTTTGTTAAATGACATCACTTATGAAATACACAAATGTTTATTTACTGCTTATAACATATATGTTCAATAATAATCTACAAGTCCATTGCAAAAGAAAAAAAAGAAGTTACCAATTTGGTATCTTTTTTTTGTAACATTTTGAAAATCTTTCAGACTTATTGTATTTGAAATTCTTTATTAAAATCTAGATTTCAATGAATGTATTGTTTATGTATGTTTTTTTAATGAAAATTTGAAATTGTTTAAGTTATTTATTGAAATTCAGTTTTGACATAAGATTTTTGTTATAGAAGGAACATAATAATAATATTTAAGCATATTTATATCAGTCAATTGCTTATATTGATTTTTTTTTAGAATAAGAACTAAAGTTACTGAGCCATTCAACAAAATATCTGCTAGAACTACACAGTTAAGAAATTTACAGGTAAAATTTGTTTTGGATGTTTAGATTTGATAAGCTTTCTTAATCTACTGATCAGTAAATATTTATAGTTTCTTTTTTGGATAATATTCTTATGTTTTATAGCATTTTCTCTAGGAATTCCTTACATATGGCCAAACATTATACTATTTGGTACATAACTAGAGTTGGGCCCTTGCACCTTTTTTTGTTTTTTGATATTTTTGATAAGATGTTTAAGAAAAAAGTATGCAAAATTTCATAGTTAAACATTGAATAATATATTAACAACATGTTGTTGTAGATTAACCTCTTGTCCTTATAGAGGTGTTAGTCTTATATGTGGGTATCTTAGAATTTTCTAGGGTTTGAAATTAGCGGTCGCCCACTCACCATTTGCGAGTGTTTTTTTATGTGGGCTGATAAATATGTAATCTCGTTAGCTACATTGCGACTGGACTTTGAAAATTATTATTATTAAAATCACATGATATCTAGTGTAGTTCATGGAAACACATCTGTTTTTCTAACTGGTATACGCTCAAATGAACAACAATCTGCAGAAAACCAGTTTTAAAACTGTTGTGTTTTATTCAAAGCCTGGGATCCTTGCTCATTACTTGACTGACATGAACTTGAGGTTGGGACAGGATCACCTGATCACAGGCTCCGTTTTCAAACTTAATTCCATTTACGCATGCGTGTGTCAAACTCTTCTGGCTGTTCTATCTTAATAAGGGCTGTTCTGTTTTGCGGGCATGTTATGGTTTCTACATGTAACTACGTAGTAGAAATGTTTTGGTCTGATACATGACCCCTGGGGTTATATTCGTTTCAGATGTCTCGTAATATTCCTTTCTTAATAGCTTGTCAAACATCGTTTAGGATATTTTTGTAATTTTCCTTCGTCTGCCATTGAAATATATTTGAACCCTGGATCGGACAGGGACCAACTTTTAATGCAATCTGTATTCTAACGATAATAACTACAGATGCACAAATGACACAGCTGACAAAAGAATTATGATCACAAAAGTGAAAAATACACATTTCACATGCATTTTCAGACATTTGGTTGGATCCCATTAGTTAAATGTATATATATTAATGCAAATGCATGCATTGTTTCAATTTATTGATTTAAGTTGCTTAAATTTGCAAAATGTATATTTCTTTTATATAATGCAATTCAATTCAAATCTTTATTGTCATTACACTACATTTCATTGCATGAGACATAAGACTACAAAATGAAAACAAACTATACCAACAAGATCATTTATATAAATAATGAAATATTTCAAGAGTCCTCTGTCCTCACTCCTTAGTTCTTTAAACTGTTTTAAAATGGAAACTTAGCCTAGGTGTCCCAAAATTTGAATTGAGAAAATCTATTTTGCTAGGCCCACATGGCTACCCTGATTTTCTGTTTTGAACATGAACATGTATCTCTGTCTTTAAGGTTACAGTTTATGTCTTCAATTTTTAATTTCTAGGAAGCATGTGATTTGTTACGTAGAGTAATCAGAATAATTTATCTCAGCAAAAGACTCCATAGTCAACTGCAAGGTGGGGCAAGGGAGATAACTAAGGCAGCTCAAAGTTTGAATGAATTAGGTCTGTATATGCTAACTAAATATGATTATTTTCACTAATGATTTATATATGGATTATGTTATTTTGCATGTATATTATTTAATAGATAACTTGAGAAATGGGATATCCAGATTTTTGCTTGAGGGAGGTGTTAAATTTCCTATAAAGTTTATTTAGTGTATGTCAGCATGCTTTAGCTGTTTATGTTTTAATATCCCTATTAACAATTATCATTAGTAGCAAATAACTGATAATGCTGTATATGTTTTTGGTGCATGTGTGTTTCAAGTGTCAGTTGTTTACATATTTTCCAGGATCATTTCCCTTTAGTAAGTATAACCAATTTCATGCAATATTTTATTAAAAAATATTTTACAGCAAACTAATTGAACAGAATTTTATTTTTTGTAAGTGAGCTCTTTACCAGCATGTGTAACATATGACAAAGCTTGCTGTAGTACTTTATTAAACCAATTAAAAAACACTGTTAAGTCATGGAGGTAATCGTGTTCATTTTCAGGTGCTTTTTCTATAGATGCAAACATTTGTTATTGGTACTGCCTTACTTGTGTCTCTGTGTAATTTCTTCCATATTCTATTCATCATGGCAAAGTCATCTCATAGTTAACCATTAAATGTCATTATTATGTCACTAATTCAGCTTGAGTGTCAAAATTTAATTGTTTCACAGAAAAACAGATTTTTGGAGGTTAAAATTTGAATGATATAAACAAGTTTATTGTTATGTATCATATGCATGTAAAAATATTTCAACTTTAGCTTGAGCTATGACTTGAATCTTGTTCTTTTAAAATAAACGTGTTGCAATTTCAGAACTATAATGTTTCCTTGTAATTATAAAACATGTTATTAAATATTCTTCATAAATTATTCAAGGAGATATATAGGTTGAGATTAAGCTATCTATGCTTTGTTTAAGTTCCTTCTAAGTTCTTCACATCAGTAAAAACACATTATAACTTTTCATATTGAACTCGATCAAACCATTCACTGAAAAATATGAAGATTTAGTCTAGTCTTAGCCAGACTTATGCATTTTACATGTATTTACAGTGTTGGCTGCTGTGTTTAAAATTTGTTAAAGTTTTTGATTAAGTCAGGTAAAGGGGAACCACTAATGGTAGGTCAATGATATTTGGTATGCAATTGTATGAGCAATGGCACATCTCATTTCATTAGAGATCTTTTGGCTCTACCTGCTCAGTCATGGTTCATTGATGTTGAAACCTTTGCATTGTTTACATGTTTGTTTGTGCTTGGGTCAGTTTAAGGGGAATTGGCAAGTGTGTTTGGTATATAGTTGTGTTAGCATTGCCACATGATAGACTGTTTTACATAAAATGAAATAAGACTGAAATATTATGATAAAAGGAAAAGCAGTTTTAATTATCTAAAAAAAAAATGTTAAAAAAGCAAAAAAGTAAATTAAAATCTATATTTTTTTAAAAGATAAATTTAAAAAAATAAAGGTGAACATAATCTACAAAATGATCTGAATGCTTTATTTGCTTTTAGTATGAGACCAACTTGTAACTCTTGGTCATTTGGCCTCTCATTAAAAGTATGATATTGAATCATTTCAGATTACATTTGTGAAGGAGTAGATCTGAGTGGTATTGAAGTTATCGAACAAGACAGAAGGTTTATAAAACAAGCTCGTCAAGATGTAGAAACTCAGGCTCAGAAGATGTTGGAACAGAGTATGGAAACACAAGTAAGAATGTTGGGTTGCTGTCTTAACATTTTCCATACCTCTTCTTTCATTTCTATTAATGTAATTTAATTTACTGTATTATTTATCAGTTTCAAGACAGGATAGAATGCTAATTGCAATTAATTATTTTATATTAGTTTATTATAAGTTCATTTTTTTGTTACATCAATACTTGGTTGTAATGACTCAATCTACAGGCATTTCTTAATTCAGCCTGAACAAACATGACAGAATGATGTCTGACAGCTTTTGTTACTTACTGGTAATATTGTTATATGCTATAGTTTTTTTAACCTTTTATATGTACCTGTTATTACTTCATTACAAATTTATTATTTCTGTATTTTTCAGAATCCTACTCAAGTAGCCACATCCCTGCAAGTTTTCCACAATCTTGGTTGTTTACATACAATAGTCGATAGAGTTGTTACTGGTTGCCAAGACAACCTTCACAAAAACATTAGATCTTGTCTGGATGTTAGAACTTTGTCTCAGCAGTCTTCAAGTAAAGGTAGGTTATAATATAGTGGTTGCCATGGCAATTTTTCTAATAGCATGAAATCTTGAGGGAAAGTTAGAAAAGTCCCAGAAGTTTTTTAGTGTTACAATGGTTGCCAGGAAGATCTTGTGTGAATGTTAGAACCCCTGTCATAAACGTTAGTAATACATTAAACAGCTGTTGCTAAAACAAGCTTCTCAATAACTTCGTTATTTCATTGGTTGCTTGAACTTATCCCCACAGTCTTCAAACAAAGAAAAGATTTATTTTAAATGTATACTTTAATTTTTTTTCCAGTACCTGTTTAACTGTACAACTTTTTGTCAAATCAGTATATAACTAGATGTGTCAGAATGGCACGAATGGCCCCCTCGCCAAAAAAACTGAAGCCATTTTTAGGAGTGGAAATTTGAGAACTAAAGTCTGTATAACTGCAATTTTCACAAAATGCAAGTCCAAAGACCGTTGTTTTGGCAAGAATCAGCAGAGCAGAACCAAATGTAAACTTGTTCTGTAACTCATCATAGTAGACTCACATACTAAAAATCAGCTCAATATATGAAGGCGTATAGAATAAAGTCTGTATAACTACAATTTTTATGAAATTTTCAAAGTCCAAAGCCCGTTATTTAGGCAAAAATCAGTGGAGCAGAACCAGACATAAACTCCATCTGTAACTCATCATAGTAGACTCACATACTAAAAATTAGCTCAATATGTGAAGTCTTTTAGAAAAAAGTCTGTATAACTGTTACACAATATTTTTAAAGTCCATAGCCCGTAATTTGGGCAAAAATCAGCAGACTGGAACCAAACGTAAACTCGATCTGTAACTCATTCTAGTAGACTCGCATACTAAAAGTCAGCTCAATATGTGAAGGAGTTTAGAAAAAAAGTCTATATAACTGTTTGTTTCCGGAATGATGGAATGATGCCACTTTGTGGCAAGCCATAAAAAGTAGTCACCAGGATTTTTTTGAACTACTTGATGAGGAGACTAATATTGATGTTTAAACTGTAAAATGATTTATTTTTGACGAATTTTTGTTTGAAAGGTTTTATCGTGTTTTGCATTTTCTTGCCTTTATTCTAATCTTCTGTCAAAAAAGGGAAAATATACCAATAGGTAATCAAAAACTAAGTTGAAGAAAAGACACAACACCATGGCCGAAAAAGAAAATAAGAAGGTAAAAAATTAGACAACTAAATACTACACATAAAACTAAAGATTGAGCAACACAGATACCACCAAGACTATGGGTTGAATTCAGGTGCTTTGAAGGGTGACCATTTCCTGATCCACAAATGGCCTAGCATGTTGCTAAAAACATTTTGTTTAAAGATCAAATTTCACAAAGGGATATTTCACCATTTTATCTCAATCATGAAATTAGTGAAAATTTTCCTCTTAACAATATTATAAAGCATGAATATTAAACACCTATACTTCTCAGGTCACTAACTCTATGATCAATAGAATATCTGATCTTTAATATTCTGTTATGAAGAGAAAAGGAATAACAAGAAAAAGAAAAGTTGGGGATATTTTTTAACATTTTTATTTTATCCAACTCTTAAGACAGAGACTAATGCTAATAGCTTGACAGCTGTTAAATAGTGCTGGTTTTAATGGATTTACAATACCTTTTTTTCAATTTATGAACGCACTTGGCCCCATTTCTCATGACTTGGTGTCAGTCTTTGTCGTCCGTTAACTTTTATAAAAATCTTCTCCTCTGAAACTACTGGGCCAAATTTAACCAAACTTGGCCACCATCATTATTTGGGTATTTAGTTTAAAAAATTTGTCCCATGACCCTGCCTGCCAACCAACATGGTGGAAATGGATAAAAATAGAACATAGGGGTACAATGCAAGTTTTGTCTTTTATCTTTAAAACCGCTTCAAGTAGAGGAAATATGACAGGTGCAGAAATGTTTAGAATGTTGAGACATGCCTACTGTCTGTTTTCATCCAAACTGTCAAACAATTTCTTATAGGCCCTTAAATGATGAATTTTACAGGTTTTTTTTTTTCATTTTGCCTATTATGTTGAAAAGTATAATAGATAGAGAGAAACTTTCAATAGCAAATATGATCAGCAAGACAAGATCAACAAATAAGTCAACAATGGCTGAAATAGCCAGACGATGCCTTATTGGAGTTCTTGCTCTTTTATGACAATTTTTAACCTTTTTGTGTTTTTGCTTATTTTTATGAAAACTATAAAAGATAGATAGACACTCTAAGTACAAAAATGATCAGCAAGACAAGACCTACTATTATGTCAAATTTTGCTGAAATTGTTATGCTTTTTTGTGTTCTGGCCAAAAAATAAAGACTATGAAGAGAAAAATTATCAGCAATACAATATCAACAGAAAAGATTTTTGTCATGAATTCTATTCTAGTCTACAATGTTGGAGAGTGTCCATGGTTGAAGATGCACAATAGACCTAGGTGAGCGACACAGCCTCTAATTTTAACAAATGTTTCCAGGATATATAATATATAGATAAAATAGTATTATTGATATTTTAAATATTTTAGGCCCAGGACGAGCTACCATGCCAATGACTGGGAATACTGCAGCATTCAGAGCCACACTGTGGACAAACATGGAAAAGTTAATGGATAACATATATGCTTCATGTGCTCAGGTATGTTATATGGGTACAAAATAAAGTTATGAAATACTAGACTGTCATGAGATGAGCAGAGAAACATCTGCGAGTTTGAAAGACCATTTGATAATCTGTTTATTGCTGGCTTCCTTGGCAATGTCAGTGACATATTTAAGGTCATGATGTCATATATCTCTTTCTACTTGACTGAGAAATACCCATATCACTAGAGTAGCGTGATATGAAAAATTATCACAAAAAAGATAAAAGCAAAATGTCAAATATCAGCTTTGAATCACAATACAAAGCTAAATTTGCAAGTTAGGGAACATATTTCTTGTTGGATTAAGCAGCAAATATTTTACAATGTCTTGAAGAAAATCTGATGATCATTTTATCGAATTGTATTTATGTGGTTTGAAACAATAATTTTACAACTTTACCAAGACAAGACATGACAAGTTTTGGTCTAACTAATTAACTTTCTGTCAAGCATTATGACGTTTATGATAAGTCTAGGTTAAAATGATAAAGGCCATGACAAACACAGAACCAGGATATGGCATTTTATGAAGAGCGTAGGAGGATAATATGGGCACAGGGAAGAAAAGAATTCCACAGAAACTTATTGTTAATGTCACAGACATGGATTTATATAGACAATGACGGTATATAACAAATGTTAATTCTGTCAGTAAAATTGAAAGATCATGGTTTCATAAAGATTGACATTTGCAATTAACAGGATAAAATGTTTGCAAAGTTTCTATTTGCTGATTTGATTATAAACTACTGTTGATGATGATGATGATGAACAATGATATACATTAGAGAAACATTCATACTGTAAATAAAAAAAAAAGTCCAATTCTAAACAAGTTATATATGTTAAAAATGAAAAGCTTAATTTATAATAACATAGGTCCAGCATCTACAGAAGGTACTTGTTAAGAAGAGAGATCCTGTAACACATGTAGGCTTTATTGAGGAACTGGCTAAGGTATAGAAGATTATATATAATTATAAAAATCACTGGTTTAATTCCCCTGCTATATGTATTGACAGTGTTTCACTGCTGGCAAAAGCCATTTATTAAAGTTAGACAAGAAATGTTACCCTAATAAATTATTAAGAACTTTTACCTACGAAATCAAGGAAAATTGTTATACCACGAATAATTCAGAATCCACAGTACATTTCATACAGACAGCAACCTAACAACACAAAAAAAACTCAAGACAACTACAGGTTAACACAGGGTCTTCTACAATAGACCGGTGTCTTAACAAAGTGTTATAATGCGCTAAATCAGCCCAATCTTAAAAAGGTAGTGAATAATTTAACAGAGACTGTAAAAAATGTGCCATCAACAAGTTCTCCACATGACAAAAAACATTAATCATATTAAAGAAAAACATACAAGCTAGATAATTATACACAGGAAGTGAATTATGATATATAACTTATAAATTGGGCATATAGTCATGAATCAGACTTCTAATGTTAAGATAATGAATAACATTTCATAAATGAGATATCTTATAGAATTTGCAACTTTAAAAAATTCTTTTCCAATATTATTTGAACTTGTATCAATTATCTTTTCATATAAAAATATGAAGATGTGGAATGACAGTCAATGAGAAAACTTTCCACCAGAGACCAAATGATGTAGAAGTTAGCAGTATGTCCTTCAATAATGAGCAAAACCCATTCTGCAAAGCAAGCATATGACATTTGTTTCTTTTAAAGACTAACTACAGATTCAGACAAGGATGTAAAAATGTTAACAAATGTCGAGGGTACTCAGCTATTCACTTTAAACTTTGTTGAGGCAATTAAGATAGAGAAAAAATCAAACAGCAGAGGTTCAAACCAATGAAAGTCTGAGGTCCATGACCTTTCAATTCCAAAGATGGATCTTTGATTTTTATATCCAAAAGTCTTAGATCTTCCATTTTTAAGAGTAATTTGTAACAACTGATCTTTATTTATTCAAAGTGGAACTTTGATTTGTAAATCCAAAAGTTCATGACCTGTCACCTCTCCAATCAATTTTGAAGCCCTTAACAGATTTTTAGATACTAGAAATTTAACTATTGTGTACTTAATGTGAAATGAGATGAAAGGTATTTCATTTATCTGACATACTTACTATTAAAATACTGGACAATAATTCAATGGCACAAGATATTGTATATAAAGTACCAGAAGTAAAATTCAAAGTCCTTTTGTAAGGTGTGATAGTAGCACTGTTAAGGCAGGAAGATATTCTTAGCTCATAGCTCATAATGAATGAGCAATGCAAAAAATAAAATGATATTGTTAATCACAGACGGTTATGAATCCTTCTGATATGAGAAAAAGAAAACATTGATACTTATGACATTTTTTTTAAAGTAGATTTTCTAATTTCAATTTGTCAATTCTTTATACTTACTTAATTCTTTGTAATTACAGATGCCTGTTTTAATTGCTTATCATAGAAAAATGCAAAATCTTTTCAACAATCTATTATATTTTATATATAAATTTTACATTTTGTAAATTAAAAATTGTGTTTCATGCATATTTTTTTAGCATAAAGATGGTAATGTTAACATTATGCAGAATTTCTGGGAAAATATAACAAAGATGCTAACTACAGAATTTCATGAAGCAACCGAAGGTAGTATCAGAATTATTCAGAAATAGCATAGCGATAAAATGATTGATAAACAAATTCATGTGAAGAAACAGAGAATGGAAAACTTAATATATAAAATGTATACATATTGATGAGATTGTATCACATTATAATCAGTTGATTTTAATAAACTTAAATGGCAAATTCCTCAGAAGGTCCCTTGCTAATTTCGAATCTGAAGTCTATAATACATATGAAATTAAAATTCAACTGGACCCAATATGATTAGATTGAAAGTTTAAATGTTGGTGTTGACTGTGGATAAAGTTGTGGAATGAGTTTTAGTCATGTTGTTAAGGTTTGTGATAAGATCAGATTAAAAAAACCACTAAAGGTAGGTCAAAACCACTAATTGTAGGTCAATACCTTATTGGTATGTAGTTGTATTAACATTTACACATCTCATTTCCGCCCTACTCAGTCATGGTCCATTGATCTTTGAAACTTTTGCATAGTTTACTGGTTCAAGTTTGTAATTATGTCAGGTTAAGTTGAACCACTCATTTGGATTGTATATCAATGATATTTAATATTTAAAAGGTGTATTAGCATTGACACATATCATTCAATGAAGATTTCCCAGTTACAGTCCATTGACTTTGAAATTTGTGCACAGTTTACATGTTAAAAGTTTATGATTAGGTCAGTTAAAGGGGAACTACTAATGGTAAGCCAATGAAACTGTATATTCCTAAAGGTATCAGAATAGAAACTTTTATGGCGGCTGTCTGATGAATTTTTGGAACTTAAGTTCTGACAGTCATTTCCATTCCCAATTTTATTTCTATTAAAAAAATTGACATAAATGATAAATAAGGCAGATGCCCTGGCAAGATCTGTATGTTACTTGAACATAACTAAATGCATGTAAAAAAAATTTACAGTAGTGTCTATTCACCAATTGTAATAGTCGGTAACTCATCATTTTTTAACAGATTTTAAAACTTATCTGATATACCGATATATATATATATATATGATTCTTTATTTATTTTTTAACTTCAGGTTCGACATTTATAAAACAAGCATTTGAAGGAGAGTATCCCAAATTATTAAGGTTATACAATGACTTATGGAAGCGTCTCCAACAATTAAACCCGAAAGCTTCGACAAATTTAGCAGATATTGTTGTACATGAAGATCCTTTTGTGGAGGAGGATATGTTCTCACATAAATCTGATAAATATGAGTAAGTTTCAGTAGCTAAAGGGAAACGATTGCCTTAAAATGACTTTTCAAAATACTGAATTGCTTTACCTGTACTAAACTATGAGTAAAATTTATACAAATAATTGTAAAACTAGTAAAGAAAAAATATGTTGAAAACAAAGAATCATATTTTGTTTTGGAAATATTTAGACAACTATGATTTTAGGAAAAGATGTATTTGATTGTATGTTTGTATATAAAAAGCATTTTAGATTAAAAAAAAAATAAGGCTTTGTTTCATTTTTTAAACTAATTACAAAATGCTTCTTTGTTTCGGATGACTGACAATATTTTTCATGAGCAATTTGTACCTTTGATTATTTCATTAATTTGCAACTGTTATCTCCCTTAGATAGTAATGGGATTTGTAGTCTCATTTGACATTGTCAAAGGTTTTAGGTCATGTTTTATCATTTGCATTTAAATGAAGAAATGTATTGCACGAATATCATTAAGAGAGAAAATATATATTATCATATTAATTTCAGCCCAGAGAAGGCATTACGGAATACATTATGCAAGTTTGAAACAGCCTATTTGTCCAGATCTCTATCCAGATTGTTTGATCCCATCAACCTTGTATTCTCAACTGGTTCCCAGAATCCTCCCACAGAACAGGAAGTTGAAAGCATCATTAAAACAATAGCAAGGTAAGTTTTTAATGATACCTATTGACAAGAAATTTATTTTCAAAATACAGTAACAAAACAGGGAAGGTATACTTTGCATGATATCACATACTAATTCTTGGCCAACTTATTTTAATATTGGAAATCAAATTTTAGTTTTTATTTAAGGCTAAGCATATATGTTATTGCACAATAACTTGAATTAAACTGTAGTGTAACATTTTATATGAAATAATTATTTTGTAAGTAGAAAAAAGAAAGACTGAAGCACATTTTATATATTAGATATAACAATGAAATGTTTCTTAGAAGGTCATTATTAACATCCAGCTGATGTTATATAGTATATCCTTTTATACTTATGAAAGATTTTATTTTTTTTTTCATTATTTTGTATATCAAATTAAGATGGATCTAGTCATCACTGAACAAAATAAAGATCAATTTGAATGCTGAAATATCCATCAATAACTGAATTAAGAGATTTGATGTTTCTTTTTATAGAAGTGCATGTATTTTCTTTCCACAGTGAATTGAATGTGGCAAGTGTGGACACTAAATTAAGCATAACCATTGCAAAGAATGTAGCAAAAACAGTTCAGTTATTTAATGTTAAAAGTGAACAGTTGGTGAGTATTTTTTAAAGAATGATATATTAACTCAAAAATTCCATTACTAAACTAAACTACAGTCAAACCTGTTTTGGCAGGTCACCCTATTCAAAGGAAACCTGTTTTGGCAGGTCAACCCTATTCAACGGAAACCTGTTTTGGCAGGTCAACCCTATTGAAAGGAAACCCGTTTTGGCAGGTCACCCCTATTCAAAGGAAACCTGTTTTGGCCGGTCACCCCTATTCAAAGAAAACCTGTTTTGGCGGGTCAACCTCATCTTTCCCCGCTGTAGTAATGCCTATGCATTTTGAACCTAAATTCAAAGATCACATCTCTTGTAAGGTCAGTTTTATATGGTCCCATGGGTGGCTTTATATACAGTTTTGACTTAATTTTGATTTGCACATCTAGGGAAGTAAAATTTACTTGCACATACATCTAGGGAAGTTATATCATCATCAACAGAAATTTAAGACTGATGAAAAAATATGTTTAGTTGTTGCAATTTTTTGAAAAATGCCATATTTCCAGAATTTTTTGTCTCTTATAGAAACGTTGTGCTTTTCCACACCTTACCTAAAAACAAAAATATATAGAATTTGAAAGAGATAAAGAAACCAACCAATTTTTTTTCCCCCTGGAAAAGTACTAATTCTGTAGAGATTTTAAATGCTGTTACAATTACGTTTACTTGCTTCTTTAACTTTAGCTTTCTACTGATGGTGAAGCTAGTCAAGTAATTGGACCAGCAACACAAGGTCAAACCAGGAACCAGGCTGTTGTTAATACATTGTATCTTTTTCATCAGTCAGTCACAAAGGTAGGTCAATAAATGGATTGTTTATTGAAAAAATAATTACACTGGTAAAACTATCAATACTCTGCAAATACATACACTGCCAAAATTTGGTCTTTACAAGAGAGAAATTGATTACGAAAATAAATGTCTGATACATTATTTTAACAGTTAATCTTTATTAAAAATTCAGATAGAAATGTGATATTGTCCTAGAAAACTTCAGATTTGATTTAAGAACACTAAAAGATGCACTTTACCCTCAGGATATTGCTCACGGCAACAATATCAAGAGGGCTATTAACTTTGTTAGAAGACTTGTGTAAAGAAAATAATGTTGTGCTAAAGAACAATTGTGTTATGTTATATTACAATAGTGTGCAAGAAAGTCCAAGAAACAATTGCATTACATTACATTATAAAGTCTCTTGGCCAGGGCTTCCAAAAAATATTTGAGCCAGGCAGACATTTTTTGTCTTATCCTGATTTTAATCCCTTAAGACTTAGTAACAAAAGGCAACCATGGTAATCATATGAGCATCATATAAATAATGATTGACATAAAAACGATATAAAACTTGACTTTTGATATGAATTCTATGTTCTGACATAATCTGTTAAATTAACAGTGCATCACTCGTAGTGTGCAACATCAGAGTACTAATATCTGCCATAAACTCTTTATTTGTGCAAAATTACACTGTCAGAAGCTTTACTTTTGTTTTTAAAATGCACATTTTCCTAATACCTGATGTTGATATTTACAATGGTAGACGGATATGTAAAATATGTGTACATTTACACAATATGATTGAGTTTAAGTAGCTATTTTCCCCTTATTTCTTCAAGAAAATAGTCGAAATGAATTTTAGATAAAGGTATTAATGATAATTTTAGCATTTTGAAGAAAAATAGTTTACCTGTCACCTAAACAGGTAAGTTTCAGCTGTCAGACAACAAATAACCTTGATTGTAATAAGCTTGTATTAAAGTAGGGTTTGTTTTGATAGAACTTAGTCATCATGTCACTTTTATGAAGGAAATGTATAGCTGTTCAATATACACAATTAAGACTTTATAGTATTGAAAAACTTTTTCAGAAATTGCTATTGCTTTGTTTTTTTAAGTGGGTTTAAAAACTGAGTCTGAATAAAATGAGAAATGGAGTATTTATAATGATAAATCAAACCAGCCACAAGCCCCAAAAAGTTTAAAAAATAACTGTCACATTTAAAAAGTATCTACAACTTGTATGGGCCTTTAAAATCTGACTATACAATATGGGTTTAGTTTATTGTGGAAGGGGATACGGTGACCTATAACTGCTTACATCCCAGAGAAGGTAAGCCGCAGGAAAAAAAAATAAACAGACGGCCCGAGAAAAAAATAAGACTCAAACATTTGGTCATTTATGGATAGTTATCTCACCGGCAATCACACCACATCTCTCTAATTTTATATTTATGAGACATTTTATATTTTTTTATAGGTTGTGACATCATTAAACAGTTATGCTTTAGAAGCTATAGAGAGTATACATAAATCTTTAGAGGTAAGAACACAGAGATAAAGTTGAAAATTTGTTCAGTAAAGAAGTGAATATAAATTAAACAGACAAAGTATTGATATCGGAAGAACTGTGACTTATTGCCTTTATAGAAAAATAGCCAATTTAAGTTAAAATTAACTGTTCTATATTGTACTGACAAAAAATGACCAGGTATTTATGTAGTTAGAACTGTGACATCAATTTTGGGACAACAAATTATTGTTTATATTCTAAGAATTTTACTTTAATTGAACAGACAAAAATCATCATTGTGAAACATTCAAACATAAAAATTACATATGTTAAAAATGCACAAGGTATTTGTGATATTTTATTGTCTTACACCCAATGATAACAGCAAATTTGTGTATTTTTCAGGGAATTGTGATATTGATGAGTAATGCTATCAACCCATTATTATCATCAATATCTGATGCAACAGAAGCTATCATACTCACCATGCATCAGGAAGATTTCTCTACGTAAGATTAAATCTATTAACGAACTTAAAAGTTCAGTCTTATGTATACTATATCTAATAGAGCTGTAGCAGTATTTTCTCAGTTTTCACCTGACACGGGATGCGAAATACAGTGTTTATAAGTCCCTGGCTTCCCAGATCAAATACAGTGTGAAAAAAATCTGATCACTGTTATGTCAGATGCTTGAGAAAAAGGACTTGTGATTTTAAATGAATCTTTACATTTTCAACAGAAAATAGGAATTCGTAATCCAGAAAAAACTAATACTAGTAATTAGATATATCTAAAGCAACAAATGACTACATGATCTATTTAAGTTTCTTTGCAAAATAAGCATTAGCTCTGAATTAATTTCCATGGATGTATCTGAAATGTCACAAGAATAGTGCCAGGTATTTGTTATAATTGTATTATTTGATTTACAATAATGGGACTTATGTCATGAATATTCATGAAATGAAGAAAGAACTTTGTTTATTGGAAAAATGAAGTTATTTCTTTAACCTGAATGGTTATCAAAATAAAATAGGAGGTAAATGTATGAACATTTGATAAAGTTTACTGAGGTTACTACTCAGAGATGGAGAGTATATATTTATTGTATTAGATTGTGAAATTTATTTTGTCTTCTAATGTTAGGCTCATTATCCATATTATTGTTGTAGTAGTGCCCCATCAGATAACCAGAAAGATTCCCAATGTTCACTATATATGAGAGAGTTACAGGACTTTGTTGTCAGATGTCAGACAGACTATTTATCTAGATATGAATGTACAGACTTCATTATGGAATGGTAAGAACTTTATCATAGGTCACAAGAAGCAGAACATGTCTTCAAACTCATATATTAGTACTGATATATATCTAGGGGAGACGATCAATACTAATAAAATAGGCCATCAAGAAAAGTCTTCTTTGTCAATTATTCAGACTGTTTTGGACTTCACATGCATGTACATTGATATTTTAATTCAGATCATGTACACCCAATGCAAATGACATATTTACAAAAATGTAAAAAAATATTACAAAAAAAAACTAAGTTTTTTACATCAAATAGAGTTCTACAAATTTTGAAATGGATTTAACAGAGAAGCAAATTTTGTCAACTATTTTTTTCCTTTCATTAGAATAACCAATTGGACAATACTTTCTCTTCATTAGAATAACCAATTGAACCATATTTTCTTTTCATTAGAATAACCAATTGAACCATATTTTCTTTTCATTAGAATAACCAATTGAACAATATTTTCTTTTCATTAGAATAACCAATTGAACCATATTTTCTTTTCAGTTAGGTGTCAGACCACCAATTACTCCCTCCAATTTAGAACGTATGTGAAAGTAGGCCTTCTCGGACAAAATATAGTGCATTTGATGTCATTGTTTACTTAAACTAACCAACAAATTGGCAGAAATGAAACTTTTGGTGAAAGAAATATATTAAGACCATTTTGAGCCAAAATTTACTTGTCTATGAGTTTGCATTCAACATTGAGGATTAATGCACTCCATAGTATACTAATTTAAGATTTCCAGAAAACCAGGGGTTATTTTTAGTGGTACCTCTATTCCCGAGGCCTCTTCTTTCTTATATGATTTTAAAGGTATGTTGAAAATTGGCATGTAGAAAGCTGATACATGTACAATTCAGGATATATCTGGTTTTTATGAAGTTAAACTTAAGTTAAAATATTTAGAAAGCTCTGAAAATTGCAAATTTTGGTTGAACAGATAGGGACTTTTAATTGGTGGTCTGACACCTTTAAAGCGAAATGCGGTGAAACCCCAAAATCAGAAAACAATTGATTTTTTTGTCTTAACTGATCATTTGAAATGATAGTAGCCACATTTCAATCTTTTTTGGGTCAAAAAGTCACATATTGCAAACTAAGAGCCTTAAACCTGAATTTGTGCTATTTTTAGCTTTTCCAAACCTGACAATATGCTTTCATATAAAAAAATGTCCAAAATTGTTATAAATGCACAGTAAGTTGTTTCTGTGGGGTTAAACATGAAAACATAGGTTGTTTATACCCAACAAAAATTGTTGTCATGAAGATTTAATGAAATTATTTGATTTTTACCCCTTATATCATTGTGTCATACCATGTATTTGACAGATAACATAGCCTGATGTAAACACTGCATAAACTCACAAAAATCCCATTTATTATCTCAATTAAAATTTTTATATCTTAAATTTTATTGACTGATAGTAAATAAAACAATTAAATGACCATGACTGCACTTTTGATCAATTAATAGTCCCATTACTGACACCAGATGAAAAAAGGGGGGTCAATATTCCTTGACTCCTCAATACCTTGGATTTTTTACTAAACTCATTGCAAAAATTGTGGAAAGTCTTTGAAGCAGTAGAACAAACAAGGAAAAATCAACAAAAACTGATCTTGATATTGAAAGTTTATGTTCCTGTAGTCCAAAATGAAATTTTCAAGTATTTTCTAAAAAAATCATACATTACAGTCAGTTCAAATTGAGCTGTGAAATTTGTAATATAAGTCGCATTATGCTCAGATAGGATGTTTTTAACTACAAATTGACTGAGGATTAAGAATAAAGAAAAACAAAAGATTTCTGATCATTTTTTTTGGCTCTTTAGGTGTCAGACCACCAATTACTCCCTCCAATTTAGAACGTATGTGAAAGTAGGCCTACTTGGACAAAAAATAGTGCATTTGATGTCATTGTTTACTTAAACTAACCAACAAATTGGCAGAAATGAAACTTTTGGTGAAAGAAATATATTAAGACCATTTTGAGCCAAAATTTACTTGTCTATGACCAATTGAACCATATTTTCTTTTCATTAGAATAACCAATTGAACCATATTTTCTTTTCAGTTAGGTGTCAGACCACCAATTACTCCCTCCAATTTAGAACGTATGTGAAAGTAGGCCTTCTCGGACAAAAAATAGTGCATTTGATGTCATTGTTTACTTAAACTAACCAACAAATTGGCAGAAATGAAACTTTTGGTGAAAGAAATATATTAAGACCATTTTGAGCCAAAATTTACTTGTCTATGAGTTTGCATTCAACATTGAGGATTAATGCACTCCATAGTATACTAATTTAAGATTTCCAGAAAACCAGGGGTTATTTTTAGTGGTACCTCTATTCGGGAGGCCTCTTCTTTCTGATATGATTTTAAAGGTATGTTGAAAATTGGCATGTAGAAAGCTGATACATGTACAATTCAGGATATACCTGGTTTCTATGAAGTTAAACTTAAGTTAAAATATTTAGAAAGCTCTGAAAATTGCAAATTTTGGTTGAACAGATAGGGACTTTTAATTGGGGGTCTGACACCTTAGAATAACCAATTGAACCATATTTTCTTTCATTAGAATAACCAATTGAACCATGTTTTCTTTTCCTTAGAAAAACCAATTGAACCATTTTTTCTCTTTATTAGAATAACCAATTGGACAATCTCTTTTCAGTTTACAACCAATATCCTGTAGATGTGTAGAATTATTTGTCAGACATGCTAGTCTGATACGACCTTTAGGAGAAGGTGGAAAACTTAGACTGGCAGCAGACTTTGCCCAAATGGAATTAGCAATATCACCATTCTGTAAACGAATAGCAGACCTTGGCAAACATTACAGACTACTCAGATCATTTAGGTATAGCATTTGTATAACTTACCTAGGGCGAGAGAAATAACGTCTAGTTTGTGCTTCTTTTATGTTGTTTATATAGCCTTTACAGTTATCACTTGGCAGCAAAAGGGGATAATTATATTAAAAAAAATTTTGTTATCATTGACGGAAAAATTCCAGATTGCCATGCTTTCTCAGCGGTAGTTGGTTTATCAATGTCTTTGAGTAGGAACATACATTTGTGACAAGAACTTATTATAAATTGGAAAAAGTAATATTTAAGGACTAAATTAATTGGGAGAAAATTCAATAGTCTCCCATTTAGAACAGTTTGAATGGTTGCCCAAATTTTTTTGTAAGCTATATTTTCATAAGATAACAGTAAAGTAATCGATAATCAAGTTAATTCCACTCAATTACGGAATGACAAAACTGTTTATGCCATAACATTGACTAAAATAACAAACAAATAAAAATAGGTGATAAGGCTAGTTATATATAAAACTAAAATTTAGACACAAATTTTAGATATGAAAGCTTCTGTCTATACTGCAAACGTTAGGAATAGCTTCTTGAGAACAGAAGCAAGTTTTTGTGAAGAGCTTGATAAGTTTGAAGATAGATTCAATGATCTCTGTAACAATTTCTGTTCTTTTTTTGTAGACCATTATTATTCCAGTCAGTCGAACACATTTCTATGAGTCCAGCTTTAGGAGAAATCATTCCATATAGTACTGTATTACATTTCTTGTTTGCCAGAGCTCCAACTGAACTGAAATCACCACATGTGGTAAGTATACACAGCATGTTATTATTATGTACAAGAGAGAACCTAATCCAGGAACATGGTCATTTTGAATAAAACAGAAATACGTATTACTTGTACCATTTCTTAAAACATGATGATTTATATAGAAAACAGATTTAATGTCATCAATGACAATGTTTACTGGTTAAAAAAAAAGGAAAAGATAACAAGGTGGCAGTAAAAAGTATGTTATAGTGTGATGTTTGTCAAAAGTATTCAATAGGACATAAAGTAACTGACCGATATTTATTTATCTTTCATTTACAGTAGTATATTGCTTAATAATTTTCATAAAGATACAAATATTAATTTTTGTCGAGCCTGCGACTTTTGTCGCAGAAAGCTCGACATAGGGATAGTGATCCGGCGGCGGCGGCGTTAGCTAACTTTTTAAAAGCTTTATATTTTAGAAGATGGAAGACCTAGATGCTTCATACTTTGTATATAGATGCCTCATGTTACGAAGTTTCCGTCAGTCACATGTCCAATGTCCTTGACCTCATTTTCATGGTTCAGCGACTACTTGAAAAAAAAGTTCAGATTTTTTGGAATGTTAAATTCTCTCTTCTTATAAGTAATAGGATAACTATATTTGGTATGTGCGTACCTTGCAAGGTCCTCATGCCCTTCAGATAGTTTTCACTTGACTTCGACCTCATTTCATGGATCAGTGAACAAGGTTAAGTTTTCGTGGTCAAGTCCATATCTGAGATACTATAAGCAATAGGTCTACTATATTTGGTGTATGTAATGATAGTAAGGGGTACATGTCTAACTGGCAGGTGTCATCTGACCTTGACCTCATTTTCATGGTTCAGTGGTCATAGTTTAGTTTTTGTGTTTTGGTCTGTTTTTCTAATACTGTATGCAATAGGTCAACTGTATTTGGTGTATGGAAATATTGAACGATGTTCATGTCAGTCTGGCAAGTTTTATTTGACCTTGACCTCATTTTCACGGTTCATTGCTCAATGTTAAGTTTTTGTGTTTTGGTTTTTTTTTGTCGAGCCTCGACATAGGGATAGTGATCCGGCGGCGGCGTTAGCTAACTTTTTAAAAGCTTTATATTTTAGAAGCTAGAAGACCTGGATGCTTCATACTTTGTATATAGATGCCTTATGTTACGAAGTTTCCGTCTGTCATATGTCCAATGTCTTTGACCTCATTTTCATGGTTCAGTGACTACTTGAAAAAAAAGTCAACTTTTTTTGTAATGTTAATTTCTTTCTTATTATGAGTAATAGGATAACTATATTTAGTATGTGCGTACCTTGCAAGGTCCTCATGCCCGTCAGACAATTTTCATTTGACCTCGACCTCATTTCATGGATCAGTGAACCAGGTTAAGTTTTCGTGGTCAAGTCCATATATCAGATACTATAAGCAGTAGGTCTACTATATTTGGTATATGGAATGATTGTAAGGTGTACATGTCCAACTGGTAGGTGTCATCTGACCTTGACCTCATTTTCATGGTTCAGTGGTCAAAGTTAAGTTTTTGAGTTTTGGTCTTTTTTTCTAATACTATATGCAATAGGTCAACTATAAATGGTGTATGGAATGATTGTAAGGTGTACATGTCTAGCTGGCAGGTGTCATCTGACCTTGACCTCATTTTCATGGTTCAGTGGTCAAAGTTAAGTTTTTGAGTTTTGGTCTTTTTTTCTAATACTATATGTAATAGTTCAACTATATTTGGTGTATGGAAATATTTTATGATCTATATGTCAGTCACGCAGGTTTTATTTGACCTTGACCTCATTTTCAAGGTTCATTGCTCAGTGTTAAGTTTTTGTGTTTTGGTCTGTTTTTCTTATATTGTATGCAATAGGTCTACTATATTTGGTGTATGGAATGATTGTAAGGTGTACATGTCTAGCTGGCAGGTGTCATCTGACCTTGACCTCATTTTCATGGATCAGTGGTCAAAGTTAAGTTTTTGAGTTTTGGTCTTTTTTTCTAATACTATATGCAATAGTTCAACTATATTTGGTGTATGGAAATATTTTATGATCTATGTCAGTCAGGCAGGTTTTATTTGACCTTGACCTCATTTTCAAGGTTCATTGCTCAGTGTTAAGTTTTTGTATTTTGGTCTGTTTTTCTTAAACTATAAATAATAGGTCAACTATATTTGTTGTATGGAAGAATTGTTAGCTGTACATGCCTGCCTAGCATGGTTCATCTGACCTTGACCTCATTTTCATGGTTCATTGGTCAATGTTTAGTTTACTTGGTTAATGTTAAGTTTATGTGACAGTTGTAATAAAGCTTTATATTTAGGACTATCAACATAATATAAATGATTAGTAAAGAAGGCGAGACATTTCAGCGTGTGCACTCTTGTTCTAATACTGTATGCAGTAGGTCAACTATATTTAGTGTATGGAAATATTTTATGATGTACATGTCAGTCTGGCATGGTTTATTTGACCTTGACCTCATTTTCAAGGTTCATTGTTAAATGTTAAGTTTTTGTGTTTTGGTCTGTTTTCCTAATACTGTATGCAGTAGGTCAACTATATTTGGTGTATGGAAATATTTAATAATGTACATGTCAGTCTGAAGCCAAGACATTGCTAGTATAAACCTATGATGTAAATTTCATAAAATTCCGGCAAGAATTGTACACATGAGAGCACTAACAATGCAATTTTCCTTAAAATTAATGTTTCCAAGGGGAATAACTCTTCTAAAAATAATTGATCGGCACTGATTTTCGAACTCGTCCAAGACATTGCTAATATAAACCTATGATGTAAATTTCATAAAATTCTGGCAAGAATTGTACACATCAGAGCGCTAACAATGCAATTTTCCTTAAAATTAATGTTTCCAAGTGGAATAACTCTTCTAAAAATAATTGATCGGCACTGGTTTTCGAATTTGTCCAAGACATTGCTGATATAAACCTATAATATAAGTTTCATAAAAATCTGGCAAGAATTATACATGTGAAAGCGCCAACAAGACCGGACGGACGCACAGATGGACGCCCGTGTTTTCCTAATACTGTATGCAGTAGGTCAACTATATTTGGTGTATGGAAATATTTAATGATGTACATGTCAGTCTGGCAGATTTTATTTGACCTTGACCTCATTTTCATGGTTCATTGCTTATGTTACGTTTTTGTGTTTTGGTCTGTTTTTCTTACACTTTAAGCAATAGGTCAACTATATTTGGTGTATGGAATGATTGTAAGGTGTACATGTCTAGCTGGCAGGTGTCATTTGACCTTGACCTCATTTTCATGGTTCAGTGGTCAAAGTTAAGATTTTGAGTTTTGGTCTTTTTTTCTAATACTATATGCAATAGGTCAACTATATTTGGTGTATGGAAATATTTTATGGTCTTTATGTCAGTCGCGCAGTTTTTATTTGACCTTGACCTCATTTTCACAGTTCATTGCTCAGTGTTAAGTTTTTGTGTTTTGGTCTGTTTTTCTTTAACTATAAGCAATAGGTCAACTATATTTGTTGTATGGAAGAATTGTTAGCTGTACATGCCTGCCTAGCATGGTTCATCTGACATTGACCTCATTTCCATGGTTCATTGGTCAATGTTTAGTTTTCTTGGTTAATGTTAAGTTTATGTGACAGTTGTAAGAAAGCTTTATATTTAGGACTATCAACATAATATCAATGATTAGTAAAGAAGGCGAGACATTTCAGCGTGTGCACTCTTGTTTATTTCTATATAATTTTCCACAGCTAATTATAAAAAATTTGAGTTTTCTGATTTGAAACAATTGTTTCTGGTTTTGCTCAAAACAATATATAATGTTAAATAATGTTATTATTGCAGGCTGCTGATTGGTCAATAAGTAGATACTCCCAGTGGTTAGAAGATCACTCATCAGAGAAAGATCGACTAACATTAATAAAGTAAGTTATCAAAGAAAATCAAGATGGGAGAAAGATTTCATTTTATATTCAGTCACAAGGTTTTTTTTGGTGTAATATAAGATGTTGGGATCTAAAAAATTAGTTTTGTTATGCTGATTATAATAGACTGCTTTTATTTTTTCATGTTCGACGAATCCTCAAAGGAGCCGTTGACATAATATCTTAATAATAATTTGTCTTCTTCCTCCCTTCATAATGCTATAATACCATTATAAATGCATATGATCAACCCAGTTTTCATTGAGAAAGTGATATATAAGTACTATTTGATTAATCTTACATGATGTATAGCACTGAGTAATAATTTGATATACATTGGTTTATTGTATCATGTGACATGTGCTAGTCCACCTTAAACTCATTTCTTCCTTCCTTTTTTACAGCGCTGCAACTTTCAATAAGTATTTATATTAATAAAAGAACAGAGTTCCAATGTCCCCGGCATTGCACATATTTTATCTATCCAAGGTACAAGGGCATAAGCGCTCATAAGGCAATTTTCCATATAATTAATGTTTCCAAGGGGCATAACTATTTTTAAAAATAATGGATTGGCACTGATTTTCGAACTCGTCCAAGACATTGCTAATATAAACCTATGATATAAATTTCATAAAAATCTGGCAAGAATTGAACACATGAGAGAGCTAACGATGCAATTTTCTATAAAATTAATGTTTCCAAGGGGCATAACTCTTTTAAAATAATTGATGGACACTGATTTTCGAACTCGTCCAAGACATTGCTAGTATAAACCTATGATGTAAATTTCATAAAATTCAGGCAAGAATTGTACACATGAGAGCACTAACAATGCAATTTTCCTTAAAATTAATGTTTCCAAGGGGAATAACTCTTCTAAAAATAATTGATCGGCACTGATTTTCGAACTCGTCCAAGACATTGCTAATATAAACCTATGATGTAAATTTCATAAAATTCTGGCAAGAATTGTACACATCAGAGCGCTAACAATGCAATTTTCCTTAAAATTAATGTTTCCAAGGGGAATAACTCTTCTAAAAATAATTGATCGGCACTGGTTTTCGAATTTGTCCAAGACATTGCTGATATAAACCTATAATATAAGTTTCATAAAAATCTGGCAAGAATTATACATGTGAAAGCGCCAACAAGACCGGACGGACGCACAGATGGACGCCCGGTTTTTCCATGTCCCCTACAACGTGTTACGTGGGGGACAACAAAACTTTTAAAATCATTATTGAAAGTGTTTTAATTTCTATGAGAATTTTATGTCTGTCATATAAGATATTTGATATGTAAATTATTTTTGTTTTGCTAATTATGAAAGACAGCTATTTATTTTTCCTTTTTAATGTCTCATAGAATTTTGTGTTTGTTCTTTACAGAGGAACATTGGAAGGTTATGTACAGAATGTTAAATCAAGACAAGGGAGAGAATTTGCATCCATTTATCCAGTTATGTTAGATCTTTTACAGAAAGGATTACAATCAGCGACATGAATCAGTTGTTAAAAACATTTGAAATGAATTTAGACATTACAGATATGCAAAGCTCCACATTAAATTGTTTGTGATATTCCATCTCAGAAGTGTAAGAAGATGTTGTGAAATGTTTTTTGGAGCAATAATTTCAAATTTTAATAAAATCAAAGGTTTAGGTATCTGTGAACATGAAATGTAACAGTCTTCCATTTTGTCTAAAAATGTTGCTGTTAAAAAGAAAAGACCTTTAGCAAGTGATAAAGAAGAACTCTCTTCTGAATTGGAAATTTCCAAATCTAAAGGACTATTAGTGATTTTATTGTCTGTACCACAAAATGAAAATAATGTTACATCATTGGTTGAATTTCCATTGTTTATAACGTTTTTAACCAATCACTATGTTTTGGTGTACACTTTTGAAAATATCACCCAGAATGCATTAAATTCTGAAACGGTGAATTTTTATGATGAACATACATACCGTATAGCGGGTAATTTTCGCGGGGTGTTTATTTTCGCTTATTTTGGCGGATGAAGGAAAATCGTGAAAAATAAATTCTGCAAAAAATTTATGCATACATTCAGTACTTTCTAATAGCTAAAGCGTTTTGTAAACGATCTATGTTTTCCGGTCAACGGGTCAAAAACTGTTAATGACAGTTATAACAACACAAATGCCATAGGGCATTATTCACATAAAATTTATGAAATCGCTGTCAAGTGTTAATTAGTTAATTAGTGTTAAATAATATAAGAGTGTAAGGTATTCTGTCAGGTATTTACCCTTTTTAATTAGAGTCAAATTATATAAGCTTTACTCTCAATAACTTTATAACCTAATTGACATTAAGCAACCAACAATCAATTTATAACCTAATTAGTACATCAAAGGTCAATTTCATAACTAATCAACCATAACATTTACAAGAAGTTTGTACACCTGTGACCAATATCTAAGTACCAGTATTCTATTGATTAACTGTATCAAAATATAATCAATAAATGAGACGTCCTGCAGGTAAAAACAATCATTTAACCATAACAATAGACACACATTTGTCAATTTTTACAACTTTTTAACTGCAACCATTTCAGATTCAGCCAAAATATTTAATTGGGATTTAAGAATCTACCAAAATAAAAACTGCCAAAATTTTTCGTATACTTTGTTGCCCCTAATTCGCGTAATTTTACACCTGCTAAAATAACCCGCTATACGGTATATTGTGCCACTTGTCCTTAACTTTGTCTTTCTGAAATGTTGTCTGAACTTTTTGGTTGTGTGACAGCAGTATTTGACCTGATTTTTGGTTTGAAATTGTACAATGTTGTTTAACTTGACAACAGTTACTTTTAAACAAATAAGGGCAATTTTGTAAAAACTTATCATGTCTAGACATTTTTTCATTGTTCAAGCAGATTGTGACCTGATATTTAGTAGGCAGATGCATTACAGCGAGTTACAGATCACTTTAATTCACTCCAGATGAAAGATTGGCTGAATAATGGCCTTTGAATCTAGAAAAAATTTTGAATATTGTAATCTTGATTTTTCTTATTTTCACCCGATAGGAAGTTGCATTATTCTTGTTCAGATTGAATTTGAAATTGGTTTTAATTGATATATATTTGACAAATTTAGGGCTCCGGGACCAACAAAATTTCTTCAATTTGAAATTGTCAATATTTTAAAATACATGTATAAACAAAAACTGAAAATGATGCATTTATTCATTGTATTATGCAGCCACTTTTAGTAAGACTTAATGTAGGTTACTCATTCATATATATTGTTACTGTGATAATATTGTTGGGAAGAAATGTTTAATGGTATTGAACATGTGAAATTATTTTTATGAAATAAATTATTTATACAAAGAATATGAGTATTTTTACATTGCCAGTTTTACATGTACACATTAGAAATTCAGTCGTCCATCTTAGCATCTTTCTTCTTTTCTTGTAAAATTGTCCTTTTTGTCATGACAGGCAGACATTTCATAAAAAGATACTAGGGTCTTTTTGGGGAACCAAATTGAAATAAACTGTTGACACAGAGATATGTCTCGCCTGTTGTCATAAAATTCAGAAAAAGACAATCTGATGGACATTAAATTTACTAATAAATTCAATGTTGCAGGACCATGAACTAGTGGGCAGGGTCTTGAAATGGTCAACAAACTGAGAAGTACGGACATTAATGTAACTTTATAGAAAATATAATTGTCTATTGTAAGTAGTTCATATCAAACTAACTAAAGCCGAAAACTTAACATTGAAAATTGCTAATTAATTCAAAGTCACTGGACCATGACAAAGGTGGCAGGGCCTCAAAATAGTCATCAAACTGATGGGTAATGATAGTAATGCAACTTCATACAAAGTATGATTGATCTATCACAAGTAGTTCCTATTAAACTAACTGAAGCAGAAAAATTAACATTGAAAATTGCTTATTAGGGCCCTGCCGAATGGGGGACGCCCTATAGTGATCAGTCTGTCCGTCCGTAACAAATTGTGTCCGTTCTATATCTAGAGAACCGTTATGATTTCAAAGTTTATACTTGAAATGTATATTAATCAACACCAGAGGGTGTGTCTTAATGTATATAAAACTTCCTAGGTCAAAGGTCAAGGTCAAAAACTTTGGTTTTAGTTGACAACCCCATGTCATATGGTAAAGATCGTGTCCGCTCTATATCTTGAGAACCATTATGATTTCAAAGTTTATACTTGATATGTATATAAACCAACACCAGAGGGTGTGTCATAATTTATGTACAACTTCCTAGGTCAAGGTCAAAAACTTTGGTTTCAGTTGACAACCCCATGTCCAATGATAAAGATACAAATTTTTTACCACACATTATTCACAGCGAGCCCACGGAGATGGTTCCTATCTCAATGATATCTAGTTAATTGGAAGTCACTGGACTACGATTAGTTTTTCATATCTTTTTTCATTGGAAACTGACGACCTTTGGAAAGTGTATGTGTGTGAGGTGTCAAATCCTACAGTGGTGTTTTTACAAGAATTCACATTGATTAAAGAACAACAAAATTTACCACCACCTTGACGCAATTTATTAGGGCCCCGCCGAATGGCGGCCGCCCTATAGTGATCAGTCTGTCCGTCCGTCCGTCCATAACAAATCGTGTCCGCTCTATATCTAGAAAACCGTTATGATTTCAAAGTTTATACTTGACATGTATATTAACCAAACACAGAGGGTGTGTCATAATGTATGTTCAACTTCCTAGGTCAAAGGTCAAGGTCAAAAACTTTGGTTTTAGTTGACAACCCCATGTCCTATGGTAAAGATCGTGTCCGCTCTATATCTTGAGAACCGTTACGATTTCAAAGTTTATACTTGATATGTATATTAACCAACACCAGAGGATGTGTCATAATTTATGTACAACTTCCTAGGTCAAAGGTCAAGGTCAAAAACTTGGGTTTCATTTGACAACCCCATGTCCAATGATAAAGATACAAATTTTTTACCACACATTATTCACAGCGGGGCCCACAGAGATGGCTCCCTTTTCTGTGATATCTAGTTATGTCAAGTTTCAATTTCATCAGCAGTTGAATTTTAGTAGACAATCTTGATATCGTCCTGAACATGCATGAAACATTTGCCACTGGATGTTAAGCACCTGTTGAATACTGAAAGCCACAGGATGAGCTAATATCAATTCTATTAATGCTGAGTTGCTGTCACATCTTTGTAAACCTCTTTTATTTTCTTGTTATGTGAATACTACTGTCAACAAAACAAACACTTAAAGATAAATTTTAATTTTAATGAAAATTCATTAAAATTTGAAAACATATAAAAATGATGACACAATAAATATATTTCAAAAACAACCACGATTCACTTATATACCACTGTCATAACAGGATGTTCCATTATCTACTTAACAACAAAAACTATTTCTAATGGAAACGTTTCTTTCAACTCAAATACAATTAAGGATCTTTATACTTTCCCTGTATTTTCACTTATTGTTTTCATCCAATCTTATTTGGCATTGTATTTATTTTGTTTGACATTTAACCGGTACAAAATGAATCTTTGTTAAGAACCATGGAATCCTCATTTCAGCTTGGAGAGTTTCCTGATGAAGGTAAATCCAGAAAAGTGCTTCAGATGCATGAAATTTATAAAGTGTTGTTTTCAATTTTTCCATCTAGCTAAAAAACAAAAATAATAAACGAGAAGACAATATAGAAAAACAAACCAGCAGTCATACTTTTTGTTGTTGAATTGTAACAATATAAACTTCCATAAAGAAACTTTCATGTTTAGTTTAGATTAGCTTTTAGTTTCAAAGTATAAGGTAATGTGAAGGTTCAGTAAAGATGAAGGATTGATGAATGGGAAGTGATGGGCATATTTAACTGGGTCCTTTCATCCAGACCATTTAACAAAATAACAGATTAAAAATATATAGTAACAAATCTTTTTGTCATATAAAATATAGTAAAAATAACAAAGTTCCAGATAACAAATAATTCATTCTTCATTATCAAGTTGATCAATTTCATTTTTCTGTGTTTTCATTAATGTTCCAATAACTATGCTGACAAACATAACAAAACCAAGTCCTGTGTTAGATCTAAATTTGGCAGCACAATCATCAGCATTGTCCAAATCTACTGTGTATAACTGTTGAAGAAAAAAAAACAATTACATATTAGAAAGGCTACAGGAAATTGACATAAAAAAAACAACAATTAATAAAATAAGAAGACCCTGTAAAAATATTTGGTTTCACATTTGTCGTAGAATCAAAAAAATCTTTTTCACACATTTGTTGTGGAACTGAAGACAGATTTCATTGCACCATTAATTATCCTAAAAAGGTCAGTAAAATAACAATTTGGAATTCTCCATAGAATTATATCCAGATATTGCATTGTTGAGTTACTGTCCCTCGCTGATATTTTCAACAATTCTCTTTTTTCGTCTAGTACCACCAAAATATGGGGCAATTTGGTCATAAAATAAACAAAATTATATAAATTCTCTTTAAACTAATATTCATTTATGTAGTATTAAATTTAAAAATACAGTAATTAATTTATCTTATAAAAAGACTACTTGATGTGCTTATGGACTAGTATCAAACCTGTATACTATGGTTTAGGTCTGCTATAATTATTAACATAGACTACTCAATGTGCAGTTATTGCAACTCCTGTCCACTATGGTTATTGTTGATATAGCCGACCTGATGAACCATACCAAAAGTAAAAATTACCTCACTAGCATCATTTGGTAGGATCTACTATCAACTTATACTAGTGAGGTAATTGCCAGTTATTTCCACCGCTATCTACTATGGCTATTGTTGATATAGCCTACCAGATGAGCCGTGCCAACAGTGTTCATTACCTAAATAGTATTAGAGACATATACCAAAAAGAGAATGGCAGCTAGGTAAATTCTTGTGATATGATGCTGTCCATGTGATTTTATGAAATGTGCAAGTACAAATTAAATTCATTTTCTAAATCACAAATTTTTTTTTAAAGATATCAGCAATATCCTATCAAAAAATATTTAGATTTCCATGAATAATCTAAGCAAAATTTAGCTATTTTGCACAAGCCCAATTTTGCACCACTTGTAGTTTGAAAAATAGCATGGTGACCCATACTTTTTAATATATTTTTGAAAAAGCATGGTAAACACAGGCACTTGTTTCTGTCAATGTGGGGGTTTTACTATCCACACTCGTAAGATTGTTCATACAAGTGTGGTTAGTAAACACCCCATTGACAGAAACAACTGCCTGCGATGGTAAATCTACATATTGGCAAAGTATCAGAAAATTCTATCTGAGGAAATATTTAATGGTGATCCACCATTTACCTTAAATGCAATTGCCAATCTCTTGATCTCAGATCTGCTGTCATTGTAAACACAACCTACCTGATATGCTAAATGAGCAGCAGTTATTGATACACCAGTATAGTACGGCCAGGTCTGATCTAATGCAACCCCAGTCAATGTCAAACCTCCAATCATAATGGTTGCAAAACCACTCAACCAATGCTTTGTCTTATCACCAAATTTCAATGCTGTTGATTTGACACCAATCAGCATATCATCATATTTATCCTGAAAAAAAATTCTCTGAATAATTTTTTACTGATACATTCTGAAATATTGTGTATAAAATACAACAGGTATGACTGCATGTCGTGCTATCGGTGACTATGTTATAATAAATAACTGAAAAACAAACAAAAAGCTTAATATAACTCTTAATTTCATAGTAGTAGCTTCTTTTTGTAATTATATAGGGCTGTAAAAACGTTGATAGTGCGCACATTTTTTAATATGAAGTACAATTTGTTGATTTAAGATGCAGAATAAAGTGCTCTTTGACTTTTGTTCTATACAGAGAGGATGAGTTACCTTAATGTTGGTATACAATTTATTTTTTTTCAAGCAAAATAATAAGCTTCAAAGCTTTTTCAGCATTTATTCTAATGTCCTTTAGGCCAAGGTCCAGAGTTAATAAAAGCTACTAATCAAATGAGTGCAATTCAGTTTAGAAAAATTTAAAAGTGATCATAATAGCCACAGATCTATATTATTATATAAAATATAAGAGTAAATATCTATTATAAGGAGTTATTGGTAGAGAATTTTCTTATGGTAAAGTAGCAGTTTGATATCAATTCATTTCAAGTATTAAACTTTAATTATATCATATTACAGATAACATGTAACATTTTAATTTTGACTAAAAAACTTGTTTCACCACGTCTTCTTTAAAAATTGCATCACAAGTTGCTAAACAGAATACCAGCAAATACCAGTTTTAAAGTTTTTGGTTGGCCAGCCAGGGATAAAACAAATGACCTACACTTGAGGCAGGAATGTTTCCACACTACCATTAAATATGCTGTATGTCAGAGAATGTGTAGAAAAAAATGCCTACACTAATCTTCATTCAAACAATGAAAGGGAATGCACCCTACAATTACTGAAAATTGATTTACTTTAAAAGTGATCTTAAGCAAAAGGTAAAAAGCTCTGAAATTTCATTCAAATAGCGAAAGACGAATTGATTAAAAGATTTATTGGTGCTTAGTATGTATCTGCAAGTATAGCATGCATACACAGGATAATAACAAGTTGATATAACCTGCTTTGTGTGTATTGACATACAATAATGTACACTAAAATATCCTTCCTCTTTTCTTTTTTCCTTGAATTTTAATAACATTGTGATGGTTCTAAAATAGTGTTTTCATGGGTGAACTCGATACAAGTGCATTATAATGGTGGGGAAATATTTGTGAGAAATTTTTCCCATGTGTTATATCACGGGTTGGTTCAGTGCTGTGAAGGACACAATCAGGTTTAACATATTTATATGAGGAGTTGTAATAATCTGTGTTGTGCTGAGGTAGGATGAACCACAAGGGAAGATATTTCTGAACAGCCATGAATATCATTTTTAGATAAAAAAAAAATTCATTGTTGATTAGAAGATTTTCAAATCCTAATCAACAAGTCTTCCGAAAATACAAGATATTTCTAACCCAAGTGTATATCTCTTTTCAAGATGCAGAATATAGGATCTATATTATACATTGCTACCACATTTTTGTGGTAATTTCACCACTGTAAACAAATATGAATAGGATTTTATTAGCAACAATAAATGAGTTAAGAAGCACAAAGGAAATGTGTATTTTTAAACACTTTAAAATATCTGGAAATTATTCTTGGATTATTCTTGTTTGTACTGTGTCATTTTCTAGTTTTTAAACTGTAACACCTGTTTTTCCTCTCAAAATTCCCTTCAATTGAAACCAGAATAAATATTGTGGAGTGATGTCATTAATTAGAAAATAAAATCTGAACAGAAAGCATATTACAACTTTAACTATTATTAGTAAACAAGTTGTTTTTTTTTTTAAGTTACGACCCCAATAAAGATTTTTATTTGACTAATCTGAAACACATTATACTGTGACATCAAACCCATCACACAAATTTAACTTTTTAATAACTGAATTGAAAACTCAAGTGTTTCACTTACCTGCATAAACAATCACAACAAACAAAAACTAATAAAATAAAATGAAGTGCCAGGAGAACACTCTAAATTTTGTATATCTTACTCACTTGATGAGCATATATTGTGTCATAGGAAAGAGTCCATGCCATACTGCCAATATAAAGGGGAAGAACAACGGTCCAATCTATCCCGCCTGTAACTGCAGCCCAACCTAACATAGTCCCATAGTTGAAGGTTAACCCTAACAACAAATATGCATGTAAATGATAAGAAAGCCAAGCAAAATTACTGAGCTACAGATGAGGACTGGTCTCTACTGGGGTGTCCTGAATAGCCATAGCAAACTGATGATTCCATTTTTGTCACCATTCCTAGTGCTGTTATAGAAGAGTGTACCAAATACCATATGTATGTCTGGAGGGATGGTTATTTTTAGAATTTGTGCTTTTATGTGCTCTTATGAAATTCAACTTCAGTGTGCCTTAAAATTTCCATTTTACTTCAAAACTCAATTTCTCCTCCAAAATTTAAATGAGGTATTTGGTAACTTCAGGCTCCAAGTACCATGTATCCCTCACCCAGCTACAGACATGCCTTGATAAAATGTTATTGTTTTTAAAAAATCCTGCGTTACAGATAAAAATATGTCCTTTCATTATGTAATTTTTTTCACCTTTTTAGTAATTTTACCACTTCAAAATACACATTGCATTTTTTTTTTAAATTGTTATTGACAACAAAAATTTAAACATGTAAAATGGTTCGATTCTGCCAATAAAATTGCTGTTATTTTCTTTTCTAAGTAAAAGTAGCCACCAACATTGATGACAGTTTGAGTTATCAAACATAATTATTAAGGGGACCACATTTGCCTTTCTTCAAAGTTTGATAACCACTGGCATTTTATTAGATTTTCTATTGATTTTTAATCAAATTTTCTATTTTTAGTATTTAAGAGAAACTGTTTAAGCTTTTTTGGGGGTTGGCAACACATGTATCATATCACTGAAGTTAGGCAGCAAGTGACTTGCTATGCTTTTTCCTTTTTTTGTGGTTGCAATTGGCTTAATTTTTTCAGGGAAGTGTATATTACAAGTAAATGGACAGTGCATTGACAAAGAAAAGATGAATGGACACCAAATGATGGCAATAGCTAAAATTGGTCATTTGGACTAGCTAAGACAAGCAGCAAGCAGAGATCTACTTCTATAATGCAGTGTTATGATCACACACAATGACACATTTTAAATTATTTTGTCCTACAATCATTTTTAAAGTACGTACATGTCAATTCCATTTTAGCCTCCACATCAGTTTAAACACTTAAATTTTTACAAAATTAATTTCTGACATTTAACACAGATTTAAACTTAACCAGTATAATGATATTTTACAGGAATGTTAAATAAAATCTTTGGATTTTTTAAAAAGTTAATAACTTATTGATTGTCCATTGAAATTTTGTCCACATCAGTCACAATAAAAACAAATGTCCATTGGACCAGATATCCAGTGAGCCATCCAGCATATCCCCACAATGAAGATTTGGAGGTCAATGCAATAATTAATACCATTTTAAAAATAGCTTAAGTTTACAGTTTATAATAAAAGAGTTATATTTACTATAGCAAAAGAGAAAGTGTATATGTAATAATATGGTCGTATATTATTATAAAACTAGATGTGTCGGAACAACACTAATGACCCCCTTTGCAAAAAAGCTTGGAGCCATTCTAAGGAGTAAAATTTGAGAATGAAAGTCTATATAAGTGTTAGTTTCACAAAATTTTCAAAGTCCAAAGCCCATAATTTCAGCAAAATTCAATGGAACAGAACCAAATGTATACTCGATCTGTAACTCATCATAGTAGACTCACATACTAAAAATCAGCTCAATATGTGAAGTCGTTTAGAAAAGAAGTCTGTATAACTGCTAATTAGTCCAAAGTCTGTAATTTTGGCAAAAATCAGTGGAGTGAAACCAAACAAAAACTTGATTTGGACTCATCATAGCAGACTCACATATCACAAAATCAGCTCAATATGTGAAGGCATTTAGGAAAAAAAGCAGTATAATTGCTATTTTCATGAAATTTCCAATTTCCAAAGCCTGTAATTTCAACAAAAACCAGTGGAGCGGAACCAAACATGAACTCAATCTGTAACTCATCATAGCAGATTCTCATACTAAAACTCAGCTCAATATGAGAAGACATGTAGAAAAAAAGTCCGTATAATTGCTATTTTCATGAAATTTTCAGAGTCCAAAGCCCATAATTTCGTCAAAAATCAGTGGAGTGGACCCAAACATAAACTCTATCTGTAACGCATCATAGTAGACTCACGCATTTAGAAAATAAAAAGTCTGTATAACTGTTCGTTGCGGAATGACAGAATGACGGAATGACGCAATGACAGATAAGGGTGAAATTATATGGCCCCAACAACTTTCTAGCGGGGTCATAAAAACAATAGAATAAATATACAAAAAACATATGAATTCGAAATGCTAGATTGATCAGAACAATGTCTTAGTTGTAATTACCTTCAAATATTTTTAACTATTTAGTAGTTTTAAGGCCAAAAGAAAGGATAAACTGAATTTGTGTTTTTAATCTTAAATAACTGCTTAGATTGATTGTTGGTGTTTAACACCACTTTCAGGACACCTGGCTATGTCATGGTGACCAGTTTTTATTGGTGGAGGAAGATGGAGTACTCAGAGTCTTAGTCAGAGAGAACCAAGACCTTTGGCAATAAAACAGGTAATCTTAGTTAACTTCAGAAGTCCAATAAAATGCTCCCCTGGGCGCAGCTTGATACGACCACAGAGGTCGAACCCTGAACAGTTGGGGCAAGTATGGACACAACATTCAAGCTTGATACAGCTCTGAATTTGGATTGTGATTAAATATTTGACAAATCATAGGTTTCTGACACAGAAAGAATGTGGTCTAAGAACTTAAATTTTTTTAATTTACCTATTATGGTCCAATATCCAAAATCTAAATACATACACGGTAAGATTCAGCATATCAAAGACCCCAAGAATTCAAGTTTTGTTAAAATCAAACTTAGTTTAATTTTGGACCCTTTGGACCTTAATGTAGACCAATTAGAAAACGGGACCAAAAATTAAGAATCTAAATACACAGTTAGATTCAGCATATCAAAGAACCCCAATATTTCAATTTTTGATGAAATCAAACCATATCATTATTATTTGCTTTTATATATAAATCAAAAATAACCAACTTAAAATGGAAAAGGAAAAAAAAAAAAAGGAAAAAAAGGAAAAAAAAAAAAAAAAAAAATCCCCCCCCCCATTTTTTGAACCCCCTTATGACTCATCACCCCCAAACTCAATCCCAGCCTTCCCTTCATGGTATAGTACCTTGCAGTACAATTTCAGAGAGATCCATACACTTGAACACAAGTTATTGTCTGGAAACTGTAAAAATGTGTGTTTTTTGGCCCCTTTTTGGCCCCAAATTCCTAAACATTTAGGGCAATTGTGATATGGAACCTTTTAGTACAATTTCATAAAGATCCATACACTTACACTTACACTTACACACAAGTTATTGTCCTGAAACTAGAAAAATGCTTGTTTTTTGCCCCTTTTTGGACCCTAATTCCTAAAATATTGAGGCAGTTACCCCTAAAATCAATCCCAGCATTCCCTTTGTGATATGGAAGCTTGTGGTACAATGTCAGAAAGATCCAAACACTTGAACACAAGTTATTGTCTGGAAACTAGAAAAATGCTTATTTTTGGCCCCTTTTTGGCCCCTTATTGGCCCCTTATTCCTAAATATTTTGGGCAATTAACCCCAAACTCAATTCCAGCTTTCCCTTTCTGATATGGAACCTTGTAGTACAATTTCAGAAAGATCCATACACTTAAACACAAGTTATTGTCATGAAACTAGAAAAATGCTTGTTTTTGGCCCTTTTTTGGCCCCTAATTCCTAAAATTTTGAGGCATTTACCCCTAAAATCAATCCCAGCATTCCCTTTGTGATATGGAAGCTTGTGGTACAATGTCAGAGAGATCCATACACTAACACACAAGTTATTGTCCTGAAACTAGAAAAATGCTTATTTTTGGCCCCTTTTTCCTTAACTGTTGGCACCATAACCCCCAAAATCAATCCCCACCTTCCTTTTGTGGTATTGAACCTTATGGTAAAATTTCATAGAGATCCGTTCACTTAAACTTAAGTTATTGTGCGAAAACCCATGTGTCTTCGGACGAAGACGACGCCAACGTCATACCAATATACGACCGCAAAAATTGGTCATATAAAAACCAAAATACTTTGGTTGAGTATAAATTTAACATTCATCAAATGGACATACAACCATACATGACCCATGTCCAAAAATAAAACTTTCCGTCCTACCCTCCCACAATTGCCCTTAGTTTTGACATGTATCACAACACACGGAGCACATGCAAGAACATGACAGAAGATTCATTAAAATAGACAGATTTATTACTGCAAATAAAAACCACTGGTGTACTCAAAAAGTGGCAATATATATACATTCTTATGAAATTGTTTTAAAAAGTGGCTATAATTTGATGTCGTAATAATTTTATCGTGTTATCCTGAAGAACAATTTTCCCATAAATATTTTCTCATCTTAAGTACAAGCATAAGAGTATATCTTCAATGAAAAGTATGTTAAATATTACTCTAATATGACAACCTATATATCGTCAACCAGTATAATCACAGTATATCTACTTTAAGCGCATGTGCATAATACACAAAATTGGCTGTTCCCTTTTAGTTCACCTGACTTATACGACCAGGTAAACTCAATTTGCGACAGTGAAACCAACTTTAAACTAAGGCCAAGCTTCAAATACAAATTGATGATCTCTATTGTAATGTAAAATAAGCAAATTAGTCCATTTCAGTTATAATTTTGGTGTAAAATTCTGCAAAATGATGTTATTGCCTCGGCAACTAAACAAGGTTTTCAGGCTTCTTGTAGGGCTCAGAATGTAATAAAATTAGATAAAAAATGTGTTTTTTTTTGCCAGTAGTTATTTTTGAATAATATAATAACAATATTATATGGGGGTAGGATGGAACAGCCAAAAGAGTATAGTGTGTATAGGGCTTTCACAGTCAGGGGCGTAGCTAGGTATTCAGTCAACTGTAGGCACAAATCGGCAGGGGGTCTGGGGGCCATTGAAACGTGCCTAAAGTGCCTTACGGCAGCTACGCCCCTGACAGTTGACAACATTACTGTATTTGTCCTCTTAGAATTGAAATAATCATGGCAGCAGTAGATTTGTCTTCATTTAACCATGGGTTGGCCATTTATATTCGATTATTTTATCCTGAGCGATAGCGATAGTTAAAACTCTACTACCACTGTGTTTATTTATATATAACATATGACACTTTCATTTATTAACATCAGTTAAGAATTATTGGTTTAAAGGTAGTTAAGAATTATTGGAGCATTGTTAGTGGTATGTTCAAGAAATTTAAATTGTCTTTCTGATATGCAGCAAAGTATTAGATCAAAAGCATTATTAAATATAATTTATTGAAAGATATGAAAATAATCTGTGCATTACATTAGCAGAAAAGTTTGAAAAACTAGCAGATCTATATGTTGCAAAAAAAAATCATGCTTCATGCTTATACAACAAACAGACCATGTAACTTCCTGTTTATATTTTCTCAAAAGTATGGCATAACCTTGGGGGGAAAAAAATTACATTTTGATAGCTAACGACCAATTTTAACTGGCCATCTTCAGCAAAATCCCACATCAGGAATATTTTACTTGTGATTATAAAGACTACAATGAAAGTTTACCATATCCAAGGAAACATTAAAGTACTACAACTGTTAGCTACCTGATGGGAGTAAATGGAATCGTAGATCATTGTGTACAAAACGGAGGCAAAGTAAAGGGAGACAACTGGTGTTTGGATACTTCCTTGTATCGCAGACCAGGCTATCAGAACACCCCAATTTAAAGTCACTCCTAAAAAATAGAAAACTGGCATATATATATCAAAACAAATTCTGCAGTTCATTTTATACAATTATCAATCCCATTTTTCAAGTATTTATGAGAAAAATATCTATGTAATGGTAAGCTACTTTTATTGAGTAGATTAAATAAACTCATACTACATGTTTTCTTAATAATGCCTGAATATCAATTCTGAATAACATTTATACAGTTAAACTGTGCTTTTTAGTTTTCAGACAAATCAAACTATCTTCTATAATTTACAATGTTTACCTTAAAAGTATAAACTTCTACATTTTTGAAATAATTCATGTATTAAAACTTTATAAGACTGACTTTGCTAAAAGTCAATTGTAACCAATTCTTTGCTGTGATACATATATTAAAAGTTAACTAAAATTGCCATACCGAGGGTACTTACCTAGCATTGCCTGTGGCCAAAATGTTACCCTCTTGGCAAGTGGATATGTAATAACCAAGACCATGGAAGCTGCTCCCAATACGACACTGTCAACAAAATTAGAATTAAAATGTTTGCATCTACAGCTTTACTATTGAAATTATACTTTTATTCATGAAGACCCAGTATATTCTGACGATGAACACTTTTTATGGAAATCCCTGTAAATATTTAGCTCATTTGCAGTATCTCAGTATACAATCAGTAGGTATTAAACCAGTGTTGATTTAGTTGACTTACTTTAGACCTTATGTGTAGTCCTTGGACTGAAAATTTCATGAAAATGACAGTATTCCCCTCTGTTGTTCAATGTACATGAAGATACTAGGCTTTTTTGATAATTTCTTATCAACTTTATGGCCATTGGACTTACAAATTTCATGTTTTATGACTGTTTTTCAGCAATATTAATGGACAAATGCAAAGTTACATACCTGTACCAATTTAACTGTAGAAGGATACCTAGTGAAACAGACAACATCCCACCAAGACAACACAAACCTTGAAAGTAGGTCAATTCTCCACTGGCCAATGGTCGAAGTTTGGTTCTTTCAACCTGTTTAACAATAAATTTTCTTTCATTCTATCAATTCACTATTTATAGCTAGCATTTGCTGTACATCACAATATAGTGGCTGACTTTGTGTTTGATGATTTTGTATCTGATAGTTTTGCATGTCATATTCAAACATATCAAATTTTTACATTCTTTTACTTTAAGGATCAATTACTTTCAAGTTAAGATACATTTTAAGGTTAGGATCTGACAAGGGAAAGTTTACCGAGTGGATAGATCTGATATCATTATAATAAAAGATAATCAGGGATAAGGACCAGTAACACTTTAACCCCATATACATGTATGGTGTTCTGGTATAAATTTTATTAGGAAATCACAGAGCAAAAAATGTAAGATAGTCAAAGATGCATATATGCAATTTTCATGGTAAGGTTTAAAGTTCTAAAAATAAAACTCAAAGAGTAACTTAAAATATCTAGGTAAACTCTGCCTCAGAAAATTCTTAATTGGAAACATAATATATGTAATCAATCATGCCAGTGCTGAAGCATCTACTGTCCTAAAGTGTAAGTGGTATTACATCATTTAACAATGTTTAATCAATTTTCCCTTTGAACTGCTTCTCTTTTTTATCCTATATTGCACATGAGAAATGTCATTGGAAGAAACTTTAGACATGCAAGTGGCATAATTAGAGAAAATCAAATGGTTTTTGAATATATAAAAATTTGCAAACATAACAGCAACTTGTCGAAATTATAGCTCCTCTTAAAAGTTCCCACTGGTTAAAGGGTCATTTACCTGAACAGTAAAATAGTATTTTAACCCTCTTGTCAAATCCACCCTATTCATTAGGCCACATTGTCAATAAAATGGGACTGATGTGCACATATTTTAAACACTTTTTAAAATGTAGTAAATATCATTCACCTTTCTATCAAAATCTCTGTCCCACATATCATTAACAATACAGCCAGCACCTCTCATGAAGAATGCACCTGCTCCAAACAAGGTCAAAAGCCAAAGGTCAGGAAAATGACCTGGTGCCGCAGCTAAACCTATGCTCCATGTACATGGCCAGTACAACAACCAAGTTCCTACAATAGTTCACCAGTTTTAAGTGTATTTGTAAACATTACTTTCAAATTTGACAAAATAAAATGAAATTATTGTCAACTTTTTAAATAATCATTATCAAACTTCTGTCGTTATCTTGTAAAGTACTGTTTTGTTCCACTGTTTAACTGTTTAAAATAATAATGCTTAATAAGCATGACTGTTTGTTGCCATGAAAAGGCTTATATTAATTAGCAAGTTTTCATTTTAAATTTAATGGGAAGTTACCTATTGGTTTATCAAATCTGATTAGTCTTAGATAAGGCTGTAAACTCTTTGGTGATGCATCTAAAATTTCTTTTGGTGTTACACTTAAGTTTCTCTTCTGTTTTCTATAAGCATCCTTCCTGTTAAAACAACTGCCATCAGGGGGAAAGTTGTGCTGTCTGATACCACTAAATGAAGTTTTTAAAGTTTGTTCTGGAAAGAAATTTGGTTGCAAAAATATTCTATGATTTGGTTTATGACTGAAATGGTATCCACTAGAGAGCTTCCTTGACTGGCTGAATGCCTTATTATTTTGGTTACAAAAACACAGACAGCATGCTGGCAAAGACACATTTATTCTGTTATGTACATCTATTATACTGTTGCTCTTTATACTTTTCAATAGCAAAACACTTTTTGAAATGTTCATCTTGAACCTGAAAAGATAAATTTAATATTTTAATCTTTAAATAAATTAATTTACTTAACTTTATTGTCATGTTTATACTCAGTATGGTGTTACAATATCTTCATATGTTTTTGAAATACACTGCTAAGTATATCAAATGTTACTAATCAGTTCAGCTTGTACAAACATTCAAAATACTTTATTTTCAATCCAGAACCATTGATGGAATGTGAGTGATACATAATAAGATAGAATCATCTAAAAAAAGATAACAATAAGATAAACTATGTTCTGCATAAGAATGATTACCAGAAAGTTGTCATTATTTTAGCAGACATTAATTGTACTTTGAAAAATGTTCTAATACATCTCATCACTTTATGTATGCATTACAGGACATCATAAAAATAGAGAAGACTTTGTTGCAACAAGGGAAAATGAATTATGTTAAATTAAAAGTGACTGGTGTAGAATGGTGTAGGTCAAGTGTTGCAGAATCCTAAATTGTGATGAGGATATTAATTAACCATTATAGTCCAATCCTTAATTGAGATTATCAGTTACTAGCACTAGAATATTTCAATCATTGAATTGTGTCCACCTATTTAGAAAAAAAAAAGATTACAGGATCTTATCTTCAAATAATTTCTGTAAAATACAGAAAAATGTAGACATGGTAAAAAAAAAATCAAGGTTTTATCTCTGGATTATGAAGAATCTTCTGTTGTAAAATATAGAAAATGGAAAAATGAATCAAAATTTTATTCCAGAAGCTATCTCTTGATTGTAAAGTACTTCTGTAAAAATATTCCCTGTATAAAGTGTATTTTCATGAAGTTTAGTATTGTAAGATGCTATTGTTTTAAAAACTTTTACTTTAGATTGCTTCTAAACTATTATCCTCGTGTATTGTGTTTTCGACCTACTTACATATTCATCAATATTTCCACTTTTATATGTTTGAACATATACATGACTAATATTTTTTAGAGTCACTAGTATACTTGTACATTAAATAATTGTATCTAAAATATATTTCGATCTTAAATATTTTTTTTATTTGAGTTCATTAGACTGATGGCACCTTTGTTGACAAAAACTAGCGTCTTGTGTTTTCGACCTATCTAAGAAACGGGTCCAAAGTCGGAAATGACATGTCTTACAAATCCGGAATTGAATATAATTTGATGCCAATGTTTATATCAAATTATTTAAAGTTTTAGAGGCGATCAAACTTAGGACTTAATGAATTAAATGGTGACATATACAACTATAAGATATAAAATATTATTTTGATATCTTTATTTGACTAGTTGTACACATTTCACATGAGGCACTTTGGAAACCTTGTAGATCCTTGTCATGCTTGTAGGACCTTGTATACAGTCATGTTTCTGTTCAATATACTTTAGTGAAGGCATTGTGAAGTGAGGTTGGTGAGTATTGTCTGTAATCTCCCCTGACAGACTGCTGTTTCTGTGAATTAAAATTAATTGATATTTTATTTTTTTCAGCAAAAAGCTGTAAGGATCATCCACATTTCCGTATTAAAAATAACTCTAAGTATTACAACTAACCACATGACAGTCATGTGACGTAATGACCTTGATATTAACTTCACATGCTAAAAGTCCTCGGCCATATTTCTAGAATAGAATATTTGTTTATTTTTGATAGATTCTTGTGGAAGGTAAAAATTGTATTAGTGAAAAGGTACAAAAATGTGATATCAAATAAAATAATGTAAATACTTAATTATAATAACTTTACTTGAAACATCTTAACCACACGTGGTATTATTTGCTATTGTTACTAAATATATCAGCCAAATGTGACGTCACACAGGCATGGGCAGCATGTGGGAAGTGAAAGTACAATTAGGTCGAAAACGTAAGACGGTCGAAAACACAATACGAGACAATACTGTTTATAACTCCAAAAAACTAAGTATTGTTAAAAAAATTCTTGATTATGAAGACGATTCTGTCAAAGTTTTGCAAAATTCCATGAAAGTTTGAAAATTTCATTTATTCCTAAAAAATAGTATTACCCCCAGGCTGTGTCGAAATAAAAACTGCAAAAAATTTAGCCCTTCAATCACTTGAATCAGTATCAGTAAAATTAAAAAAACTTTTATACGTAGGTCACACTCAATCACAATAAAGTGGTTTATAGACAGTAAGAATAGATTTTTTAAAGACGGTCCGAGGTGTCTCATTTGTTAATATCAGTTTGACTGATCTTGATTGGGATTTTGGGCCGACGGATTTTGGTCCGACTTGACCAATATTCTGAGCGAGTGGTCCCGAATAGCAGGATACAATTGAAACGGTTCCCTTCAAAGATAAATTATCCAATATGTGTATTGACTTGTCTAAAATCTTTCAAAAGTAGGCCTTACATTAGCATGCCAAAATAAATCAGATAACACTGACAGTGCAAAACAACTGTTTCGACCAAGGCCGTTGCAAAAAATAAACCGGATATGTGTTCGGCCCCACAATTCGTGACGTAATATACAAAGTACACACATTGATGCAAGAGCGGTGAAATTAAATACTAAAGATCCATCTTTCAAGCAAAATGTTTGAAATTCCAGATGATGACGATAACTTTTGGGAGGTGTGTTTATAAAGATAACAATTTCTTTTCTATCTGCATTCGTTTGTTTACTTCTGTATCCAATTTAACATGTTTATATTTAGTGTCAGATCTCAGCACTTCATGTACTTAATTTCATGAATAATGAAACTAACACAATATAGTATATTCCAGATGCTGGAGACAAGATTGGACTAATGTATAATTCAATTTGAAGCAGCCCCATAAACAAGGGAATAAATAAAGAGATACTGAAAATTGAGTCCTCAATTGGCATGTTTTGTGTGAATTTTATGACAAATTTAAAGCAGTATCAGGTCGTTCTGACTTAGGGAGCTACCATTTGATTTTTAGGGGAGGAGGCTGGGGGGGGGGCTGGGCTAGGATGAAATTTGAAAAAAGGCAGGATGAGCAACTTGGCAAAAAAAAAGGCAGGATGACAATTTATGTAAAAAAGTCTGGATGAACTAATAAAAAAAAGGCAGGACCGAATAGAGTGAAAAATAGAAAGACAGGACAGAGATTACAACTAAAAAAAAATGCAGGACAAAATTTTTCATCCTAGCCCCCCCCCCCCCCCCCCCCCCATAAAAATCAAATGGTAACTCCCTTACAAATCAATCCGGCCCCAGGTTTTTTCTCCAAATACTGCCCACATTCAACATGAAGAATATTTTGAGGGTGTTGTGACCCCAAGTCAATCCAGCCCCATAGTAAGCTAATGAATAATCAATCAGGGGAATTACTGAAATAAGTGATTTATTAACATGATTAATCACTCATTTAAGTAGCAAATTAGAAATTCTGTGATTTTGTAGTTTTACTTAAATTTTAAACATACTGGTGCAGGTTTAGATTATAAAATTTTACTGTTCACTACCAAAATTTCACTGTTCGGGGGTGTTGAAATTAGTGGGGGTAATTAAAATTATAATACTTAATGAAGTGATTTTTTTAAGAAACTAGAGCATTGTAGAGGTATGATACTTAAACAAGTGATTTTCATGTCATTATCCCAGACCAGGAACATATATATTGACGGGACTTGACACTACCTAATTGTAGCCAATTTTATCGTCGGATTATAGTTAATAAAGATACGATACGGAAACGGAAATGTGTTCAAAACGTACTCACTATTATCCTAATAATTTCTGATAATATCAATAAAATGTCATTCAAACATGGTTTTAAAGTGATGCCAGTATATCGAACTTGTTATCTGTCACTTCAATTTTGTTATAATCGAATTCATTTCATCACAGAATGGTACAGAATGCAAACAGGGTAATAAAAAAATGGCGCCGATTGCATTCCCAAATTCTCACACCATTTTAAAACACTTCACATCAAATAAATCACACTTATTTTGGTCATTTAATATGACAAAATATATCTACTTTATGATAAAACTTGTATCTATTTACGATTAGAATTATGTGGTTAATTTATTGTGCAGTTCAGATAGTTTTTCAGTCAGACGCTACCAAAATCCGTAAATCTCGCGAAGTCTCGTGGAGTCCGAGATTTTATCAATCTTATACTGAAAAGCCTATCAGATTCATTTCCCGTTAGATATACTGTTCCCAGCCCAGACTCAGTACAAAATCATCACCTGACATGACCAGTCATCCTATAAACACAGATATTGGTTGATGGTTCTGATAATTTTAGCAACATAATTAGTCACTGGATCTTTAGTTTTATATATTTAAAGCTACAGTAAAATTAAATCTCTTAGTCTAGTTATTTATTTGTACTACTTAAATAGGTGATTGTTAAAGAAAGACAACTCTTACTTCCAACATTTCTGGAAAAATGTTACTTGAATCAGTGATTTCTTAATCACTCATTTAAGTAAATCCCCTGACTGATACATGTAACTATAAAAATTGGAGGGTTTTGTGACATATATGATTCATGGTATTAAACGATTGTATTGGGGAAGATCCCCATTAATGGGTATTATACCCATTTATGGGTATCACATGTACATGTATACCCAAAATCAGGTACAAATTTCCGGGTCCCTGTAAAGTGAGAAACGGAACAGAAACAAACAGAGCGAAACGAAACAGAGCGAAACGAAACGAAACATGGCGAAACGAAACGAAACATGGCGAAACGAAACGAAACACAGCGAAACGAAACGAAACATGTAAATTGAGAAACGAAACACAATGAAACGAAACAAAATCTGTATTTTGAGGAACGACCTATAGAAAATCTTCCTGACGAGATATGTGCATAGCCGAAGACACCGAATATTCCATTCAACTTTGAAAAAAATTACTCGTCATTTACATTGGTATATCTTCGTGCATTAGTTGCAATTAGTCAACTTGTTTTGTTAAATGTGAGGCTTAGGTGCGTCAGCTATGCTACAGAGACTGTTCTAATATCAAGGCTTCTTGTCACATGCAACAATGAGGGAACATTGAAATTAGAATAGCTGTTACTGGGGATCGTCTGAATATCAGCCTCAAACAAAATTGGCCATTCTTACCTTTGTGACTAGGATTTTTATGTACCGCCTACGGTAGTGGGGCATAATCTTTTCTGGTCTGTGCTGCCGTCCGTCAGTCCGTCTGTCCGATACTAGGTTTATTCTGTTTGTTAAGATAGATTAAATTACATTACAATGGAGTTGTGTTCATGTCAACTTGAATCTACACATGTTCATTATGACATGTTCATTATGACATGTTTCTTTTGAAATGTATGCCAAATTAGGAATTTGAACCATAATTTGCGATTCAATGAACATGAAAATTTGATATTTTAAGCGAGTCATGCTGTCCTATGGATACTAAACACATGACATGAGTAAAATCTCTTTGTTCTTACTGTGCTATAATCTGGATAATGCACAGCAAATGTGTGCATTTACTACCTCAGATATACTGCACAGTTCAAACGTACTCTTACCTTTTGGGGCGGACCCTCGATTTTAAAAGGAGTGTAATTCCATATAAAATTTTTAAAATATCACCGAGTGTACATGTAGCGAATATAAAAAAGAAGATGTGATATGATTGCCAATGAGGCAACTCTCCACAAGTGACCAAATGACGTAGTAATTAACAACTATAGGTCACCGTACGGCCTTCAACAATAAGCAAAGCCCATATCGCATAGTCAGCTATAAAAGGCCCCGAAATGACGTACAAATGTAAAACAATTCAAATGAGAAAACTAACGGCCTAATTTATATACAAAAAATGAACGAAAAACAAATATGTAACACTTCAACAATTGACAACCACTGAATTACAGGCTCCTGACTTGGGACAGGCACATTCATACAGAATGTCATGTGGCGGGGTTAAACATGTTAGCGGGATCCCCCCTAACCTGGGACAGTGGTGTAACAGTACAACATAAGAACGAACTATAAAAATCAGTTGAAAAAGACTTAACTCATCAGATAGATACAAATAACATTCATCTAACAAAAACACAGAGTGGACGTGGCCGGGTACTTGTATATCCCAACAACAAAAAGACACTAAGTACTGATCTGAGAGTACTAGAAGTTACTGACAGCTAGTTCAAAGCCACTAACAAGTAATAAAAAAATCATGCATCTAAGACTAAATTATCAATCTGTACGCATCCAACATCCAATGGATTTAGTGTACAGACGTCATAAACAGTTAGAGGAAAAACACGACCTTGTGTAATGCCAAGATACAGGTATCGACAGATTGTAGATCCATGAATGTGTATATGAATTATATAACAATAATATTTAGTTTGCTTTTAATTTACTGACAACAAAATCAATATTGATACCAATAAAACAATTTTCAATGATCTAATTACAGTGTTGAATTGGTAACCTTTTAGAATAAGTTTATTTCACGGATCGACAAGTTTACCAGGATCGTTTCTAAATTCCGGGCACGGTAAACAACATTTCCATAAAAATTAGGATATGCTATCCCATTTGAACTTCAAAACCAAATCTTTATATCTATGGAAGAATTTAGTGTAAGGTTTTAAGTAATTTTTGGTGACGAAATCCCTGGCTTAATAATTTATCAGTAATACATAGATTACGTTTGTTAAAATAAAAAAACGTCACAACAGACACGGGCATAGCGAACGAGTTGTGAAATTCAAACACCATAAGATGGTGCTAATGGAACATCACCATCCAAAAAGGGAAAAATAACAATCGGGAACGAAAAATCGTCCCTTATGTCGTAAAATTCGGCAGTAAATTTAAATTTCTTGATTTTTTAACGAAAAAATATCATCAACATAAAGGTAAGTGTTGTTGAATTTATCAGTTAAATGCAATTTTGACGGGTCTTTACTTAGTGTGGTCATAAACTATGATTCATAACAGTACAAAAACAAGTCTTCTATTAAAGGGGCGCAATAAGTGCCCATTGGAATACCTACAACCTGTCGATAAACTTTGTTGCCAAAAGGTACATAAATATTATCAAGGGGAAATTAACAGCTTCAATCATCTCATCCCACCTCCAGTAAGTATATCTAGCATAATTACCTTTCACATTAGAGAAAAAGGCTTTAAATGAATTGCAGCAAATATATTTGCATTCAGATTTACCAAACGACCATTTAATTAAATAAGAAAACTTTTGTTTGATAAGATTGTGTGTAGGTGTAGTGTAAAGAGTAGAAAATTCGCATTCAGATCTACCAAACAACCATTTAATTAGAGTAGAAAAGTCAAAACTGTCAACAGAATCCAAAAGACCATCAAAAACATCAGTTTATTTAAATCATCCAATTTTTTTCACTCCAAAATAGAAGATTTTATGCTAAAACATGATATGTTTTCCACTCAAAGGGTGGGACATAAAATATTTTATAATATTTTGTGTACAATGTACATCTGAAATCAGTGTTTCCCAGTCAAACCAGATAATAATAATTTTTTTTGTAATTTCTGCCGAAAAAGAAATGTACTTTAGAATATCCAAATAAATAAAATCTGATTTTGATTATAGTTTCGTGCTCAATGGAATTAATTACGACTATTTAGA